CATTGCATCATTCAGTGCCCTTTTTCTTGTAAATTTCCAATGAGACCAAGACAGAAAATAGTTTTTTAGACATGAACAGAAAAATATTGTTAATGCATGTCTGACTAGAGTGACAATTACATAGAAACACATGTATGAAATTAACGCGGAGCAGGGGAAAAAATGTCTGCACTATGTACATGTGCTTGAACATGTGAACATTTAACAAGATTATACATGTAATTTCGTTACTATTTAGATTATTCTGTTGCCCAAATAATCAATATTAATTTAAGGACATGAATTTAAAGCTGAAACTTGCAGGAAGCGAACATTATTCACGTGTACATGGAGGCCTCAGTGCGCTGGCTCACAATGTCATTCCATTTTCTAAACAAAGAGACTGGAAGTACAAAAACATTAAACTTGTTCAGCTTTCATAATTCAATTTTAACAATTGTGTGTTGCACTATGAATGTGAAAATCCCTCTTCGGAACAAAGACATACACAACTTGCATGATACATGTAAACACTTAAATGTATTCCAGTGTGTTTCACTTTCACTACTCACTGCCTTTTACTATTTTCCCCCCCCCCCCCAATTTTTTCCATTTGTTGTCAATCTTGGCTGAAGAAAATGAGAAGAAAAACATAAATACTCCAAAGTCCTGGACGTGAAAATATTATGAAACTGTTCCCAGATATCGCATGCTCGGATGGAAAATTACTACACAGATTAGATTTGCCCTTTATTACACGGAGCCCTAAACCGCCTCTCACACACGCACACCGAGTAAAAGATTATTTATAAACCTTGGCAGCGTGTCAACATCACATGATGCCCGGTTCTTGCTGACGCACATAGCTATTGATTATTATTGGCCAACCTGGGAAGGGACCGAGACCGAATTGTCAACGTGGAACTTGGGTATTAATGAAATGCAGCAGGGCAAGTGTTTTTTTTAGCTTGCGGTGTAGGGATTGTATTGTGTGGGTTTTTTGTGTGCGTTGTATATATAGGGCAAAGCTTGCTGATAAGCCAAGATTTTGGATTACATATTGGAATATTTGCTCGTGATAAAAGAATAGGATGATGAACCATTGTTGTTACAGAATGGAGATAAAATTCTCGTAGCGTACATTAACATACAGTGTGCAAATTGTGTTGCATACAATTTTAAGTCCGTGTTTATTGGGACACTTAAAATACATTGTGGATGTCACATGCATAGTGTATGGACGACATTAGTGTTTCTTACACATTTACATACTGTACATATATAGACATATATTTTTTTTAAAGTCCATGTGGTACAATATGTAATATAGGCCAGTACACGTGTAGTTTACAATACATACATGTACATGTGTAACCCTTGTTGCAAAACACGGTATATGTGTGGGATATACGTGTATTACAGAAGAAAAGCTCGTGTTACCTTTGTTTACATGTTCAGATCCACACTGCCACAGATCATAAATCATGTGAGGTTTACATGTTTTAAAAAAAAATTCCCAAATCTGTGTACAGATGTCCTTAACGTTGAAACGAAATCCGAGTTATGAAAAATGAACCTACATTCACGCGATCTTCCTAACATGCATAACCCAAATAATGAATGATGTTTTCAAACCTATTTAATTTATAAAACCGTATAGAATCACCGCAGTGCTGGGGTAAACGTAATTAAGTTTGTACTTTTTTAATGACTGCCCGCTATTTATTATGTCAATCCTTGTCGATTTATCATGTCAATCACGCCGGTCTGCAGACATGGTTTGCAGGCATCGTCCCTTGTGAAATGGTTTGAACGGTATTTTAAGTGTTTGCTGAATGTTTACAAAATTCAATGCTAAGTCACATCCTTCTAAGTCACATCCGTCTACTCGTGTGTTTTTTATATTCCTCCACATGTGGTCTACTGTATAGCCAATGAACATGTACATGTACATGTACATGTACATGTCACTGAATGTTGCACATTTCCTGCCATGGTTCATGCACAAACATTGTGTACATGTATGTATTTATAGGTACATAATAATTAATATGAAGGTACATAACATGAAGATGCACGGTATGGAGGTGCATTGATATACATGTACATGTAGATACCTGTACATGTATAGGTGCATTGATATATACATGTAGGTATAGATACCTGTACATGTATAGGTGCATTGATATACATGTAGGTGTAGATACCGGTACATGTATAGGTGCATTGATACACATGTAGGTGTAGATACCTGCACATGTATAGGTGCATAAATGCACATGTAGGTGCATAGATAATCACCAGTGTGATTAAGAAGACTGCAGTCCAAATCCATCTGTCATGGTTTGTTGCATATTCGTAGAATTATCAATAATGAACCCCATGCTGCATACATGATGGTTGACCATTACATGTGCGGAAGAAAGTGTCTGATAAACTCTTTCTTGCTAAATGTCACATGTAAATTGTTACCTTTTTTGTGTGTGTGTACTGTAAATTCAAAGCATGGACTGAGAATTTCATCGTTAGCTTTAACAGTCATGTAACTGCTGTTTTATAGTTAAACAGAAGGCTGCGATGAAGAAGGAAGATTAAAGAAAGAAACGGACTCGAAAAACAAATAAGCTTTGCCGCATGATTGCAAAATAAGACTCAGTTAATTCGCAAACCCTTGGAAGAGAAAGCTAGAGGTTGAATGTAATCCGATTTGTGGTTTCGGCCCTAGGTGATTGAACCTGAAGAGACTTACCCCCCCCCCCCCCCCCCCAAAGAAAAAAGATGAGATTGGAACGGAAGATGGGGCTTAGAAACCACTGTTGCTTTTGCAACATATGGCAAAGTTTTCCACAGAAGGAAACGGACGGACGCGGGGGAAAGAACGGCGAAAGAAAGAAAACAGAGTTCCCTGTAATGAAGGTGGTTTCAGGTGACGGTGGCATCGCTGGCTCGGTTGAACAGGACATCATCATTGCCTTGGCCCCGGATCGATCTGCAGGCTTTGCCACATTTCCCCGGGGTGGATTGGCCGACTCTGCCCGGCCAGGCTGCCGAGGAGTGCGAGGACACTTGATTTTGCCGACAGCAGTATACCGGGTTTTTTTTTATATTGTGAACGGGGCCTGTGTGCTGGCGCATCCGCTCTTGTCAATGTGTAGCGTTGGAAATGTCAAAGGTAGATGCAGTGGAATATTCCACGGTCCGAAAACGGACTCACAAATTGGATTCCTGTGTTTCGTTTGTTGAACGGAAGCAGTATTCGTCGAGATCCTGAGATCTGAACTGTATATTTTCACCAAGTTCTTCAAACTAAAGCACTGAAATGTTTGAATCAGATAACTCACACCTGGCCCCATCACAATTTCAATCAAATTGAAACAGTAAGCAAGCACAGTTTCTATGAATACAATTCACAAATAAATTTAGCAAGAATTCATTCAACATGTATACATTTTAGTGTAGCCTGCTGTACAATTTCAAGGATCACAAGAAAGATGGCCTAAGATACATTGTATGTTTGTGTACCCAACTAATACTGTTTTATCACGCACGTGGTTGTCACCGAAATCGTGAACAATAAAACATGGCCCTCAGGATAACGAAACATGGCATACATTAACTTCTTTATAGTTATACTGGCACGATATCATAGCTTCACCCTTATGAGGTCAGTTTACATGTAAATAATTAAACTTGTAGAATTTCATTTTAGAAAGATGTTATTTGTTGCAAAATGATAGTTATAGTTTGTTGATGGCATATCCAGAAAATCTACACAACCCTCTTTATCAAAGTTGTCACGGATGGCCACTAAAATGTATTACATAATTATCCCTACTTCGTCCTTGCTGATTATGTAACGCTTGCACTGCAGATATAACTGAACACATGAGTTCCCCTCAAGAATATCTGCAAGTTCCAAAAAGCCTGATCGAAAAAGAAAAGGAAAAAAAAAAGTTTGGAATTAATAAAATTGCGAGATTGCCTGCGTTCATCTCCCAGCCACTCCCCCATGGTGCTCCAGACAAGGATTTTAATTACCGATTCTAAATTGAAGGTGACGCGGTGATTGAAAATGCAATAAGGGGCTTCATGCAGCCTCCAAACCAGAAAATGCTGCCAGAAATTTAATAAAAACCTTGCATACTATGACCCAGTGGGTAAACAACGGGAGCCAATAATGTTCCGAGGGGCACTGTCCTCGTCTTCCGGGGATTTTTTTTGGGGGGGGGGGGGGGTTTTACCAACACAATGGGGTGTTCCAGATTTAGCCACATTAGCCCCGCCCACTTTCCACAGATGAGTTTCCCCATGTCACACTTCGTGTTCCAGTTCCGCGCGTCATGTGTATGCCTACATTGTGAGTGCACATACCGGTATGGCAGACTTTTGTCGGGCATTCGGTTGCGCAGAAATAGGTGTGATTGGTCGAAACATCAAGGGGCGGGCGTAAGTGACTTCCTCGTCTCATCATTTCTGAAAGCGCCAAATTAAAAATCTCCAAATAATCATTTACATGACGATGCATCGTGCGTGGGCAACATTTAAACACTTAAATAAAATTGAGATTGCATTTTTGGCTTGCAAACTTGTACATGTGTAAAAGCGCAGTTTAAATACATGTACATGTGTTCCTCGGGAAATATTGCGTGCGTATGTAAAAAAAAAAAAAAAAAAAAAGGACTATAAATATTTTTTTAAAAATTTGTGGTATCAATTACATGTCGTGGAGTTGCACTCTATGTCAAATTCTGATGCCTGCGAAAAACCGGTTCTTACAACACTGCAACCGAAACAATTAGCACTCTACTGAACACACCCCCTTTTTGGTTGTATGTTCTGTACAAATTGATTGAAGAAATGCCATTGCTCAATGCAATACATGACTTCTGTAGTGTCTGGTTGGATATACTGTGATTTTTGTTGCCATTGCTTTCTACTCTGCTGTACAAGACTTCAGATCATCTTGTCTGCAACATTTGATTAAATTTGTTGTATTCCTTTTCTCTCTCTTTTGTTTGCAGATCATTAGATGACAGATACGACCACCCTGGATCCACTTACGAATACGGCAGCCGTGGATATGATAGACACTATGGCAGGGACTCGGGAACATACCACGAGGAGGAAAGTTTACCCGTTTCATATCGCGATCGGCCACGAGATCGAACGTACAATCGTGGCACCACCTACTATCAACATTCCAGCAGCAACAGTAGTGCGCGGGGGACCGGCGAGACAAACTTTGACCCGCCCCAGCCGCTGCCTTCCACCCAGCAATCGGACCAGGATTATCGTTTCCTAAGGGACCAGTTTACGTCGTCGTCCTCCTCACGGGTCGACGGGGACTCGTACTCGGACTCAGGGGCTTCGCGAAAAGGGCGGAGCCGGCAGCGTAAGCCCGCCCGTCGGGCGGGGTCGGCTAAAACTGCCACCAGCCGGTCCCCACACTCGGGTTCGGCCACCCACTCTAGGAGCCTGAGTCGCTCCTTGAGCCGATCCCCACACAGTCGCAGCCAGAGCTCGGACTCGGACAGCAGCATCTCGCAGGGGGGCGCCCCCAGCGAGGAGAACTGGGAACGACGGTCGCGGAGTAAGGAGAGCGACAGGGAGAGCCGCAACACGGAGAACACACTCAGCTCGGCTGGCTCCAAGAACGCGGCTGGACTCTGCGTCAGGAACTTGCCCACGAGATCCAGCGGTACGTGTCACTGGGAGTTTCTTAGTAAATCTGGAATATATCACCCCACGGGAGGAATATATATTAAAAAATATACACCTAGCCTGGATTTACCCACCCTTGGATGATATTAAAGTCGTGCACCCTTCGCAGGAAGTATATATATTGTGTTGGTTTATTTCTGGGCTCGACCATTTCCAACACGCTCTTGTGGTTAATGGTTGATTCCCTACCTAAACCCTCACACGGATTGTCATCGGTATCGTCTTCCATTGTGGGCTCTGGATTTTTCTGAAATGCATTGAATGGATCTATTCCGGCCAGCGGCAACGTCATGGAAATATACTGGCAGCGACATCCAGGAAATGGGTACATGGTATTGGGTACCCAAGTCAATAAATGTGTGTTAAAGAGAGAGAGAGAGAGAGATCGGTGAAGACAAGAAAGGTGGCAGGGTTCATTTGGGCAATTTTGTGCCCCATTTTAGCGCTCACATGTTTGCAACACGGAACTTTGAGTGATCCTTGCGCTGACTTGCCCTGACCTCGGACTGACACCCGTCGGTATTTTTAAACCAGCTTAAAAAAAGAAGAACAGGCTTTTGACTGTTTATGGCAATGCACCTGTATTGATTGGCCACAGGTGGTGCCCATTGGCTTTTGGTGTCAGCTGGAGTTGGCTCTTAATTAAATGGAAGAGTAGTCAAGGCTTTTCACACTGACGTAGTCTTGAGGCGTTTTGGGTTGGATTCACCTTGGGTCAAACTTGTAGACCGTTCACACTGCATTTTGGACAGGGGTCCCAAGTTTAAAAAAAAAGTTGAACCTTGTTTGAGACTTTGATGGATTGTTACATACCACCAAAAATCTTTGGCATTGGAACAAACCCTTGAGAAAAGTTGGGAACATTTTACATTTCAATTCATGATTAAGATAGAGAAGGCGTTTTCTAGCCAAATTGAAATCGACTCTGTATGAGATCAGCACTTGAAATCTCAACACGAATCTATTATCAAAGCAACTAACAAGCGACCCTTGTTAAAAAAAGAAAAAATTCCACCATGTGAATAGTTCATTCCCTTGATCGGTGGGGTTCAACTGAGGTCAGGTGAAAAAAAATTACCATATTTTGACACTTGTCCTACGTGTATCTTGAGATTTGTGATAGTGTGAACAGACTTTAATTAAGCAAAAACACTTCAACCTGGTCTGCTGTTAAGCAACAGTACAGCAAGGTAGCATTGAGATATAATTGGATTCATGATTTCTGTTTCATTTACAAGTGCATGTGTTTACTTGAGATGATGTTTTACACCCTGGTCTGATAGACACGAGTATCAAGGATGGTTTGTTTCACGAGTTCAAGAAGTACGGCCAGGTTACCGCGGTGACGGTCCACGGCACGGGAGATGAGAGAGCCGGCATCGTCTTCTTCAAGAGGTGATTTTATTTTTTGTATCTCAAAGATGGGTTTCGAATATCCAGTTTCCCAAATCGAAACTGAATGGCGGAATTCAAACCGAATTTTAAAAAATCCAGATTTAAATCCCACCACTACTAGTGCGTAAGCACGGTTCGACCCCAGTAATGCGTTCTATATCAAATTCCCCACATGGGGTCTGTGGAGCTCAAATTTTATTTTGTGTGTGTAAATGATGAGTAAAATAAGTTACCTCGGCCATAATTTCATACATCTGAAGTTAATCCGACTTGCTGGTAATGTCCACTTGCCAGCACGTTTTCAGAAAGTGGCGTAAACCAGTTAGGGAGGTGTTACGTGTTGCGCGCAGAATTGACGTTATCGCCGTTTGCGAATTAGCCACGCCCCTTAGACAACCCTTTGGATTTTTTGTACATTAAGTTTTGGTTGTCTCAGATTTTGCGCGTTCTGCGTGCATTTGTATATCATGTAATTGGCCAATATTCCACAAGCTGCGTTGACGCAATTCTACCGCGATAGGCTAATACCGTGGTGAAAGTACATGTAGTCAACACTGATCTTGCCACATTATCGTCACACACACACATATCACTAATTACTGTAAATGGGTAACGTTATCTCTTCTGTCATTGCAGCAGGTCACGGATCTTAATTCGCTCACTGAACGGATTGTGAGCTGCTGTCAACAGCTTCTTTTTTTGTGTGTTGGGGGAGGGGGGTCATTTCAGAAATCTCAGTAGAGCTGGTCAGAAATTCTTTTTTCCAGAAACCCAACTCTGATTTTTGCATTATTTTAATACGTTACACATTGTTGCAAAAAACGGAATCTAACAAACTTGTGCCATGTACATTGAACATGTACATGTACACATCAGACTCGTTCTTTCACCTCTTGAATTGTCTTGAAAATCATATCTGACCAAGTAAATTGCATCTACTGGTAGAGTATAGTATTTCCTTGAACAGCCTATACAATTTACATTGATCTTCCGCGGGAAAATATTCTTCGCTCAAATTCGAAACACGTTGAAAATTGAATGAATTCCTTTATTGAATAAAAAAATAGTCTGGGATTTCACTGAAACGGGTCAATTCATATCTTGTATGCAGTGGTGCATCCTTTGAAGTAAGTTGAGAACAATTTCCACAAATCTCATACTCGTCCCCTTACAAATGAAGAAAAGTGTTTTGTCATCCTCGCGGATTTTCAACGCAGACTTTTATAAACAATGCGTAAATGAACAATTTCTTACACAGTATCCCCAGCTGTGGTAAAAATACATGAACGTAAATAAAATTTGATGAATAAATGACCTTGTCATCACATACTTGAAATTAAATCAAAATCTGAATAGAAACTCTAAATTCGGGAAATCCTGTTTCCCCCTCCCCGAAATGGAAAACAAGCATATCCTGGCCCCCTTTTGTTATCTACAATCAGCCTCCTTCTCTGAGTTAATTGAGTTTTCAGGGCTGGCAGTTGTGGCCAGCATTGTATGCATGCCAGTTCGTCTTTTTATGATAATTCCCAGCCCGCGTCCCCGCTAAATCTGCAGCCCCGCTGAATCTGCAGCCCCGTGCGTCATTCGCCTTTCCCCCGGCTTCTTCAATAATACTCAAACCCGGCAAATCAGCCGCGGGGGAAAATGGGTCAGATTTCCTGCAGTGTGTCGCTGCACAGCCCTCCCCCCCCCCCCCCCCCCCAAATAAAAAGTAGAAACGAAAGGCCGAATCCTGGGCTTTGCAGCACCGCAGTTCTTCTAGAATGCGCCGCCATTCACACGAGGACGCTGGGATGAAAAGTCCTAATTGCATCTTGCTTGTTTGCTTGCTTGCTGCATGATGAGCGTCCTGAATATTTCATGTCGTTATCACATCGCCGTAATTGCGTACGAAAATATTCAATACACGCACTGCTCACCCCCAAGTTCAGTGGTGCATGTGGTGTGAGTGATAGCAAAATCATTGTAGCACCCACTGCTAAGTCTTTTTTAAACGTTTTGTAATTTTCTAGATTTTGAGTTGATGAGCCTCAAAATTATTCGAATGTACAGCAAAGCAATCAAGATGTGCACAAATAAATTAATTGACAAACGTGTAAGCTGTCACTTACAATGATTAAATTGTGTGGAGAAAATGACATGTAATCCCCACTTCACGAAGATATGCAAAACAGCCATATGCCGAGCATTTAAGCAGAAATAAAGTAACTTTTTTGTTTCAAATTGGAAAAAGTAAACCATCGTGGTTCAACTCTTCCATCAAATAGCGATACGAAGATATGCATTAAACGAGGACCATTACTGCTCCAGTTTCAGACTTTTATCTCTTCCTTGAGAAAACACAAGTCTAGTTTAGAAGCAATGAACAATAGCCTTGCCCTCGTTTCACCAATGTGACCGTGTCCGGACCCCATTCCAAAAGGAAAAAAAAAAAAAATTATAACATTCCGTTCTTTCCATTACTGTGCAAATGGATTTCAATCGCTGGACTATTTTCTTACGCTCGCATGGTGCCTACTCCAGCCCTCCGAAACAATTTCAGTCTCTTGGAAATGCTGTAACCAGAATGTTCGATACGAGAGGATGGCGTAATTAAATTAAACGTATCCTAGGCATCAAATCGTCTCTCTTTCCTTCCCCACCCTCCCTTGTCCCCCCCCCCCCCATCTCCACCACCACTGCCCTGGAGATCGAACCCCCCTCCCTCCCTCCACTACCCCCCCCCCCCCTACTTGTTTGCCTCGTTCCGCACGAATTAATAACCTTGCCCTAGTTGCATATTAAAAAAAAAAGCGAGATGACAAACGAGCAGTTGCCGTTCTGGCGCGGCGGAGCGTGTGATGTCCCCAAATGCCAGACAGACCTTGCGCAACGCGGAACGCTACATTCCCATGCATGTATCGACCTACATTTTTTTTCTCTGATATTCCTGGATCCTCACTCGACTCATTTCGAAAATTGTTTCCAGCCTCAACCGTTCTCTGTTTCAAATTTCATTAGATGTGATTGAAGAGCATATTTTTTTTAATGATGTCATTAAAGTTTTGTTTTGTCAAGCACAGCTCTAGACTGATTTTTGTTTTTGTTTAATTTAAGCTGGATCTGTTTTCAAAAAACAACAACATGGAAACCTTGATTACAGAAAGCAAAAAATATGAAAAGCAAATTTTTATGATTTTTTTTGGGGGGGGGGGGGGCTGAGCATAAAAAAATTAACCCGTCGCGGTAGAATCGTGTCATCGAAGCTTGTGAAATAATTGTCCAATCACATGATATACAAATGGAAGCAGAATGCACAAAATCTGAGACAAACAAAACTTAATGTACAAAATTCCATAGGGTTGTAAGGGGCGTGGCTAACCTGCAAATGGCGATGGGTCAATAGGTGGGCTGCTCCTTCAGTTCCCTGTAGCCTTTTAATGGCACAGGTTAAATATCACTCTTTGGGGGCCGAAAGAAAAAGAAGAAGTTGACATTAAGCTCCAAAAAAAGCCTTACAACTTTACTTCTGAAAAAAATCTGCATCTGGTTCCCAGACCCATGACAATACAAAGTGTTGAATCACAGATACAGGTACCCACCCATTTTCAGTTAATGCTGTAAGTCTTCTGTACTTAATATAGAAAGAAGAAGGAAAAAAAAAGATAATCAAAAAAATCTTGAGGTTGGCTACTGATCGTTAAAATCTGTATTTGGATGTGAAGTCTTATGCTTACAGTCAAGTGACATTGAAACCAAAGTCTCTGCTATACATTTAAATGTCACGGCTAAAAAAGTGGTTGAAAATCTTTCCTTCATCACACGGAGTCTTTTCTTCTGCTTCTCATTCCACAGAACGGAAGACATGGAGAAAGCCCTGGCAGCGTCGAAAGGAAAACTCTTCTTCGGCTGTGAGATGAAACTGTCGACATGGGACGGACCTGGTAAGATATACTGTGATGTGATTAAGGAGGGGGAGGGGTAGAGGAGGGTGGAGCTTAGGTAAGGGAGGATGAGTGACAGCAGTTACATTCAACCTAACTTCCTTGCTTGGCAATTTTACAAAGTAGTTTCATGAGATCCGTAGAGATCCATCACTGCAGTAAACCTATGGCACACTCTATAATCTAATAGAATTGGGACGCCATAGGGTTTAATATTATGTACATGTAGAATGCTATATGTGTTGGATTTTCAAGTATATAGACTCCGTGCATGGACAGTAGAGGGCGCTTTGTGACCACTTTTGAGACCCCCATTGGGAGGGACCCCTGCGTGAATGTACTGGTTCGTGTGCAAATTGTGTGATGCACGTAGGACTTATTCTGAATGTGCGCACACACTTCGCGTCTTTGCGTGAGCGCCAGTCGCCGTCGGCAGTACGTTCGAATGATCCTCCCAGCGGTTACCCCCCAACTCTCCGTTTGCAACCGTTGAGGGGTACTAAGCCATAGCATCAGTACACGAGCATCACATGCCGATACGTGTACGTGTCGGTGTTGAAACGTTGACGCCTAAAATTGGGCGCGATTTAGGTGCGCAATTTCAGGCTGTTTGCATGTATCGGAGGGGAAGACGGAATGAATTTGTGGCGACGCAAGTCTTCAACAGTAGTTCAGATGGTTTGCATCTCCACATATCATGTTGAATTAATATGTACACATGTCTTCAAAGGATCCTGAAATCTGCACTGTATGAAAGACGACGGGAATACATTAATGTCGGAAATAAGCACACGCACGAATCAGTGTGCTATCCCCACTGGTAATGTACATGTACAATATATATATGTGCCAGTGGTCCTGTGTTTGAATCACAAGGGAGCATAACTTGCTTCCTGCCTTGATTCCCTGGCTAGTCTCAAATTCTCTAACCTGAGAAGCGTAGGCTGTGAGTCTGGACTAACATTGAACCTGCCCGCCTCCGGCCGGCTGCCAGTCCCAGCAACTCTGCCTCAGCGCCGTTACCTAACGTGCAACAAGCCACAATCACTTGAGTCAACCCAGGCCCAAGTTTAGTTCAGGTCTGGGTTTTGAAATGAACCAAGACTGTAGGACCCAGTCGCCCCTCCAGCAATGTGCATCCTGTCGAATATATAATCCTACCCACCCCAATGGGGACCCAGCCAGCACCCCTCATTGACCCCCCTGTATAACCCCAGCCCTGGCCAGCCAGTTCCTCTCTAGTCCGTTCCTTTTTCCCAGTTCCTCTGGCGTACTAATAGAGTGCTTCCTTCAGCTCTTCCTTTCATCCCTGGGGAATAAAATAGTTAGGGGAAGGGGACCTGGCTTTTTTTTTGGCCAGAAGTATTAAAAAAAGAAATAGGAAATTTGAAACACAGTGTTAGGGGACCGTCTATGAAATGTACAATCGGGATTGGGTTTTGTAGTATTGGTTGTGGTGTTATAAAATTGAGGTTGTTGGCGTTTTCAATTTGCTGTTTGAAATTGCAAGACATAAAAAAATGTCTGTATTCACTAAAAAAAATGGGGGGAAAATGGGATATTCTGTCCAGTCAACCAGCCTGTGTCACAAAATATCCTTTTCTTTAGTTTTTTTTTTTTTAAAGTCTGATACCTATAGGTGCTGAACTTGTAATTATTATTGAATGTAAACACAGTACCTACTTTTGAATAATAGCCCTAACAGTCCTGAATCCTCCAAATTCAATACGATTTTGCACACCCCCTAGGGAGTTAGGGTTAAAAGTATTAAAAAGAAATGCTACATTGACTTTAAATGTGGACATTATATGCCTTTCATGATGAGACACAGTTTAAGCTACAGTCCATCATTTGCAGCTATCCAAAAAGTAACTGATGTAATTATTGTTGAAAAGCATACTTGGTTGAAAAATAGTAATAGGCACAAAACACCCTGTGAAATTATTCTTTCTGGCAAGCTGTCATTTTGAAGAAAACAATGAATGAAGGCCTCTCCAACGATGCCTCTAAAGACACATCGTTCGAAATTTCCGTTTTCACAAAATATGAGCACTTTTGTTGCTTCAATTCAAACGAACATTATGCACATATATACAGGCGATGCACTGTACCTTTAACAATGATACATACATGTATGACATAAGCAGTGAGACTGCATTTTCTATTTGTAAACCTCCAGAGTACCCAATCTTTGAAAAATAAAACCACACCAGTTGGTTTCTGAAAATTGCACTGCCACAATACTCACAGTTGGTGTTGTGTTTTTGGACAAGCAAACCTACTACTCTACCTTTAAAATCCTCAGACTCTGCGTCAGCTCCTTAGTCCTTGCACATTTATAATGTTAACCAGCCCTCTTCAGGGATCGCACTCAGACATACAGGCACTAGTCTGTCATTCTAATCTAAAAAAAAAAAAATACGGTGATATAGTACCAGGATTATATGACTACCAGATGGCTGCAGTGTGCAGTGTAATATAGTTCTACCATATTTGGTTGTTACATGTAACTCCCCAACTGGCTGGACTGGCGCTCGGTCTGCGATACCAAGAAAAACAGCCCCAAATAGTCCGGGTCCCCGCACGGTTTGGTTTCCGAAGTCATAGTTTTGATAATTGCCCTGGTCGACCTGCTGAAAGATTTTCTGATGATTAAATGAAAGCCACTGTAGTTTTATGTTTGTAAGAGTTTTGTGTGCATGATGATCCAAAAAAGCTGGCTTTGATTGAATTGGCAAGAATTTTGAAAATTTTGGTTTCAGATTTTTGTGGGTCAGAATTATCAAATAATACTCTTAAAAACCACTTTGTATTCCCAAAGGGCTTTTAAAAACATAATAAACTGGACTGCTGTGCCTTTTGCAGGTTTGCATGAAATTTAAAAAAAAAAATCAAAAAATTCTGATTGCACAGGCCACCCACAGTACATGTATGTTTGTGGCACATTCACATTTTCAAAAGCCTCAAAATGTTAATATGCTTGCCTGAATTTATTCACAGCGGATGTTGTCCGAATATCTTACTACCCGAAAGGATCACTTTGTGAATATGAAGTGTTCATATGAATAATTTAAGTGGTCTACGGTAGAAGACCCAACGAAAATGGCATCTCGGATATGAAGTATTTATAAAAAGCCTGACATTTAGACTTGCGTCCTGCATACGTAATTGCAGGGCTGTTTGGCGTGGGCTGTAGTTGTATACATGTATATTCCACGCCCAAGCAGGAACTCCATAATGTGCGGGCTCCCCTCCAGGTTTCCGTAAAGGTCATCCGTAGTGTAACTTTCCCAGTAATTGAGACGTCTGTTTATCAACACACGGAGGCTAGGCTGTATTTGAATGTGTGGGTTTGGGCCTGATACGCTCCATAGAGAGATGTGGGAAATAAAGGGATGGAAAATCCTTAGGCCGCGCTTTTTCCGAATAATTTTAGTATTCGATTATTCCGACTTGGACTTGATAGAATATTCAAATATTCGATTTTGAATTCACTGATCAAAGCTTAACTTGAGCCAGCCGAAACTGGCCGATGATTGGGATTTGGAATAATATAAATGTCAAATGTTGGGATTTGGAATAATATAAAAGTCAAATGTTGGGATTTGGAATAATATAAAAGTCGAATGTTGGGATTTGGAATAATATAAAAGTCGAATGTTGGGATTTGGAATAATATAAAAGTCGAATGTTGGGATTTGGAATAATATAAAAGTCAAATGTTGGGATTTGGAATAATATAAAAGTCAAATGTTGGGATTTGGAATGATATAACAGTCAAATGTTGGGATTTGGAATAATATAAAAGTCAAATGTTGGGATTTGGAATGATATAACAGTCAAATGTTGGGATTTGGAATAATATAAAAGTCGAGTGTTGGGATTTGGAATAATATGAAAGTCAAATGTTGGGATTTGGAATAATATAAAAGTTGAGTGTTGGGATTTGGAATAATATAAAGAACCGGTAGCAGAATGGCTGATATTTGACAAACTTAAAGAAGAAACTTGAGCTAATATTTATCATGGAAGCTCTCAGATTATGTGGTGCAAATTGGCATTCAACAAATGTGTGGTACAGTAAAACCACAGGACTTGTACCTTTTTCATCATCTTCTCGAGCTCGCTTAAATTTTGAATATTTGAATCGATAGATACTCGACTATTCGAATATTTGGTATAATCGGCACAGACCTGGAAAATGCAATTCTAGCTGCCGGGAAGTTTATGTGGATTGGTTGGGGTAAAGCTTGGATGGGCTCCTTTAATTGTCTTTGACAATCATACATGTACATGTGCACTATGTGGGAATAATAATAATTACATGTACTTGTCTTCTAAACACTTTTAACCAGTCACAGACAGTCAAAATTCAACCTTGTTCCCCTGCCATACCTTTTATACACAGGCTAGTCACCAACAATCAGATCACATTTCGTGTAGGAACTGTGACATTCAAATTCCATCAACAGACAAAAGCAGGCAACTGGTAGGCACAGCCGGCTTATCAATCTCCTACTGTCAAATCACAGCTATATGAGGTTTCATAACAATCACAGCCAGTCAGTCCTGCTTTATGAAGGCAGGGAGCACTCAACTGTTTAAAAACAGTCACTTGATTTATTCTGACTGCTGGGCTGACCTTTTTGAAATTGCCAGCCAGAGAGGGAGGGTTTCACACAGATTTTGAGTGTTTTGAGATACTGCGTTTGAAACCGGACAATCTTAAAATTTGTGTGTTTGCTATTGGAAACAAATTTGTTCCGAAACCGCATTTTGAAAGCTGATACCGTTGACCTTTTAAAAAAAATTTTGCTCTTAAAATGAGGAAGAACTGGATCTGTTTGGTTGCAGATAACGGACCAAAATTATCAGGAGGGAAATTAGTATGGTATGTTTACGCCCATTGCTTCTCTCCCGATAACAAAATGTGCTAAAGATTACGGAGGACTTTAGGGTGAGATGTGTGGGACGTCATGAGGAAACCACAGAACCAATTTGAGACGATAATACACTGAAGTCTATATGCTAGACCGCATTACTAATGTCTCAAGATTTTGATGTGGGATGATTAGAATTTGAAGTACTTTGATTCCAAGAATGTTTGTTATCCTGGCTAGTCAGTTTCTGTGGGTAAACCTTCAGGCTCCAACTGGATTTGTTCTCTCATCTTTTCCGTCATGGTTTTCCATTCTTTTTCCATCTACATACCAGATGAAATAAACATTAAAACATTGAAGCAGTTTCACATTGTAAGAACATGTTATTGTATGTGTTGGTGCTGCCCATTGCACTTCAGTGTATGCTCACAAATTGGTTTGATTTGTCTTTGTATCCTGGGGATCGCCAATGGAGCTTTTTAGTTTCTAGATTCACAGGCATTCCATTGAAGGTTTTGAAGGCCCTTCCTGCGCGAAATGTTATCACAGAGATAACCCCTGCATACTTTGCCCCAAGATGACCCCCATTGCAGGAGAGGCACTCATATAACATTCAGCTGGATATATGCCAGTGAAATCAGGAACGAATTCAAGTATTCACGCTCGGAATCGTTCCAACAACCACAGTAGAATCCTAGCATATTACCGGTATATACTGACAAAGAATTGAGTGCTAGTGTTAAGTATAATCCAATGTTTGTATTCAAATTGTTTTGTCAACTCTATTCAGAAGACAAAACATGTCTGTTTGTTTTGGGTCTTCCCTCTTAAGGGCCCAAATCTAGTTCGGGCTTCAACAATGAAACAAATCAAATGTGTGTGATTGAGATGATCTCTTCTGCTTGCACATAGGTGTAAATGTCCTCAGAAGTTGAGGCAACCATTCAGGACGTCTGTATGTGTGTGTGTGTAAATGCTAGGCACTGGCACCACATGATTGACTTCTGTCTACTTTTACGTCCTCAGAACCATAGTCAAAGTCAAGTCCATCTCCAGCCTCATCACAAGTCATGTGACAAGTCAATAATTTGTTGGGTCACAAGGAACAGGAGAAAACATTGACAAAGGAAACTAAACATTCCTTTGAATATCTTGTGACTTGACTTGAGATTGAATGACTTGTGGATGAGTTGAGATTGACTTACGAGGACATGTGGGGACTTTTGAGGACTTGTGGGGATTTTATAATATTGTGAATAACTTGTGGACGAGTTTTGATTGTCTTGTGGGGAATTTACAGGACTTGTGGTACTTATGAGGATTTTTGAGGGCCTGTGTTGACTTTTGAGGTCTTGTGGGGACTTTTGAGGACTTGTAGGGAATTTTAAGGGCTTGGGACATTGCGCACTTGTGCGGACTTCTGAGGACTTGTGAGGACTTCATCACATTTTTTTTACAGTGGGCTGCTGGCCTTTTAGTTCTTTGTTTGAATTTCTGTGTGATTTCATCCTTCCCCCTTCCTCAGAGATTGGCGTTGACGACAGCGACGTCCGGTACTACGAGAAGGAGCTGGATGAGTTTCATCCCCGGGCTACCAGGACACTCTTCGTAGGCAACCTGGACCGTACCATCACGAGGGAGGAGCTTAAGGACGCTTTCCAGAAGTTTGGCGACATTGTGGTGAGTGCCAACCTCACATGGAGTGCTTTAATTTCTGAGTAGAGGTGTGGTTGAAGACTTCGAGTGTCGTATTTCTAAGAGGAAATACAGAACCTCCACTTTGAATTGACATACAGGGTGATCCCAAAAAAGTTGTGCAAGCAGATATCGTTATATTTCTCAAAAAGTACCTAACTTGAGTATTTCATTTCGATGGAGCACATTAATTATACTCTTGTGTATAATAAGTGAAAATGTCATGGAAACCCATTCATGCAAACCAGAGCTGTAACAGATCATAAAGGGATGTGTTTTTCAACCATTCCAATGGGAATTAGACATTGCGTTGGAAATCGCTCAACCGGCACTCTGCAATGGGTCGTTTTCATTAACTGTGTAAATTACATTGGAACGGGTGAAAAACACATTGCCATTTATAATCTGTTGCATCTCTAGTTTGCATGAATGGATTTTCATCAAATTTTTGCTGTGATTATACACAGGAGTACAAAACAATGTACTCCATCAACATGAAATGCTGATGTTGGATACTTTTTGAGAAATTTAAAGATGTCTGCTTGCACAGCTTTTTGGGGGGTCGCCCTGTATGGGGAAGCAAAATGTACAACAGTGTAACATCTTATTTAATGTTTAACCCAAACAGTCCCGAATCCTCCAATTTTCATAAGATTTTTAACACACCAAAGGAAATTAGGGTTAATGTCATTGACATTTTCAATAATGTGTCGAATTTTGCCAGTGAGAAACAGCCCTGCTAGGATCGAACATCAGGCAGTGTAACTTGTGTGATTTTTCAAAGTTGAAAAACATAAAAAATGGCAATCACACTAAACTTGCAGCTTACCTAGTAGGGGGAGTGTGGCCTAGGGGTTACGGTTCGTGACTCATGATCAGAGGGTCAGGGGTTTGAATCCAGCTGCTGGTCATGTGTTGTGTCCTTGGGCAAGCCACTTCACCCCCACTTGCCTCTCTCCACCCAGGAGTATAAATGGGTACCGGCATTAGCTGGGGAGTAACCGGCGATGGACTGGCATCCCATCCAGGGGGAATAGAAATATTCTCAGTTGTTTCATGCTACTGAAACTGGAGATAAACGCCGGCCTGATGGGCCACATTTGCTTGTGACAGACTTTACTTTTCTTTCTTTTTTACTTACCTTGAAGAAGGATATTGTTGGCTTTATTTGTAGACAGTCACCAGTTATTCTAAAATAGCAGAGTTTCACAAATTGATGATTATATTTTTATGGCTGCACATTTCAGGACATTGAGATCAAGAAGCCACAAGGAGCTCAGCCGTTTGCCTTCCTGCAGTTCTCGGACATCGACAGCGTGGTGAGGGCCAGGAGGAAACTGGACGGAGAGATTGTCGGCAAAAACAAAGTCAAGGTAACATTGATTGAAACCTGTTTTTGTGTTCTTTGCATAGCGAGCCTCCAAAAATGTGTGAGTTAAAGGGTGATCACCCAAATTTTTAACCTCACAGACACTGGATTGCACAAAACTACCCCAACTGTGCCCTGCACTGCCTGACTTCTTTGGCAGTCTTGAGCTGTTCGTTGATCAAAACTGCTAACCCTACACTAGGTTTGCAAAGTTTGCAAAGTTTGCGCAATTTTCCTGAAGATGATCTTAGCACACTGTTCAAAACATCATATTCACTGGTTCTCCTCAAGACTGCACACAACTGGCAATACAGATACATGTACAATGGTGCTTGCTTATAACTCTCCTGAAGACGGTCAGAGCATACTGACCGGAACGTCGAGTGTATACCTCTGGTTCTTCTCAGAACCATTCTCTTAGTTGAGAAATTATTCGCACATGGTGTTTCCGCAAACCTTTCATTATTGCTTATAACTCCTCACATTGCTGATCCTATCAACATGAAAAAGCTTTATAGTCGTTATTCACATTATTGTTATATTTTGAATTTCTTTGTGATCTTTCCAACCCTTGCCTCAACAGCTTGGCTTCGGCAAGAGCATGGCCACCAACTGCATCTGGCTGGACAACCTGGCCACCAACACCACCGAAAGCTACCTCGGCCGCTTCTTCAACATGCGCTACGGTCCCATCTCCCGCATCAGCCTGGACAAGCAGACGGGCACCGCGCTCATCTTCTTCTACAACATTGAGCACGCCCAGAAGGCCATGCAGGACATGAAGAACACGCGCATCTCGGGCCGACGGCCAAAGGTAACAGGAATCAGATTGATCTTAGCTTTGGAAAGTTTTGAGATACACCTTGAGAAATTTTTGGCCAAATGTTGAAGAATTTTGGCCAAATCTTGCTTTCATTTCCGGCTTTGGCATCTGGACATTTTCGGTCCCTGACTTTCCTGGGAGATTCCAACTGAACACAGATCAGAGGTCTGCTTCAGGAACATGACGTCCAAGGCTTCTCATTTATTCTGAAAAAGACAACAGAGCTGTGTGATTTATTATTTTACCATTAGGGCTGTCCCGAATATACTGAATATTTGAATATTCAATCATCAACCGAATATTCAAATACCTCTTTGCCGGTTTAAATATTCGTGGCTGTCCCGAATATACTGAATATTTGAATATTCAATCATCAACCGAATATTCAAATACCTCTTTGCCGGTTTAAATATTCATAGGGGAAAAAAATACAAAATACACATGGCTGTGATGTTGTTTTAATCGTAAAGTTACGGCCTCTTTTTTGTTGACGGTGGTTTGATGTTCCCATCCTTTCAGCTGGTTAAAACCCTTGACACTTATAAATTCCTGCAGTAAAACACTCCAGCCGTTTATAATATCGATCGCCGCATGCACATTTTATCCGGTGCGTTTTGCGTACAACTTCTGACCAGCGTTGCATGTAGCTACCAGGTTGCGTGTGTAAAACTTGATCAGAGTGTTTCGGATAATCGAATATTCGATGGAACGCAAATCCAAATAATCAATACTAATTTATTCGAAAATGTACAGCTCTATTTACCATCAATTTCTTGGATAGGATTCTGCTGTTTTTCTCTTCACTTAAAGCATACTATGAAAGCGGATATTTCAGAGGTCTAAATCCTAGCCCTGTATTGGTCTCATTTTTTATCAAGGTTGACTTCGCCAGCAGGGAATGCCAGAATCACTTCTACGCTCGCCTGGACAAGTCTGGCCAGCTCCCCTTCCACGGAAGAGATGGCTCTCCAAACGATCGCGGATTCCGGGAATCACCTGGGTAAGGCTCTACCTAAAAAAGAAGTTTACACCCGCACCAAAGTGCTGATTTCTTTGTTATAAATCGTAGGTTTTATTTTTGCACCAGTGGTAAGTTTGGTCGTAAGCAGGAGGTCGTGGGTTCGAATCTCACCGGACAACACTGAGTCCACAGTATTTATGAAAGTACGTCGGTGAAGGGCAAAACCCAATATTGAATTTACGTCACCCCGATGCAAATTCCATCTTATGAATAGTTTATAAGGTGGTTGTAAGTTACCTCTTGTTGAAAAGCAGCTACTTCATTGTTGGGGGGCTATGCATGTTCCAAATAACAAGTGCCAACAGTTGGCTCAAATAAGGTTTTGAGCTTCACCGACGTTTAAACACTGTATACTCAGTGTGTTACCTCCCGAGTGAAAGTTGGAAAAAATCACTCGGGTGGGACTCGAACCCACGACCTCCTGCTTTCTAGTGCAGATGTCTTACCACTCGACCACCGAGCTAACGGGATCGGTTGGATGGTTCGAATCTGATGTACATAACAGCGGGTAACAGTTGGCTGTTAGTTTTTTCCAGGGGGTATTAACTATGAAGATTCACCAGTGCCCCTGGAGCATATGGGTGTGTGTTTGGTTTATAGGTCACGTCACATGCAATAGACTGTAGGGTGGAGGCCAGCAGTTCTATCTCAGAAATAGCGTGGGATGGCTTGGGTGCCTGGGACACTCAACAGACACAACTTCGCTGTCTGTGCTTGTCATTTCCTTTGCCAAAGTGTGAGTCATGACCATTTAGGGACAGGAAGTAGCAGTGACATCATCTCAGCCAATCTTAAAGTGGCATGAAGGATAATCTTGTCGACAACGATCCTGGTTGGACTTTGCGTACGTGCCCAAATCGGAATCAATACCCAAGTTAGAATCAGAGGGTTAAATCTGTTTAAAACTGGAAAAAAATATGTATGACCCTGTTGTAAGGAAGCAGATACTGGAATTTATTGGGAAATGAAATCAGTTTGCTTGGGATTGTTCAGATTTAAATTTCAAGTAGATGGCATAGAATTGTATGTCTCTGTTTTTACCCATCAGCCGAGAGGCTGGAGGGGTATTGTCATCGCCTACGACATCCAGCTAAGTTTCCGGATGATTACTTGAGTTAGAAATGTTGTTTTTGGATTGAAACTTCGGTAGAGGGTTGCCCTTGGGAGTAAGCAACTTGGGATTGGTTTTGGGGTCCAAAGGTCAAGGTCACCGTGGTGATTTAAAGGTCAATGTTTTCCGGATGGTAACTTGACTCTGGCTGAGTGGTTTCAACAGCAACGGTGTTATTTTTTCCCCTGTTACTTTTTTTCTGTGCAGTGAATTCCGTAGTACAGCACGCAGCTCACAGTCCCGTCGCAGCATCCGATCCCAGAGCAACCACACCTCCCCGGCAAGCTACCACAGTTCCTCAGCGCTCTTCGCAGGCAGCGGCAACAGTGAAGACCAGCGCTTCTTCAGCAACCAGACGGGGAGCAGCGACTTCTACCGCGCTGGCCCAGCCGAACGCGGGAACGCCACTGAAAACAACGGGGCCGCGGGCTTCGACGGGGAGGATTCGTACGAGAGAGAGCTGCGAGAATACGGGTATCACCAGCGGGAGAGGCGGGAGCAGCAGCACAAAGAGAGAAGTCGCAGTCTCAGTCCCAGAGAAAGGTACGCATTTGCCGTTTCAGAGGTCCCCGCGATCAGTTCAGTGCACTCAATGGAATGAATGAAAACTGCCATGATTGCATATCGTAGCTGGGATACTTTTGGCTTATTGTTATTGCAAGCTGCGATTATAATACTTCTTGCTCTCGGTTTTCATCTGTTCTGTGCGTCCATTTCTTCGACTGCAATTTGAAACTTTGTCTAATGAAAACTTATTTCCTGCGTCTTAGTCATACATCCAACCCCAAATCATGTTGGTTGTGCTGAATGTGACTCATATTTTTTCCGGAGAATGTTACTAGAACGTAGTTTTACACAGTGTTGATCTCGGCATAATTTCGATACTTGAACCCTTGGTCACAGCCATATCAACTTAATTCTTTTTGCTTGTTTACTTCGTGAACTTCTTGTGCTGACAACAATTGATATAGGTCAGTGTCCCTCTCAAGTCGGTTCAAAATGCCTCCTCAAAAACTTTCAGTTGGGCAAGGAGGATTTCACATCACAAGTTTTTTTTTTGTTGGTTAGTTTCTTTTTGTGCCTCGGATATGTTTTAAGCCACCATTGAATTTGTTACTGATACTGCCTTGTTCTTTTTTTTTTCCTCTCAGGTCGTATGAGAGAAGACGATGCAGTGGCAGTGTAGAATCTCAGGAAGTCAACACCCCTACGCAAAGCCCCTACCACAGCAGGAGCGTCAGTCCAGTGGCTTGCCCCAGGAGGAAACGAACACCCCGTAGTACTGTAACTGTTCACGGATCGGAGCGGTCTTACACACCAGTGCAAAGTCCCTCGCATGAGGAGAACTATCGGGAGGAAAAAGACAGGTGGAAAAACAGATTACTAGAAGGATCTGATGAGAGAGGGTCCTCCACTGAGCGCAGTGAAACAAGACACAAGTCCAAGAAACCTAAGAGGAGCAGAGACTCTGACGACGACCGCAGTGATAAGTCGTCGAGGTTGAGTGAGAACTCGCTCAACAAGTTAAGCGAGAAATCGAAGCAGAAGCGAGAACGGCTTGAGAAATCGCTGGAGTGTTTAAAAGCCATCCGGTGTAAGGATGTTGCTCTGAAACATGAAAGGACTAAAGGCGAGAAGCGCCCGGAGAAATTGAACTGCGATGTGCGGCCGGAGAAATTCAACTCCGAGGTCCGGACTGAGAAAGTGAATTGTGAATTGAGAACTGACAAGTTGTTAAACTGTGATGGAAGGACAGAGAAATTGTCAGTGGAAGAGGTGGAGGACTCCAACAAACCCAAAGAAAAATACTTGAAAAAGATAAAATCAAATGACTTGGATGACACGAGGCAGAAACTTTCGGAAAAGGAAAGGACTAGTGAGATATTAGTGCGATCCAAAGACCCCCCTGGTTTTGATACCAGCAAAATGCAGCTGTCAACTGAACTTGAAATTGCGCGAAAACGGCGGAGAGTAGCTGAGGCGGATCAGCTCCACTCAGTGATTGTGCCCCCTGAAAGTGATGAACTCATGCGCAAACTGGAAGCACGCAAGCAGCGCTTCTCTGACAAAAGTCCTGTGGATATCAACAAGATGCGCAAGAAGGATACCATTAAATCACCAAACAGTGATAGAACGTTGCCAAATAAGGTACCCAAGTCGGTGATTAGTAAACCACTGGCTGAACTTTCGAATAGCCATGGAGAGCCCATCAAACATGATACCTCGTTAGAGTCCAACTTCAGTAGGGACACAAGAACAGTGATTGAGAGCAAGCACAAGCCAGTGAGAGAGAGGCTTGGGACCAAACATGAAGCCTTGATCCAGCTGGAGGGTATCAAATATGATCCCATGGAGAGATTCAATCGGAGTTTGATGGAGAGGAGTGAGAAGGAGATGGACATGGCTCCCTTCTCCCACATCCCAGAAATCCAGGACAAGTTTGGGCCAGGTAGCAGCAGCCTGAGCCGACCTTCAAACTCAAAATTGACAAAGGATGAAATACCCAAAGTCAAGCTTAATAAGGTTGTTGTTGAGAGCAACAGTCAGGACAAAGGGGCGGAAAAACCCAAAAAGTCTTCCCCTGAAACGGGACGATTGGATAAATTCCTGCGTGATAAGAACCACCCACATTCCAGCCTCAGTACGAGTAGCGGCATCAGGCCACCCCAGAGGGATAAAGTCAGGATACAGCACCTTCTGGACATGGATGAGGGCATAGCAAGCTCCAGCGATCAGGACACACCTGAGGTTGATGAAGATCAGAACAGCAGGCAAGGACGAACCTCCAGGAGCAGTAGCAGCGGGCAGGGACCTTCATCATCTACGTCCTCCGCGGGCAGTAAACCACCTGTTCAGGACATGTTTGAGAAACCCCACATTGACACCAGCCTCAGCTGCCGAAAGCAGATGGAGATTGCCCGGAAGAGTTTTGAGCAGCAACTGCAAGAGAGGGAGACACAGCAGGACCAAGAGGAATTTACTGGTCAAGTGCCTGTGCTACCCCCTCCTCCTCCACCTCCGCCAGCTAGCAGTGCTGAGCCAACTCCAAGTACAGAGCACCCGGGAAAACTCAACGAGAAGGAGAAACCCAGTGAATCAGATGGCATCATCCAGGAAATGGAATGGAAGCTGCATAAAATCACCTTGGTGGAATTCTTTCCAAAGAGAAGACGGAGGATGTCAGAGTCTCAATCTGGAGATGACAGTTTATATCCGAAGCGTGGGGGTTTCCGCTCCCGGCGGCAGAGCGAGGATGGACTGAAGTCCCCTGGTGGAATATCTGATGTACCAGTTGATCCACGCATACAGGGATACCCCGTGGAACAGGAAAAGCACAGCACCTCTTCTCAAAAGGAGGAAGTAACCAATGCTGATCCTCCCAAATCGGAGGTGACTTCGGTCCAGAGCCAATCCCTAGAACTTAATGTCAACATTCCCAGTGACGGTGAAGCCTTGCCATTGCTCTCCCCAAAACCAATCAACCAGCCTATTGTGGTGTCCGTTGGTGACACATCGTCACCCTCAACAAGCGCTCCCATTCTCAGTCCGGCGGTGACACCTGTGAAGTTGGACCGACGCCCGCTGTTGACAACACATGTTGAGAATGCATTTCGGCATGTTGTGGGTCCAGATCCTACCATGGAGCACATCGCCAAATGGAAGGCCTCCCTCGAGAACTGCACCATCGTGAAAAATTTGGAGAAATCCAACCATGTTGTCTCTCCTCCACTGATCCCAGACAAGAAACCACCAGGCCTGATGCCAGTCTCGGGACTTCTCGACTCGCCAAAGAAAACAGAGGATCTACCTCCCACACTCAAGAATGAAACCGGTGCATTTGATGTCCCACAGCAGAAGGTGCCAACTCTGCGTAAGGTGCCATCTTTAAAGGATGCTGTCACCGCTGTGCTTGAGCGCAACAAGTTGAAAGAGCTGTCCCCAGTGAATGACAAACAGCAGTTGGCAGTCAATACAGCCATTGCAGAGCAGCAAGACTCCATTGATATCCTGTCCAACATCAAGAGAGAAGACATAGTGTCAGACTTGGTGGGTCGGGAGCTCAGAGGAAGTTGTGACACCCCGCCTACGACACCCTTGACGCCAAACACTCCTAGCACCCCTGGAACTCCAGTCGAGATCAAATCAGAAATACTGTCTACAAAATCTAGGGTCGAACGATTGACTCTGATAGGAAGAATTAAAAAGAAAGCTAGGAGCACTGAATCTGAGCCGGTAATGCTTGAGGGAAAAGAGCCCTTAAAACCTCCAGAGCGTAAAGTAGAGACCTTTACCTCACGACTTCTCAAGAGAAGTAGCATCTTTGACCAGGATTCGGCCCGATTGCAGCAAAGTGCCCATTTAAAGGACGCATCGCAAGGCTCCAATATGAAGTTCAACTTCCTGGATGGAATGACTCCCTTGACTACCACAGATTTGATCATGAGGGGCAAGATAGAGGGTAAAGAGTTGATTCCCGATGGTCCGTTGGAAAGGAGGAACTCAATTTCTGGGAGTTGGGTCTCTTCTTCTGCCAGGTCCCCATTAACTGTGTCTAGCTCCCTCCGTAGATCAGGCAGCACCACCACAGTTGCAACTAGTATGACCTCTCCCTCTCTCCCACTGTCTGCGGGAATCACACGTGAAAAACCTTCTGCTCACCAGCAACCACAGCGGAGCCAGTCCTTCACTTTACCATCAAAGGAAGAGATCACCCCTGTATCCATCCTTCGTGATCCCCGGAAAGAGCATCGAGAAGAAGCACGCAGAGAAGCAGTGAAGGAGGAGTCACGCAAGGAAGCAGTTGCCACAGAAGATCCTTGGAAGGATTCCTCAAAAGAGTCCCCATCTTTGCCATCACAGAAGGATGAGCTCCCTAAGATAGGCACTGCCTTGAAAGATCCTAAACGGGAAGCAACAGGATCACGGGAAGAATCAATGCGGCCAAAGTCAATCCTAAAGAAGGACACGTCTTCTGAGTCTGGTCCTGCAACCGCAACATCAAAAACTACTCCGCACCTTGGAGAGCCAAATGCCCCAACATCAGCAAAGATTGAGACTGAGAATGGACCAAGAGGAGCTGATCAACTCAAGCTGAAGAGAAAGAGATCACCCAGCCCTGTGAAGACTCAAGAGAAGTCAAGTGACTCATCAACTAAGTCAGATCCTCCAAAACCTATTCTCAAAACTGCCAACAAGTCACCTCCTAAGAAAGTTCCTCCCAAGCCTCTTGCCAAAGAAAGTACTATGAAAAAGACAACGACCAGTGGCCAGTCCGTTAAAGATGCTGTCAAAACAAGCAAGGATTCCTCTGCATCTGCTAAACCTCTGGTTAAGAAGCCATCAAAAGACCTTAAAGATGCCAGAGATGACAAGAAACCTGTTGGCCAGCCTAAAACAGCAGAGAAACCCAACAAGCATGCTGACAAAGCTAAGGATGGGAAGGACAAGGAAAGTGGTAGCGTCTCCAAAGCAAAAGAGGTGAAAGAAAAAGATAGCATCTCGGGCGGGAAAGGAAAAGAGTCAAAAGAGAAATTGGATTCCAGCAAAGTAACAACAAAAGAATCAGCAAAGGTAGATTCAAAATCATCCCATTCTAACAAGCCCACAAGTGAGGCAGATAAACCAGTGAAGGGGAAAACGGATAAGACCACGAAAGCTACCTCAAAGCAGACTGACTTGAAGAGGGTTGCAAAAGACAGAAAGGACTCTACTTTAGACAAAATGTCACAAGAGTCAGATTCAAGTAGTTCAACCGTGAAACCATCTGGGGACAGTGGTAAAGATCCCAAAACAAAGGAGTCCAAATCAACTTCGGATAAATCCAAACCCAAGGAAAAACCCAAAGACAAACCCAAGGAGAAAAATGACAAGAAAGAAAAGGATGTGGAAAAGAAGGAGAGAGAACCAGAAAAGAAAGACAGGGACCCCGACAAGGGAAGAGACAAAGTGAAATTGAAAGACAAAGAGAAAGACAAGGATAGAGAAAAGGATAAAGGAAAGCCAGCTCACCAGGACACCGCAAAGTCTATGAAGAAGAACATGACGGTGTCAGTAAAAGCACCCAAGCAGCCAGCAAGGGGGGTTGCTGCCTTGTTGTCCACATTGTCCAGTTCAGATGACAGCGGTGACTCTGAAACTGAACTGCAGCTGAAATCATTGCCACAAGAACCAACCAAGGCATCAAAACAAAAGTCGAAGAAGGACCGTCAGAGGGTCATCTATTCCTCAGAGTCTGAATCAGATGCAGATGAGGATTTCTTTGAGGACAAGATCTTCTCTCCAAAGATGACCAAGCCCGAGATTTTGCCTGCTTTAAAAGATGATTTCAAACCGAAAGTGAATGATGAAGGCCCCGAGAAGTTGTCAAAAGCCAAGGACAAAAAGAAAAAGAAGAAGGAAAAGGAGATTGAAACTGAGAGACCAAAGAATAAGGAGGCAATGTTAAAGAAAGAGCAGAGGGAGACAGAAGTTGAAAAACAGCAAAAGGAAATGCCCATGGAGACTGAAGAGCCAGAGACCACACCAGACTCGAAGAAATCATCAAAGAAATCAGCAGTACGGAAGACAAAAATGAAAAAGACTAGAGACAGTGACAAACCTCTTGAGGCGAACAAGCATCCTGAAGTGCCCATTGAAGTTCAGAAAGATGATCACATCACAGTGGACCAAAAACCGTTGATAAAAAAGCAAAGGGTTGCCTCAGTTGAAGTCAAGACTGAATCAGAGAAGACTATATCTAAGCCACATGGCAAGACAAACAAACACAAGAAAAAACCAGATGAGCAGTGGGAAGTAGTTCCTGAAGAACCGGAATTGAATTCTGTGTTGACAGAGAGCGTCCCAACTGCCAAACCATCTCCCAGGAAGCCTTACAACAAAGCAAAACTCGAAGTGGCAGAGATAGTTGAAAAGGCAGTGAAGCCTAACGCCAAACCAGTGGATATACCCGAACCAGAAGATGAAAGTACTGTAGAATTGGAAGTGCCTGTGAAATCCAAAGACTCCAGGAGGCATAGCAAGTCAAAGAAAAAATCAAAGAAGGAAAAGAATGCTAACATTGTTCCTCCTCCGGTTCCCAATTATGACACTGAAGAAGTTCATCCTTCCACCGAAGAGGAGCCAAAGAAAGTTGCTGATTTCTCAGACGATCTCCCCAAACTTTCACTTGAAGCACCAATCTCATCAGAGCCAAGTAAAGAAGCAATGCCAGAGATGTTGGATATGCCTCCAGATGACTTGGTGGCCGTTGAAGAGAGTCCAGAAAATCCCCCAAACCTTGTCTCTGGTGAGCAAGAAGACACAGCATTAGGTGAACAAATTGAGGAGGACACAGAACCTGAAGCCTTTGTTCAAAAGTCCAGCAGAAAACGTTCAGGAAAAGGAAGATCACCAAGGAAGGGGTCTCACAGGAGAAAATCAAAGAAAAGAGATGGAAGCAAGTCGAGAGACAGGTCTAGAAAAACAGAAACCATGTCTGATGATCTTGATAATGAGGCTGCAGTCAAGGAAGCCCTTGACGAAAAGTTTTCTAAAGTTGGTGGACTAAATATCACATTAACTACTAAAGACAAAGAGCCAGCTGCAGCTAAAGTGGTTGACACCAATGAAGCTAAAGATGGGATTGAGACAGAATCAGGGAAAGTGGATCACCTTGTGGTCCAAGAGAGCACAGACTGCGACTTGTCTGATCTTGAGGTTCCAAAGACACCAACATTTGAACCAATGTCCCCACACATACCCACAGAGGAGGAGCTAGAGTTGGAGAGAGGTGCTAAGACGCTCCAGAGCATTCTTGATGACGAGGTTGAAAAACCACCTAGTCCAGGTGCTGGTGAAGTGAGAAACCTGTTTCCAACCCTCCCAAGTCCAGCACTGACAATTCAAAGTCCTTCACAAACCTTTCAAAGTCCACCACAGAATCTGCAGAGTCCCTCAGAAAATCTTCAACGTCTGCAAAGCCTTCAAAGCCCCCCACAAAACCTACCAAGCCTGCCACTAACCTATCAAAGTTTCCCACAGAGTTTCCAAAGTCCCCAGCAAGTTAAAGAATCAGAGACTGAACCAGTGGATGACATAAAGACAACTGCAGAGAAGCAGGTTTTGTCAGAGGCAACAGGAGAGTTTGTACCAGAGAGTGAAGTAGAGAGGCTGGCTTTAGAAGCCAAAAAGATGGACTCAAAGCATGAACAGGCTCGTGAAATTCCCTCTGTTATTCCTCATGCGCAGGAAACCAAGGAAATTATGATGGAGTTACCTTATGGGTCTGTTTATGCGACCGACACAAAGCTTGCAGAACAGATTGATGACATAAAACACATCATCAAATCCGAACCAAAACGTACAAGAGGTAAGCGAGGCCGCAAGCCCAAAACGATGAAAGAGAGTCAGGGCAGAGCAAGAACAATTGCTGAGATTATCAACCTCAACCAGCGGAGTGATACTAGGGCTCAGGAAAACATCCAACAAAAAGAAGAAACACATGAACCAATCACATTGTTGCCAGAGGTAAAACCAGCCGAACCGGAGCTCGCGATAGAAGAGAAGCTTCCTGCTTGGAAGCCATTCCGGGGAATTCCTGGCACTGGAACAATGGTCTTGCAGCACCCAATCATCAGTATCTCCAAAGGGGATCCAGAGACTAGTATGAAAGTTGCAGCTGGCCTCACAGTGACAGGTGTGGAAAATCAAGCTCTTGAAGGAAGGCAACAGACACAGGCTGAGGTTGCAGAAACTGAAGAAGCTATCGCTAATATCTTGGTAGCTGAGGAACCTGTGCCTCTTGAACAAACTCAAGGCATAGTGAATGAGGAGAAACCAGTTGCGGTCGAAAAGGTATCAGAAAACCAAGAACTCCTCAAGGACAACAGATTTACTGCTTTTGACCCCAAACAGAAGGATGCGTCAAAGGAATTACCCAAGGATGCACAGAAGGATCCTAAAGCTGTATTTGGATCACCAAGTCGCTCCAAAGAGGGTTCAATTTTTGGTCATCGTGCCCGGTCAAACTCTGCCACTGGCTCGGAAATACTGAAACCTGGGGATATTAGTGTGTATGATTTCACCGATGATGAGCAACACCCAATGAAGCCCAGCAAAGCAAAGACAAACCCGGAAGCAGCTCCCAAGGCCCCACCAGCTACAGAGGCTGTCATCAGCCTGGTAGCCTCTCCAATGACGCCTGCAGATTGGACCAAGAATAAAGTGGCTAGCTTGAAACAGGCTGCTGCAGAGTCAAGGCGACAAGAGGCCACGGGTCTTGATGTGTACGATTTTCAGCCAAGCCCAAGCCCAAATGAACTTGTGAAGGGGTCCCCAGGAAAAGCAGCTCAGCGTCCAAGGCGATCATCCCGCGGAAGAGGTACTGGACGCGGAAGGGGGCGGGGCAGAGGTAGAGGAAGGGATTTGGAAATCAATGCCGAGGGAATGAAGGACCCATCAGCTGCCATGGTCCAACAAGCAGATACTGTCTCTGCACTCTTGAAGCTTGGCGAATCTTTTCCGTCTGGTCTCCCTTTGGCTGGTGTCATGCACCAATTAGAAGGGCAGCCTAGAAAACCTGATGACATTCCGACAAGTTTGATGATGGTATCTTCAGTGCCGTCATCGATGGCGCTACCAGAGGCAAATGCCATTAGAACAGTAGCTACTGCTTCAAATCCCCAAATGGTATCACCTTCAGCCCAGGCCATGCTCAGCCCTGTCAGCACACTCAGTTTGACAAATACCCCCTCTTCTAGTATTGTAACTTCCTCTTCAAGTATATCACCAGTCATGACCTCCACAGTACCTCAACCTTCAATTAATACAGTCACACCGGCAAGTTCTGCCCTCCCCCATTTCTCATCAACACCAATTCAAACAGTTGCTAGTACAGCTGCGAGCATGCCAACTGTCGTAGCTGCACTGGAAAACCCCATTGGCCAGAGAACCATCCAAGAAACACCTGTTGCCAGTTTGGCTCCCAAGAGACGCCAACGAGCACCACGTAGCCGAAGAGACTCCAAGACTGAGCTCGAAAAATGGGCTGGTCTCCAACAACAACTGCAGATGAGCCAGAACCAGTACCAGACACCACAGCAGCAGTTGGTGGTTGCCCACTTCCAACAAGCTGTGATGCAGAAGACAAGGGAGCAACAGGCAGCTCTGCAGAAGAGCTTAGAACAGCAGCAACAACAACAGCAACAAGAGCAACAGCAGCAGCAGCAACAACAACCCCCATTCAGTAGGGCAGAGCAGCCTCAGATGATACCACTACAGCAAACAGCAGCAGCCATGCAAGCCCAAGTCCAAGCCCAGATACAGGCACAAATGCATGCGCAAAGGACAATGACACAAAACGCACAGCAGCTGGCTTCACAATCCCAAGCCAAGCTTCAAACAATTCCGCAACACCAGCTTCATGGTCAGACCCAACCAATTTCCATTCAGACCCAGGCCCAAGGGCAGGGCCAAACACAAGGTTCTGGCACATCTAACAACCAGCTGCCTCTGCAAAGCCAGGCACAGCTGGAGGCTCACCTTCTTCGGTCCATCGCGAGGCCAGACCCCAATCTGCAGAAGCAAATTTCACCTCAAAGGTCCGTCTCGACCACCAGTGGGATCACATATCCTGCTCTGCATGTATCACCCAACTTCCCTTCATCTGGAGCTGTGACGGTGGCCACCACCTATCCAGGACTGCTTAGACCAGGTGCACAGACTATCACAACACTTGCGGGTCACCCATTTACTGTGTCGGCTGCGTCTACCATGGCCAGTCCTGGTGCAACAGCCATGTCATCAACTTCTGCCAACCCCAGCTCTGCAACTTCTAACACAGTCACATCTGTCATCACTGAGAATAAAGCAGTATTCTCCAACATGAACATCATGCAATCTTGCCGAGTACCAACCTCAGTGGCCAGCACATCCTACCCTGATGCCAGTGTTCTCCGAGCACGGCTCACCCAGTCAGACATGTCAAAGCCCATGTTGCCACCAAAGAAGGAAAAACTTGGTCAGGCAATTGCAGCGTCTCAATGCGCCATACAGCAAGTGTCATTGGAAAGCCGCGCTAACAAAGCAGAGAGTGGTAAGAACCCATCAGTTGAAGTACAACAGCAGCAACAGCAGCAGATGATTACAGATGGGTCCAAGGTGGCACATATGGAGCTGCAACGGAGTCTTCATCCTTCCATAATGCCGGTTTCGCAACATCAACAACAGCAGCAACAACAACAACACGGCATGCAGAAAGAAGAACAGGAGAGGAAAAGATCAATCAGTGACCAACAAAGAGCAGCAGCAACTGAAGCCTGGGTGCGTGCCTCGGTTGAAAATAGGCCAGTACCTGCAAGTATCCGCACACCTGATGGGCAGGTTTTGTTCCTACCACAAAGAGGTGGACCCCGGCCGGAGCTCATGCATCCAAATCAGCATGGTGTTATGATGCCAGGTGGTCACCCAGGAGAGATTGTTTACCCAGGAATGATACCTGGTCATCCATACTTCACAGACCCCAGCAAGAAGGACAAATCCCCCAGTGGTGTTCCCCCAGCTGTTGCTGCTCAAGGAATGATGTCGATTGAGTCTGGTAAAGGCGTGCCACAACCAGTGTATCTTCCAGGAGCCTTGAGAATGCCAGGCCCTTACCAACGGATGATCATCACTGGCAGGGAGAACCAACCAGGTGTGATGCATTCGCCTGGTGGACGAATAACATCCCCCAAGGTACCACCTGGCACTGCTACATCTCCAGCTCTCTCCCCGAGGGTCAAGTCTCCGGCTCTGGTACACAATGAGCTCCCCCGACCCACATCCACCCCAGATGTTCAGAAGAGCGGAGAGCTGAACCCTCACGGCATGATGCCGCAGCCTGGAATCATCTCAGGCATCCCGCCTCGGACACCTGGCATCACGTCTGGGATCCCTCCACAGAGGTTCGACCTACCTGCTGGTGCCATCATGACCGGTAATGCCATCATGCACCGTGGTATGCCGCAGATGATCATGCGGCAGCCAGCCTACGGCATCGCATCCTCTCGCAACTCCCAGAAGCAAGAGGAGCATGCAGAGATGCACCACCAGGACAAGCAGCTACCACCCCACCTGCAGGTCCCACCTGATGGCATGCACCGTCGGACCCCGCAGGGCATGGAGGCCCACATCCAGATGCAGACACAGCAGGCTTTCCAGGCACGGCAGATGGAGCTAGCCAGGCAAGGGATTCACCCATCATCAGAGAACGAGAGCGCCTCAACGCCCAGACCACCTAACCATGACTATCAGTCGCTGCCTGGGCGGGAGACCCCTGTGTGGGTGACCCATGGAGTTGCTGGCCTGTCACCCATGGCTCATACACCTGGCGGGATGCACCCCAGTCAGACTAGCCCCTCTCCGAGGACCAAAGCACCAGATGCCCTTGTTGGTCTTCTCAACGTAAGTGTGAGGACCATTTCACTTTTTTTTCACTCCTTAATACACTTCCCTATATTTCTTTTAAAGAGTTGTACCAAAGCTTTCCCAACACTTTCTCAGAAATATGAATATTATTCCTTCACGACTTAAATCTAAAATAGTGCGTTCATAACATAATTTCAGCGTCCAGTAGTAAAATGGCCAATTTTAATTTCAACAGCATTTCTGGAAATAATAAAAGAACACCCTACCCCATATTATGCTGAAATTTAAAATGTCTGACCATAAAACCATCTTTTTCTTCAATTGTAGCGCTACCCTGTCATGTGGCAAGGCCTGCTAACCCTCAAGAATGATGTGGCAGCCATCCAGATGTACTACGTGTCAGGCAGCCAGGCCGTAGCCCAGGAGTCCCTGCAGAACACCCACCAGACACTCCGGATAGCACAGCGCATGAGACTGGAACCGTCCCAACTTGATGGTGTAGGCAGACGGATGCAGGTATGTTTTTTTTTTTTAAAGCATATGTGACCGGCTCCACAAAAAAAAGGGTGTTAAGGCCAAAAAAAAGGCTCCGGTTTCTGGTATGTGCGCGCGTCGCCATAGCCATGCGCGTCGGCAAAATGAAAATTTTTTTTTTTTTTTCAATGAAAGATGATGTCTCAAAACCCGCCAAACTCACTGGTTTGACTGGAATCCTGCTGCTGCACTATTTTAACGTGTTTTTAGATGGGGTTATGATCGAGAATAAGCTTTATGTGGCCTCTCTGGTCTCCCATAATATTTGCACTAAGTTTAGTCGGGCACCATTTGCAGTCATCAGCCGACATTTGAAGCCAAAAAAAACAGGTAAAAAAAAAAAAAAAGCCGCGTCGCCACACCACTTCTTGGGCAAGCTCCATACCAGAAACCGGAGACTTTTTTTCTTTGGCCTAAGTCATACTGTGTATTATTGGGTAATGGCCCGCTCAAAATTGAGAGGGTGAAAATTTCGTCAAAATGTGATTTTCTTTTTATTTTAAGAATGACATCTACAGTATCAGGTTTCATTCACAGATAAGTTGATGTTGATGAACAAAGTGAAAAAAATCCAACTGTTTTGTGTTCGTCGTTCTGTTGTTCTACAACAAAGCCAGCTATTTCAAAGCCTGTTTTCTCAGTTGTGTAATTTGAACTCCAAGGAAGTAATAACTATGCAAATACGTCATATCTCCAGAACGGGAGGGGCTATGGAGCTCTATTATATACCAAATCAAAGCTTACATTGTGGGCTTTCAAACCATGTCTACAATTTAATTTCACTTTTTTGCGACATAATACCCTTTTTTGTGGAGCCACATATGTGCCATGAACAAGGCTAAAAGCCACTAGAGATACAGGGCTACAGGAGAAATGAAAAGAAGAGTAGGTACTCAGGAAAACTGAAGGTAGGAATTAACATTCCTCTTGAAACAAGCAACAGGCAAGGAATTCCAAAGAGATGCAGCACGCGGGGAAAAAAGCTATTGAAACATCCTTTTTTTTTCACATTTTTTGAAAGAAATTGCAGAAAAATTGTGGAAAACGGGTGTTTCTAAGGAAAACAGATTTGGCATCTTTCATTTTCACGACTACAAAACTTGAAACTATGAAGGCCTTTTGCTCTGTATTTTTACTTTTTTGACATGTTTGAAATGCGAACTTTAAACAGCCATAACTTGTCAATGGAATGTCCAATGGACCTAAGACATAATGACGTCACGCTTGTGTACATGTGTACTTTCATAGGAAAGCGCACATGTAAACAAAGCGTGACGTCATTATGTTTTAGATCTATTGAATAGCAACAAACAGTAGTGTAAGGAGATTATTAATCTCTTTCTTAATACCCGCAAACCCTCATTTCCACCTCGGCCCAGTTCCGTCTCATTTTGCTAGAACGCCTCGCTTCGCTGAGTGTTCCAAATTTTTTACTTTCAAGGCTCATAAATGGAGTGTCTCATAAAGGGGAGAAAGCGAAATGCAACAGATGGCAACCGGAGATTTGACAAGGTTTAACAGGGTTTTACAGGGTACCTCAGGGTACCTCGGGATACCTCGGGGTACCTCTGGGTACCTCTGGGTATCTCGGGTACCCCAGGGTACCTTGGGGTACCTCAGGGTACCTCAGGGTAACCTCAAGGTTCCTCAGGGTACCTCGGGGTACCTCAGGGTTCAAGCTGGAGTTACTGCTTGTTTAACCTACACTCTTCCTTAACTAACCTAGCTCTGTGAATCTCAAGAATTGCAATTTCCAATCTAACTGAGTGTTTGCAACCCTGATTTTTATTTTTCCTCTGACCTCAGGTGCAGGATGAGTCTTGCGTCCTGTTGGCGCTGCCCTGCGGACGGGACCACCAGGATGTCCTGTCTCAGACCAACACCTTGAGGGACGACTTCATCACGTACCTCCAACAGAAGCAAGCTGCAGGCATCATCAACGTGGCCGTTCCAGGGACCACTCAGGTACGAGCGCTTGTGACTCGTGTTCTGAAGGAGCATCTTGTAACTCGAAACCCTGGACACATTCTTTTTTGAGTGGGGTGCTGTGGTCCAATGGTTACGGTGTTTGACTCGTGTGTTGTGGTACATGGGTTCGAATCCGGACAGGGAACAAGGTCCTTGTGCTCTTGAGCAAGGCACTTTACCATTATTGCTTCGTCCTTCTGATGGGACGTAAAGCCGTAGGTCCCGTGTGTTGTGTAATGCACGTTAAAGAACCCAGTAACACTTATCGTTAAGAGAAGGGGTTTGCCCCGGTGTTTCTGACAGTGACTGCAATATGCACCGCAGCTCCTTGTAAACCCTTATAAAGGTGCTACATATAGGGTCTCATACTTCTCATTAACTTCATTTACCTGTCTTTAATAATAGACATAATTACCAGTGCTTTGAGTACCTAATTGTTGGTAGATACGTGTGCTATAATAGATTCCGGTATTATTATATATTATTAAAACAGTGGAGTATGACCAAAAAAATAACAATCATTTGCAATGACTTATTTTCTCAATAGCCTGCCTTTGTGGTACACATCTTTCCGCCGTGCGACTTCACTCACGCCAACCTCCTGGGCGTGGCGCCTGACCTGATGGACAGCGTGACGGACATCGCTCATCTGATGGTCGTCATAGCCACCTGCTGACACCTGATGGCGCTGTCTGCATCTTCCCTGGTGAGCTTCAACGGCCTGGGCCGCGCAAGTCTTGCTTTCTGGTGTCAGTTGCTGGAAGAATCGGTTCGATTTTCACATAATCACCGCTAGTCCTCTATCAGGACGGCAGTGTTCTGTGAAAGTTCATGGTTCCGTGTGATGTGTAAATGACAGTGGAGTTGATGTCTGAGTTGTTTGATCTTGCCATTGATAAAAATAATAGAGTATTGTTATAAACATGGAGTAAATAACGTACGAGTGCCAATGCCTATTATAGACAACTTGCGTTCAGAGACTACCCATAGCTGACTGGGTTTAACAGTTGCCACCGTTACGCATTTCCATATTATGGTGTCAGTAGCGTCGGTTATCAACCCCAGAAATGTTAGCTGGCGTTACCCGTGGTCATCGATGTTACCCAAGGGTCTGCCTAACAGAAGCTTGTAACACAGCAGTGATAAATGTTGCGCTAAGAGAAATGGTGCTTGAATAGGGCAGGCTACCAGTGAAAAAACGACGACCATACGATTTGTGCTGCTTTGCAAGTGGCGTGTTGGCTGGTTACCAGTTTTTGCCCAGCAGAACTTTCTCGTGCAGTTCAGAAGCAGACACTTCAAGACAGATTTAGACTGGCGCCAGTTATCAGCCTCCCAACACTCGAGGCTTTTGGCATAACCGGTTGTCTTGGAACCAGACAAATATGGCGGCGAGTACAAATGCACGCCATCTGGTCATGTTTGGTCACAGACTGACTAATTCCATGATTCTACTGCAAAAACATCGCAACCACTATTTTAAAATATAATTCAACTACTTGTCAGTAAAAAGGGGTAGAATTATGACAACTACATATTTGGATTAAAATGCTGCTTGCTTTTGCGTTTTTGTCGTAATGTAGATGAAAAGAGAGCCATCCGTCCAAGACCTAGCGTCGTTGTGTTTCTTTGTGTTTAGTTAAATTTATGTACAAAAAAAAAGAAAAGTTATCACAGAGCAAAAAACTTGGCGAATATGCATTTGAAACTTAAATTAGATTTTCACTGGCCACCCATCGTGCATGATGTACACTTGGTACGTGTTTTTAAATTTGTGTTGGCTTCTAAGAAGACATGAGATATTAGCACCCAGGCCAGGAAACAACTTGTTACTACAGTGTTTTGAATTCCGTAGAATTTTGTTTCAAAATCAAAGAAAATTTTCCAAGTTTTCAGTTTTTCACTCTTGGATTCTCATGACTTGTAGGAAACATATTTCTTTTTTTGCATTTATCTTTTATTCATGTTTTAGTTTGAAGATTGAAATCATACCGACCCCTTTTAAATTGCTGTTCATTTGGATGGCCAAGTTGGAAATGCTTAACTTCCCAAGAAGTTTTATTTCTAATAAGGTGATGGATAAAATCTAGAATAGGTAGAGTCCTAAATGGTAAACAGCTAGAAATTATTTGATTCCAGTCATAAGAAGCCAACTTTAATGAAGGGGAAAAAAGACAAAAAGGGGGGAAAAAATGAGTTTACAAGCATCTAGATTTTTGTCAATATTTATTTATAATTTCAAACCTGCATTTTTATTCTTATTCAGGAAACAAGTAGCTTCATTCGTTTCGTACAGTTAAACAAAATAGGCTGCTCAATAGAACATTTGCATGCAACAGAAAGTATGTGTTTCGTCTTGCCGTGTCCTAACATGTTGGCGTCGTTACATTTAGCAATTTTTCTCACATTATTTTGGTTTCTAGTGGATACATCCGTCAACCCTTGATTTTAGATTCTTTTTGTCGAAATCCGTAAACAACAGATTTTGTATCAGTGTATTGGTGTATGTCATGTTTATTTTATACTCCCAAAAACTAAACCAAAAAAAAAAAGATATACATATAAACACAAAAAATTGTATACATGTCGGAGCACTGTTTAGCTACGTTGAACTTTGTTGGGTGATCCATGCAGATAAAAAGGACCAATTTAGTGTGTTAAATAATGTGAAGTTACCGGAACCATGTTTTAAATCATATTTTTTATTACCTGTATTGTCTAAAGTTATGCTTTGTCATCATGGTTGAGGCAGATTTTTGAAGCCGATCGGTGTATAGTTTTCAATGTTTCCAACAACAAAACATATTGGTGGCATATCACAAGTACCATAGGTCTCTTAGATTTCATGTACATGTCTCAAGGGTAGCCTGGCCAATTTCAGATGGCAATTGCAGAATTGTAGTTCTTTTTATTGTGATTCGTTCAATGGAGGTTGGGAGCCAGACCAACATGGCACAGTTTGAAGGGGCCCGAGTTGCTGGATCGTCAATTGGGATTATAAAAAAAAAAGATTTTCTTGATTTCTTTGGCCGGTATTAATCTCAGAATTCACAGAATATTTGTTTTTCTGGACCTTTTTAGTGGTCCCAGCCACCCCTTTTCCCCATTTTATAGATCTGCCATAGACGAATCATGATCACTGTGCATTCACAAGGCCCCCCCCCCCTCAAAGGCGAAAGGATTGTGCCTGCTATTTGGCAAAGCTTGTGGCCCGTGATAGATTATCTGAACATAGCTAGCACAATGCTTTCCACCATTGCAGAGGGCCTCCGGGGTAGTGTGCCCGGACTGCTCTGTAACTCTGAAATTGGCCGAGGCTGGTCAAAAATTAAACTTGTGGGTTGGAATTTGATTTTTATGTTGGAAACCGATGTGAATGCTGTTAAGTTGTTGTTGAAAATAAGGCTTATTTTTAACCATAAAAGTGGTTGTGAAAAATGTATGTGGCTGCTACATGTAGCTGAATAGCAACTTAGTTGGCCTATGGAAAAGTCTGATACCAAAGCGTAAGAAAGAATGATTTTTCGGATTGTTTCTGTTTTTTGTTTTTTTTATGAATAACTGTTTTATCTGTGAGTGTGGGAATGATTATACTGTTTAATAAGAAGTCAGTTTTAACAGAGGTATTAATTTCAGAAGTTTTTTAATGCATCTATTCAGCGGGCATGATTTTTTGGGGGAAATTGTCGTGTTGTATTTTTCCTGGTTGTCCGTGAATCAGGCTTTGGCGTTGTGTAGGCTTTGTCATAGGGTGTATGTAGTTATGACACGAAATTGTACTGTAAAGTTGACTGCGAAACAAAGTGTGTGTGCATTCTGAACCTCGTCGTTTGAGTGTGACGCACGCGACGTTTCGCAAAATTTAAAAAAAAAAAGTTATTTCATTATGGTGCTGATAAGATAATGTTTTCTCATAGTGTTGCCCTACTCGGAAAATCTTAGTGCAAAGATAATTGTTGTATAAAGTGTAAACACTGATTTAAAGACTTTCACTAGGTCGACTTATTTGCTGTAAAAAAAAACTAAAGACGAAAAAAAAAAAAGATTGTACAGTCTCGGTAAAAAAACAAACTCATAACAGATTTTGTGTAAATGTAGGTTCCTTGTATAGTATGACCATTTTGACACTGAAGTTGGTTGTTGGGTTAACGTGAAACACTAGAGGGCAGTGTTTACCTAGACTGTGGTCCACGTGTAACATTTTAGACTGAGGGGCGGGGGGAGGCCCCGCCCCTGCTGTTGATTTTTTTTTTTTTTAGTCCATGCCTCGGGCCAGCTTCTCGAAGTTCCTAAGCAGAGAAAATTGTCCGCTCAGCAAAAACTGAGACATCAGCCAAGACGTCTTGGGATGAACACTGCTTCTGAAAGTTCTCCCTTTTTAAAGCTTCGCACATCAATTTTGCTTAAGCCATCTGCTTAGTAACTCCGTGAAGTCCCCCCTGGCCGACGGCAGGAATGACAACTTTTTTTTCAGGTGTGAGAGTGAACGTGTGTACATAGCTTCAGAGTGCGTTTTAGTTTGAGCTGGGATGGGTAGGGTAGAACGGCCTGTAAAAAAAGTAAATGAAAACCGTGTATTTACAGAAAGCGAGCATGGATTAAATTACTTCTTGACCTTAGGTGAACAACAAGTAGTTTATTCCACTTTGTTAGTACCAGAAAACCTTTCTGAACTGATTATGTCCACCAACCCCGTATTTGTTTTCTTGTGGGTTTTTTTTTTGCGGGGTGGTCAGATTACTGTATTAAAAGATTTAAAGAAAAAAAGATTGTGTACAGTCGTTGTGTATATACCCTCTCTCATGTGACTTCTATTTTCAAAGAAAAAAATACAAAGCTCCACTGATGTACATTTTTGATATCGAGTAAATAAATGGAGAGAGATATGAGTGAAAATGAAAAATAAATTGTGTGGTGTCTTTCTTCCCCCCCCCCCCCTCATCTGGCTGAAATAGAAGTAGTGTTAATATGATTGACATTCAGGAAAAAGCAGTTTAGATGTGGAATAAGGGAATTATGCTATCTTATTACTTTACCATAAGTACTGCCCGAAACTGCCCTGTAAACGTCAATTTACTTAAACTGTAAATAAACGGATAATGTAACAAAAATTGACTGATAGTGTAGTACATTCTACTACAAAATCGGTAAATTTTTATTACATTATCGGTTAGTGATACACTATCAGTTGGTAGTGCCCATAATGTAATAACCAACAGATAAGCACAAATGTATCACCAACCGATAATGTAATAACAATTTACTGATACCATATCACTAAACCAATAATGTAACAAAAATTGACTGATAGTGTAGTACATTCTACTACACTTTTGGTCAATTTTTATTACATTATGGGTAAGTGATACATTATTACTTGTAGTGCCCATAATGTAATAATAACTGATAGCGAAGTACGTTATACTACACTAGTGGTCAATTTTTATTACATTATGGGTAAGTGATACATTATTACTTGTAGTGCCCATAATGTAATAAACAACCCATAATGTAATAACTGATAGCGAAGTACGTTATACTACACTAGTGGTCAATTTTTATTACATTATGGGTAAGTGATACATTATTACTTGTAGTGCCCATAATGTAATAAACAACCCATAATGTAATAATAACTGATAGCGAAGTACGTTATACTACACTAGTGGTCAATTTTTATTACATTATGGGTAAGTGATACATTATCAGTTGTAGTGCCTATAATGTTATAAACAACCCATAATGTAATAACAATAACTGATAGTAAAGTACGTTTTACTACACTAGTGGTAAATTTTTATTACATTATGGGTAAGTGATACATTATCAGTTGTAGTGCCCATAATGTAATAACAATAACTGATAGCGGAGAACGTTATACTACATTAGTGGTCAATTTTTATTACATTATGGGTCAGTGATACATTATCAGTTGTGCCCATAATGTAATAAACAACCCATAATGTTATAATAACTGATAGCGGAGTACGTTATACTACACTAGTGATCAATTTTTATTACATTACGGGTCAGTGATACATTATCAGTTGTAGTGCCCATAATGTAATAAACAACCCATAATGTAATAACAATAACCAATAGCAAAGTACGTTATACTACACTAGTGGTAAATTTTTATTACATTATGGGTAAGTGATACATCAGTTGTAGTGCCCATAATGTAATAACAATAACTGATAGCGAAGTTATACTTCACTAGTGGTCAATTTTTATTACATTATGGGTCAGTGATACATTATCAGTTGTGCCCATAATGTAATAATAACTGATAGCGAAGTACGTTATACTACACTAGTGGTCAATTTTTATTACATTATGGGTAAGTGATACATTATCAGTTGTAGTGCCCATAATGTAATAAACAACCCATAATGTAATAACAATAACCAATAGCAAAGTACGTTATACTACACTAGTGGTAAATTTTTATTACATTATGGGTAAGTGATACATCAGTTGTAGTGCCCATAATGTAATAACAATAACTGATAGCGAAGTAAGTTATACTACACTAGTGGTCAATTTTTATTACATTATGGGTCAGTGATACATTATCAGTTGTGCCCATAATGTAATAATAACTGATAGCAAAGTACGTTATACTACACTAGTGGTAAATTTTTATTACATTATGGGTAAGTGATACATCAGTTGTAGTGCCCATAATGTAATAACAATAACTGATAGCGAAGTTATACTTCACTAGTGGTCAATTTTTATTACATTATGGGTCAGTGATACATTATCAGTTGTGCCCATAATGTAATAATAACTGATAGCGAACTACGTTATACTACACTAGTGGTCAATTTTATTACATTATGGGTAAGTGATACATTATCAGTTGTAGTGCCCATAATGTAATAAACAACCCATAATGTAATAACAATAACCAATAGCAAAGTACGTTATACTACACTAGTGGTAAATTTTTATTACATTATGGGTAAGTGATACATCAGTTGTAGTGCCCATAATGTAATAATAATAACTGATAGCAAAGTACGTTATACTACACTAGTGGTTAATTTTTATTACATTATGGGTAAGTGATACATCAGTTGTAGTGCCCATAATGTAATAACAACTGATAGCGAAGTATGTTATACTACACTATTGGTCAATTTTTATTACATTATGGGTCAGTGATACATTATCAGTTGTGCCCATAATGTAATAAACAACCCATAATGTTATAATAACTGATAGCGGAGTACGTTATACTACACTAGTGATCAATTTTTATTACATTATGGGTCAGTGATACATTATCAGTTGTAGTGCCCATAATGTAATAAACAACCCATAATGTAATAACAATAACCAATAGCAAAGTACGTTATACTACACTAGTGGTAAATTTTTATTACATTATGGGTAAGTGATACATCAGTTGTAGTGCCCATAATGTAATAACAATAACTGATAGCGAAGTTATACTTCACTAGTGGTCAATTTTTATTACATTATGGGTCAGTGATACATTATCAGTTGTGCCCATAATGTAATAATAACTGATAGCGAAGTACGTTATACTACACTAGTGGTCAATTTTTATTACATTATGGGTAAGTGATACATTATCAGTTGTAGTGCCCATAATGTAATAAACAACCCATAATGTAATAACAATAACCAATAGCAAAGTACGTTATACTACACTAGTGGTAAATTTTTATTACATTATGGGTAAGTGATACATCAGTTGTAGTGCCCATAATGTAATAACAATAACTGATAGCGAAGTAAGTTATACTACACTAGTGGTCAATTTTTATTACATTATGGGTCAGTGATACATTATCAGTTGTGCCCATAATGTAATAATAACTGATAGCAAAGTACGTTATACTACACTAGTGGTAAATTTTTATTACATTATGGGTAAGTGATACATCAGTTGTAGTGCCCATAATGTAATAACAATAACTGATAGCGAAGTTATACTTCACTAGTGGTCAATTTTTATTACATTATGGGTCAGTGATACATTATCAGTTGTGCCCATAATGTAATAATAACTGATAGCGAACTACGTTATACTACACTAGTGGTCAATTTTATTACATTATGGGTAAGTGATACATTATCAGTTGTAGTGCCCATAATGTAATAAACAACCCATAATATAATAACAATAACTGATAGCGACATTATACTACACTAGTGGTCAATTTTTATTACATTATGGGTAAGTGATACATTATCAGTTGTAGTGCCCATAATGTAATAACCAACCCATAATGTAATAACAATAACCGATAGTGTAGTACTTTCTACTACACTATTGATCGTTTTTATTACATTATGGGTAAGTGATACATTATCAGTTGTAGTGCCCATAATGTATTAACCAACAGATAAAGTATCACCAACCGATAATGTAATAACAAATTACCGATACTGTATCACTAAACCGATAATGTAGCAAAAATTGACAGAGTGTAGTACATTCTACTACACTATTGGTCAATTTTTATTACATTATTGGTTAGTGATACATTATCCGTTGGTGTTATCCATTGATCATTACATTATTGAGCACTCAATGGTTTTATGGCTTCTCAGCGAATAAACACAATGTAATACAACACAGCACAGGTGCTAGGAATAATGACAAGTACTGAATACATATTTCAAAGGCATACACGTATTTAGTGTATCATTTATTACACCTTTTTTGTACAAGCTTTAAAACAATGCCAACACCAATACAAAACTAGCACGCAACTCGTGGTACGAAGTTATGAATATCAACAATTAGAAGACATTGGGTTGATTTCTTCTAAATTTCTAAAATGCATGTACCAAAGTCAAAGAGTGCATGCAGTTTTAAATCTGAACTTTCACAACAAATTGAACATTTCATCATTCAGAACACTCAATAGTTGCCGGGCTGCATCCATGATACGTAAAACTGAGACAAAATACTGTTAGTTGTGCAGTACAACGTAATAGCAAAACACGGGAAGCATTTTGATAAAGTGACTGTCGTGAGAAAGAGTGAAACGTTCTTCTTTTTACGCTGGACGATCAATTTACCGCCACCACCCAAATACCATTTCCATTTGATCTTTTTGCTTTCTGGACAATCCGCAGTTAAACTTGTCTTGTCAGGTGAACAACGTCGGCTGTCCCTTTCACTGTACACCCTCCCTCTGGTCAATCATAACCTAGGCTGCATCAAACGTTCTCTATTTACAACTCTCAGAAGCTGTTCCATTAATATGAAACTAACATCCTCTCCGACTCCATTGTGGCCTTCGATAACTGCATAAAAGCCAAACACTACGATCTGAGCATGTTCTATACATGTTTTCTTTCTCCGCCCTCGGCTGTTCTGCCTATCGCTTGCCACCCCTCTTCTTTTCCGGCATGGCCTGCTTCTGCTTCAGGTCTTTGCTCGGGACGGACAAGTCATACTGGAATCCCTTCTTAGATGCTGCCGCTTCCTTCTTTAAGACCTGCACAGAAAGATACAACAAAAACGAATGTAATGATAACAATGATGATCTCAAAGTTCCTGTTTTTTTACCTCTTAAGAATGCCATTACAAATTGAAAAACACTGCACAAAGTCTTGTGTGGTTTGAGTTTCCTCTAATTCAGATCAGAGGCAGTGTTGCATACAGGGGAGTGTGGCGTAGTGGTTAGGGTTTGTGACCTTTGATCAGAGTGTCAGGGGTTTGAATCCTTCCGCTCTCAATGTGTAATGTCCTTGAGCGAGCCACTTTACAGACTTTATTTGTTAACTTGAATTGTTTAAGTTGATTCTTTGCTTCCAGTATTTTATGGTGCTACAAGTTAAATTCAGCCTTGGGGCTGCCAGCGTGGCTTAAATAAACCAGAAATACACTCAACCAAAAAAGAAAGTCCCCCCCTTAATACTTTTTTGTCTCACTCAAAAACTACTGGGCACATCTTGCTCAAATTACGACTGATCAGTACAGAAATTCCTTAGCAATCCAGCCATACTCTTTGTTTGGCCCAAAACAGTGATATTGCATACAAAATTATGCAATTAATGACGAATGGTACCGAAAAAAAGTCGCACTTTAGTATACTTGCAAGGTGAGTGTGAACCACAACTTGCATGTATACAAAAGTGCAACTACTGTCGGTATCATTTTCATAAATTGCATAATTTCGTACACATCACTGTTTTGGGCCAAATAAAGAGTATGGCTGGATTGCTAAGAAATTTCTGTACTGATTAGTCGTTTTTTGAGCGAGAGGTGCCCAGTAGTTTTTGAGTTAGACAAACAAGTATCGGAAGGGGGGGGGGGGGGCCTTTCTGTTTTGGTTGAGTGTAGTAACAATACAGAAAATAAGGCAACAACCAACTCTGCAAGCCATGTCAAACGCTTCATATTTGGGAAAACTGTGAACTGCTGGACTTAAAAACGTTCAATTGTGAGAACAAGTTCTTAAAAGACTTTCAAAAAAATTCTAGTTAGATGTTAAACAGTATATGAGGAGGAAAGCAAAACTCACCCCCTTCATAATTCTGGACTTGAGTTCGGATTGGGTCAAAGGTCGTGTCTCCTCATCACTCAGGTCCGACCCTTGATCACTGTCGTAGTCGTCGCCTGTAGAGGGCGCCATAAACATAAGCTGCTGTGGCGGGGGGATGGGTCCTTTACCCAGCATGGACGGCACTTTCACGTCCTCCTTTTCCTTAGCACCCTGGAATTTACAGAAGATAGAGGGGCGATCATTATAAAAATTTAGGTCCAGGTATCACTGTTGCATTAGATCCAGGTTGAGCAGTTAAGACATCTGTACTTTTCATCTGTACTTAGCAATCGTCCTCAGGTGCTATGCAGCCCAGAGGGGCTAAAAACAGCCTATCCCACATCACAGCAGTCAACAATTGACCTGTCGCGGTAGAATCGCGTCAACATAGCTTTGAAATATTGTCCAATTACATGATATACAAATGGGCGCGGAACGCCCAAAATCTGAGACAAACAAAACTTAGTGTACAAAAAACTCCATAGGGTTGTCTGAGGGGCGTGGCTAACTCGCAAACGGCGATAGGTCAATTGTTTTGTTATATCGTGCCAATTAGTCAAAACAATACATGGTTGTTACTTTACTAAGCAAGAAATAAATTAAATCAGCGCGGTGTAAGTAACCCTTGATAACTGCAGGCTTCCCTGAATGACACGAGACTGAACGGTTGCACATTGCATGCAGTTCTCAGACGCAGGCGTGCGTGCAGGTTGCACGCGCATTGCATTGTATATCGTCGCGTCAGTGCAACAAGGTCGTTACTCGATTCTGCAACAAAGTCGTATCTCGCAGGAATACGCTCCGTGCAACAAGGTCGTATCTCGACGTCCATTGACTTTGTGTGTACATCTGGGTTATTTTAAGCGAGATACGACCTTTTGACATTCTAAAACTCGCGTTTTGCGTTTATGTCGCTTTAGGAGATACGACCTTGTTGCACTGACGCGACGATATGAGGTTAACCATTGTATACTTTTTTTTTACATACTGGTAACGTGGCTGTTCTAGACCAATGAAATTGCAGTATCAAATTCTCCCTACTGAACTGTCATATTGCAATGATCTAAACAGTCCGACCATCTTGAAAATTGAACTCCAAATTCACTGCAAGACAGTTGAAGAAAACTATCGGGAACCCTGATTTAAAACTGGCTGTCTTTTGATTGGGATGCCGGAAATGATCACATGAGTCACAGGCACAACTCACCTTGCTGTCGACGTACATGCTGACCGCCAGCAGCTCATTGGTCCGTTGCTCTATCAGACCCAGGTACTGCATGATGGTCTCGTCGGTCACTCCAGCCGCGCTGCCCAGCATGTCATTGATGGTTGACCGGTCACAGTTGGTCTTGGAGAAAAGTGATTCCACTCCTAAAAGATGGTTAAACCAAATTGTGTTACTTATTTTTTTTCAGCTGTTTTCTAATAAAGCATAAAAGTAGACTTTCACCTCTACGACCCAGGTTCGATTCCTGCCCTGGGCCGCATGTGGATTGGGTTTTCAGTCCCTACCTGATTCTGTGGGTTTTCCACAGAATATTTGTCTGGGGTTTCCCCCCACCTCTAAAACTGTAATTTCTTCTCATTTTCTCCTCTCTACAGGTTTCTTCAGGCTTGCGAGCTATAGTGCCTGGGGCACTTTAAAGGAATCCTTGGTTTCATACCAGAGATAAATAATAATAATGAATATCATAATAATAATACTGTTTGACTTTCTGCTTACCTGCTTTGAGCTGATCCAGTATCTTATTGACACTCTTCAGCTTTGAGTCGTGCCCGTCCGCATCCTTGGCTGCCTGGGTCTGCTTCTCCTCCAGGCTCTTCAAGATGGCAACGCGTTGCTCCTCCATGGCCGAGCCCTGCCTCTGGAACTCATTGATCTCATCTTGAATCTGACACAAGAGAAAACACAATGCAGGAATAAGCCTCAGTGAAGGCAACGTTCTGTGATTATAAGCATTTCACTGTTTGTTGCACAAGATTACATTGTGGCTAAACCATACAGCTATATTAAATTACTAGAGTGCTAACTCTTCATTCTTGCATGCGGAGACGCTTTGAAGCCGCTCTGGGTGCAGACATTTTGAAATTATGTGCGTGTTTGTAGAACACAATCAAAATAGATGGATTGAATTTTAAACGTGTACTTTAATGCAACGCGCAAGTAGAAGATACGGAAAAAACTTCAGCGCGTCATGACAGTTCAAAAAACGCCACAGCTAAAAGCATCTGCAGCGGAGGGACGCGCACACGTTGCGCTGTTTGCGTAAAGCAAAATGGCACACACATTTGCTGATCGTGCATTTCAGTTTTGGGCTTATCGGCTTCGATGACCCACCGGTATGGAATACAAACGCAGATATGCAAATAGACACACAATTTCTAGTTCTCCATAGGTTTGTGCACAAACATGGATGCGTCCAGCAGGTAACACTTTGTACATGAGTCAGCACTCTAGTAATTTAATATAGCTCTACGGGCTAAACTGATAACTTTTTCTTTAAATGGGAGGTTATGAAAACCTTTGATCTAATATTTGGCTCAAACGCGAAGAGATCATGTCAGATTCAATGTAAACTTGAGCCTGAATTTCAGACTTGAAAAAAAAGGAGAAATTTCTTCCCACCTCTGTGATCTGGTCCTGCTGTATCTCAATCTCGTTGTTCTGTTCGTTGACGAAGTTGAAGAGCGCAAAGTTGCGGTCCTCTACTTCGATGAATTTACGGACCAGCTTATTGAGGTCTGACTCCTTGGTGATCTCGGCGATGCGCTGGAAGGCCGCCTCGTAAGCCTCGATGGAGTCCTCCTGACGCTCACGGCGTAGCTTCTCACCCTCCTCCGCCTCTGTTTGACGTCAAGAAATTATATTTGAAATTGAATGCGAGAATGAATGACAAATATGAAATTGTATCATAACAACTCTTTAAGATTTGTAACAATCTAATTCTTTCAACTTCATTTAAAGGCGTATAGGATCATCTGCTTTTCATGTATTTTTTTTATTCGTTTCCAATGATAACACCACTCAAAGTCCAAAGAAGAGTCTTCAAAACCTAACCTGTTGAAGTTTCAGCTCAGTGGATATTACATTTTTTTAGAAAACAGTAAAAGCATGCACGACATTTTGATCACGAAAAATCATTTTGTCAATAGCACTCTTAAATTTCCCAACATCAGTCCATTTTTGACTAATCGTTGGAAATCACCTACGTTTCTTGATTTCTTCTACATGATGGCAAATTAGACAGAATAGTTTAAGTACCAGTACAACTCAAGTATGAGTACTTGACATGACAATGAGTAGGAATCACCTATCGCGGTAGAATTGCATCAATGCAGCTTGGGAAATATTGTCCAATTACATGATATACAAATGCACGCGGAACGCTCAACATCTGAGGCAAACAAAATTTAGCTTACAAAAATTCCATTTGTGTTGTCTAAGGGGCATGGCAAACTCGCAAAAGAGGATAGGTCAATTTGATACCAGTCTTACCTTCAATTTGAGCAGGGCTTCTGTCCTTATATCAGTAGGTACTTTTCTGGGTATTTGCAAATGATCCTATGTGGCTTTAACTCTTTCAGTGCCAAAGTCGTACATGTACGAGGCATATTTGTTAGTTCGAAATCGCCAACCTCGTACGTGTACAAGGTAGAGTAAGCATGTTATCACAAGGGGGCGCTCTCGCTCTTTCTAATAATATCATTTTCATTCAGTTACGACCTGTATTTATTTGTTTCATCCGAGTTCTAGCGAGAGGGCACAGCACTGACGCTCGTACTTTCTGCAAAAAGTGCAGAATTCCCCTGTGTGCAGGACAGTGTTTCAGGGTGTATCACTATGTACGAGACTACTATTGACTTTCCAATGTACCAAGGATATACCAGAGAGAAACAACAACAAATTTAGTGAGTAAAACTTATTTAATTTTTTTTTACAGAATTTTGAACAATTAACAAAAACGCTCGAAGTTGGGCACTTTAGGGTTAAACTTTTCAAATTTCACGGGCACTGAAAGAGTTAAAAGTTACAAATCTAGAATTAGTACAGAAATAAAGTACTCAAGTAGTATAAATATGACAATGAGTAGGAATAGCCACTCTGCCTGCCACTAACCTCGTTTCTGCCTGAGGGCCACCAGTAGCTCGTCCTCCTCTCGTTCTTTACTCTTGACCGTCATGAACTCCCTCAGCTTGCGGTCGTGATCGATGATGCGCTGCAACTCCTTCATCTCCTGCTGGTGCTGGGCGCAGTCCTTGTCTGCTTTCTCCTTCAGCAGGATCATCTTGGCCTGGGCTTCGTCCCGGGCGTCGTAGGCCTGCGTGGACTGGTCGATGACTTCCCCGATTTCCTGTCGCAGGTCTCCAAGTTCCTGGAAAAGTAGTTGGAAAAATATTACGAGAGGATTACAAACAGAAGAGTAAATTCAAGAAGCATAATCCAGCAGCAGGGGGGGGGGGGGGCAGGCCTATAGGATTGTTTGCTCTTCATGCCTTTTGAAGAAAAAAACTGCACAACCTTTTGATCACGAAACACAATTTCATCGATAACACTCTTTACACTTCTGAAAATCAGACAAGTGCCTGATCGCTAGAAATCATCCACGTTTCTTGATTACTTCTAAATGACAGCAAGCCAGATGGAATAATTATTTACCCTTCATGACTTTTGAAGAAAAAAAAACATGGACAACCTTTTTGTTCACAAAACACGATTTCATCTATAGCTCTCTTTATTTTGGAAAACCAGTATCTGATCGATGGAAATCACCTACATTTCTTTATCACTTCTAAGTGACAGCAAACCAGACGGACTAATTTCACAGGGTGTTTAACACTAGTACGTAAGCTTTTTGATAAGAATTTGGTGGGTTACTTTTGGGATAAATGCAAACGATCCTACGCCTTTAAAAACGAAAGGGGCTGTGTACCATTTTGAAGTGCCACTGACCATGGCGGAAATTGTATGCACATATTCATCTTTTAATAAATCTGTTCGCGACAGTTTTCATTTCGCTTTCTTTTCTGTTTTGTGACCCAATTTTGATGAGGCGTGTCTATATTGAATTCAATGGGGGGGGGGGGGGAGAGGGCACTTTTTCATTGGATTGGCATCCATGTTACAATTTACCAAGACAACATTTCATGACATTGAGGATACAGACTTTACTGATACCTAAACTGCTACCCTTTTTCAGAAGGAGGGGGGGGGGGGGAGGAGGGTTGATATATGTCGATTTGCTTAACAATGCTTGATGATGACCTACCTTCTCCAGTTTCTTGCGGATGTTCTCAAAGCGAGTTCGCTCCACACGTAAGCTGTCAATCTCCTCTCGGAACTTTGCATTCTGGGTCAACATGGAGTTGAATTTCTCATTGGCCTGGTGAGCAAAATGGTCAAAGAAAAAAAGAAAGATTCGTCAGAAACTTTCATAGGTCTTAATTATATCCCCTCAATACGAACCTGGACAGAAGTTGAGAAATAATTCCTTCTTAGCCAAAATTGGCAAAAAAGATAATGCTCTGTGTACTTTCTGTAAGTTAGAGAGCGAAACGCTTGTTCTTCTATTTTGTAGGTGTGAGATTTCATCTATGTTTTGGACCCAGGTTAATGATTGGTTCGAGAGGACTCTTATTTTAAACATACGCTTAGACGATGAGGCTATACTTTTCGGTATGAGTAAAACATCATGCTCTTATAAACCTGATTCTAATTTCATGTCGTTTTCACATTTATAAGACGAAGATGAACGATAGCATACCATCCCTTGCACTATTGAAACTTGATTTAAAATGTTATTTTACTTTGGAAAAGTACATCTCAATTACAAATGGATCTATTGCAAAATTACATACAAAATGAGATTCCTTTGAAGTACTGTGTCATATTTACTTCAGTTTTTCCAAGAGTGTTATATAGGTCAAGATAATTTGTTACACTGCCATGGTTTCTAAAGTAGTTTCTGTATAGTTGAGATGTTGCTTTGAGGTTAAATACTTAACTTCAAAATACTTAAAAAAAAGAAAAGAAGAAGATGGGAAACTTTTTTTTTTAGTCTTACCTGGTGTAGACGGTTCTCCTTGACGCGGATAGCCTTCTGCGTCTTCTGGGTGTGCTGCGCGCTGGCGTGCACGCCCCCCATCTGTCTGTGCTGGCCACGGATCTCGCGCTCGGTCTCTCGGATCTTTCTCTGAATCTCCTGCTGGTGTTCCTTCTCTTCTGCAATCGTCTGGTTGTAATCATCTGTCGTGGGGAGAAATTCATAATAATGAAAGTTGAGTTCCCCGTGGCATTGTCGAGTTTCATACCAATACAAAAGTCATTCACTTTTGAATGGACATTGACCGAAAAAAAATGGGCCACGTTTAGTTATTGAATTATTAGGCCAAACAAAAAAAGTCTCCGGTTCTGGTATGGAGCTTGCCCAAAAAGTGGTGCGGCGACGCAGCTTCTTTTTTTTTTTTAACCTGATTTTTTTGCTTCAAATGTCGGCTGATGACTGCAAATGGTGCCCGCCTAAACTTAGTGCAAATATGTGGGAGTCCAGAGAGGCCACATAAAGCTTATTCTCGACCATAACCCAATCTAAAAACACGTTAAAATTGTGCAGCAGCAGGATTCCAGTCAAACCAGTGAGTTTGGCGGTTTTGAGACATCATCTTTCATTGAAAAAAAAACATTTTCATTTTGCCGACGCGCATGGCTACGGCGACGCGCGCGCATACCAGAAACCGGAGACTTTTTTTTTTTGGCCTTACTTTACAATTTTGATTTATTGGCTACACGATGACACTTCACTCTATGGGCTCCGTGCACAAGTACCCCATCAACGGCCAGAAAAGGAGAGTTGGGGGAGACCTAGACTGGTTCCCGATCCATCCACTGCATATTTCGAATGTATCCAAAGTTATTGGAGGCGGGAATTAGTCTCGGAGACCATCGCAAGTGGAATTCGTACATTATTCGCGCACCGCGGACGCCTGACGCTCACGCATAGAAGCTGTGGCTATAACTTTTGCACATTCAGGAAGTTGTGCGTACTTCGCGCGCGAACCGGTACAGTAAAGTATGCCCATGCTGTGTGTCCCATCAACGGAGCTCTAAAAGGAGGTAAAATCGCGCCCTCTTTTGTTGGCGCACGGAACCCATACCGCCTCCAACCACTCCACACTGCACGGTATTTGAATTTATCAGAAAATACCGACCAATAAAAAGTAATACATGTACAACTGCTTACTGCTGATAGGTTAACACGTTGAATAAACTCAACTTTAATTCTGGTGATGTGCCTAGGTTTTGGGGCTGTGGCAGACAAAAAGACGCTGGTGAGGCTTTTCAAAAAAAAAAGGCCAAGCTAAGGCCAAAAAAAAAAAAGTCTCCGGTTTCTGGTAGCCATGCGCGTCGGCAAAATGAAAAAGTTTTTTTTTTTAATACAAGATGATGTCTCAAAACCGCCAAACTCACTGGTTTGACTGGAATTCTGCTGCTGCACAATTTTAACGTGTTTTTAGATGGGGTTATGATTGAGAATAAGCTTTATGTGGCCTCTCTGGACTCCCATATATTTGCACTAAGTTTAGTCGGGCACCATTTGCAGTCATCAGCACACATTTGAAGCCCAAAAAAAAAAAAAAAAAACAGGTAAAAAAAAAAAAAAGCCGCGTCGCCGCACCACTTTTGGGGCAAGCTCCATACCAGAAACCGGAGACTTTTTTTTTTTGGCCTTACAGAAATCAACTGTTCAATTCATTAAAACTAAAATGAATAGAGAACAATTAAATGTTTTGAAAGGGAAAACCTTGCAAGCTTATTTGAATCCTCTACAATATATGAGTAATTCAGTTCTGCAAAGAAAAACATAAAGATTCAGGGATCATCTGGAAAGTTTACCTCGTATGGAGCACAGCTCGCTCAGCCTGTCAATGTTGTTGTTGTCGCGTGATTGGTTGGTTTGGCTTTCGGACAGGAACAGGTCCTTGTTCAATTCCTTCTTCTCCGCCTCCAGCTGGCTGATCTCCGCCCTGTCGAAGGAAAAACGAAATCAAAAGAGGTTTACGGAGGAAAATTCTGGGTGGAAAAGGCAAAAACACACCAACGTTGTTAGATGAGATTTGAAGGTTTGCATGGTGGAAAGATACTAAGACAAGATAAGTTTGCGGTAGCACCATGTGAATAAATCTCTTTTGTGAGTATGTGTGGTTCTGAATAGAACCGGAGGGACTCAACGTTTCGAACAGTATGCTCTGCCCGTCGTCAGGAGAATGAGGGATTCCAACGATGATGCGATGTTATAAGGATGGGTGCGGTGAGGCGTGAGAACAAGGACCTGTTCCTGTCCGACAGCCAAACCAAACCAGTTTGCATCCTTCTCATGCCTCACCGCACCCATCCTCATAACATCGCATCATCGTTGGAATCCCTCATTCTCCTGACGACGGGCAGAGCATACTGTTCGAAATGTTGAGTCCCTCCGGTTCTTTTCAGAACCACACATACTCACTAAAGAGATTTATTCACATGGTGCTACCGCAAACTTATCTTGTCTTAACACCAATGTTGTAATGGCCCTCCTTGCTGTAATATAACAGCCATACAATAAGCAACCCATCACTGACTAGTACAAGTGTAACCCTGACTGGATAGGAGTAATCACGGTAAATTGTCTTGCCCAAGGACACAACATAAGCTGAACAATGGCACAACTTACAAGGAGATGCTGGGCACAGACATTTGCTAAGGCCAAAAAAAAAAATTCCGTTTCTGATTACATGGCATTTGAAAATAGAGCAGGTAGGTAGGCAAGTTTTTGTTTTTGGCAATTTTTTTTGTGTACGATCACATGGAGGTGTCTACGTGTAGTCAAGGGTAAAAGGAAGTAATTGATGGTTTTCGGGATTTTTTTCCTCATTTTTCCAAAAACAAAATTAGGGTAGGGGCTGTCAAAATAGGGTAGGTAGGGTAACCAGAAGCAGAACTATTTTTTTTTTGGACTAAGCAAAGAGGAAGTTGGTTCAATAAAAACAGGTTTCAGCGCAAAAAAAATGTGGCAGGTAGAGCAGATTTTTGTAATTTAAGCACATATATTTCTGAACTTGAGCTCTGCTGGACATGGTTTTCCACCAAAAAAAAAAGAAGAACGAATTCTTTTGGTTCAATTTTGAATTTAACTTACAATTGCCTACGGATGAGATCCTGGGACTCGATGTTGTAGGCGTTGCGATCTCCTTCCATGATCCGGTACTGACGCTGCAACTTGGCCAACTCGGTCTCCGCTGCATTAATAACCACAAAAAAACAGCAAGAAGATTAGACAAACGTCAAGACAGTGGCGACAATTAGCGGGTTTGTGGTATACATTTTTACACATAACATCAAGACCAAGAGTTTGGTCAGCAATACTTAGGCCAAGTAAACAAACAATATTTTCTTGTCCAGACTTTTGAAAAAAAGAAAGGAGGCAGCCCTTTTTTCCCCCTTCAAAATGAGGGATGTTCCATGATGGTGGATGAATTCTTCTTTTTTTCAAAACTCCTTTGCTGATACTTTGTGTCTTAAAAGGAGCCGTCACCATTTTTACCAGATTATGAACTTGCACACATACATGTAGCTACAATTTTGCTGCAATTCAATTCAATTCAATTCGACTGTATTATCCCTGACGGGAAATTCCATTGGCTTTTTACATGTAAACACGTTAATGAAAAAAGTTACAAAATTACAAATAATATTACACAAAAGTCACAATACATGTTCTTCACTAAAAAAAAGATATAAAAAAAAGATAGTGGATATTTTGCCGGAGGTAATGACGGCAAACTAACGATTACTAAAGGTTTGCCGGCGGCAATTCATATCAACAGAGGGCGCTGTACTCTTTAAAATAGGGCTGAATTATAAGATGTATTAAATTCCCACCTAAAGTTGTGTTGCACGTTTGGTGTAATGGTTAAGCAAAGGCTCTAGTAAGCGGGATGACTCGCGTTCGATTCCGACTGCACCACATTTTAAAGTTTTTTTTCTCATCCCCAAGTAAATAAGAATATTCTTCTTTTATTATTTTAACATGTCTCAAACATTTTTTGCAGAGTATTACATTTTCTTTTTCAGATTTGTGGTTCTGGAGGATTTTTTTTAAAAGGGAAATAAAGTCCGAAATTATAAAATGGTCTGAATCCCATCTTGTGAATACGAGGTAACAACGATAATTTTGGCATGGAGCCAGACTAAAACTTGTCACCGGAAAATGTTTAAGTAAAAAAAAAACAGTAACTGCGCATGTTCAATGCATATCCGGCAAACTAACATTTACTAAAGGTTTGCCGTCTCCGGCAAAATATACACTGCCTAAAAAAAACTTATTAACGTTCAATACAGAAATGCAAAGATATAAAACACAAAATATTTGGCAAAGGCATGATACAAAAATGGAGGGGCGGGAAACGAAAAGTGGGCGGGGATTAAAAACTGGTTTATTGCTTGGCCTTATTATAGCCCCCCCCCCCCAATAAAAAAAACAACTTTCTCTTAGCACTTGGATGAGCAACTGCATTTTTCTAACTGTAGAGTGAGAATATCAAAAGAGGTCACACATTTATGTCAATTGTGAAACATTTTCATGACTTACCCATCTGCTGGTCAGCATCAATATCGCTGATGTCTGACCGCCGACTGGCTGATCTCTGTCCGCCACGCGGCATGGTGCTTGAACTTTTTGGTCGGTTTGAAAGATGAAATCAAATTCTGAAATAAAATATTCGTGAACATCACTGAATTTTAAAATTGTGGACAAGACAAATTGGACATGACTATGACTAGGATAGAATTCACTCAATGCAGTAAAAAACAACACAAAATGATGCTAACTTATCATGCCTTTTTATAGCTTCGGTTTTTTGTAACACATAGTCAATGTGTTACAACAACGGAGCTAGCCTAAAAAAATTCCAAGTTTATAAGACTTTGTTTACAACTCCAAATTATCCAAAAGTCGACATTTCAACAACCATCAAGTGGCATACTAACATACAATATTTCCCAGAATAAATCAAGACATTATAACACTATGCCAGTCCCGAACGAGAACGTGTTAACAACTGCACTGACTCACCGACCGGATAGACAAAACTTCAAGTTGAAGTTCCAATGGCACAATTCACCATTCGTGCTTAAACATGGCAGAAACCGTCGGACCCAATTAATTTCAACAACAAAATTCTAAACACAGCAAGATGCTAAAAACTAGAAATATGCCAGAATATAGTAGAAACAGACGCCTGTATCACTAAAACATGATCACCAGCCTCCGTTTTGCGATATACGTAGCATTTGCTTACCTTTTCCTCCGTGGTGGTTTCGGTCTAAATCCGTTTGTACTACTTGTATGTGTTTGCGAATTACGTTCAATCATGTCAATCAATTATAATGCAGCGCACTGTTTTGATGTGTCGTCTGGGTGACAAAGGGCGCCACCAACGTTCTGGGTTGGCTGACATGATCCCACGCCGACCGACCGTACCTCTGTCCATTGGAGATGTAAACACAGTTATTGTTAGAACGAAAACTCAAGAAAAACACATTGTTTTGAAATTATATTCCGCCTAATATTTTGCCATGATATTTGACACAAGAATTTTGGAAATTGACAGTAACTGTTGAAGAAGAATTTAATATAATTCAATGGATTTGTCTTCAAGCAACGCAGAAATTCATCCAAGAGGAACATCAATCTATACTCTAACATGCACAATTCTGAAGATTTGGGCAAAAAGCATCGATTTGTGGAGAAAAAGAATTTAGCATTTGAGCGATTTTACCTTAAATTTTCGACGAAATTTCCCTTTTGTATAGCACATCTGTCCAAAAATCGAGCTGGCATGTGCTTGAGGGCCCTTAAGACATCTTCCCAGCATGTTTCAAGCAATTTCATTTTTCGGCCCAAATTGAAAAAAAAAATGCAAGCGGGTTAACCTCAAGGGCGGATCCAGGGGGGGGGGGCCAAAGGGGGCCATGGCCCCCCCAAAACGAAATCAATTTTTTTTTTTTTATGTGACATCGCAATAACGGCAGGCAATGAGTACACCACCATCTTTTCCTCAAAAAAAAAACATTGGTTAAAGTGGTCAGAAATTGCCTCAGATCGCACCACAGAGCATCTAGAATCCAAAAAATTTTCGGGGCCCTTAAGCGGGCCCCGAACCCCACGCCGTAATTTTTTTGACCCACTTTTTGACATAGCAATAAAGGCTGGGCAATGAGTACACCACCATCTTTTCCTCAAAAAAAACATTGGTTAAAGTGGTCAGAAATCGACTCAGATCACACCACAGAACATCTAAAATCCAAAAATTTTTCGGGGCCCTTAAGCGGGCCCCGAACCCCACGCCGTAATTTTTTTGACCCACTTTTTGGGGGGAACCAAAAAATTTTTTGGCCCCCCCCAAAAATTGTGTTCTGGATCCGCCCTTGGTTAACCTTACATTTTTAATGAAATTTAAGCAACGTAAAATTCATCTGGATGCAATTTCCCTTTTAAATAGCACATCTGTTCAAAAATCGTGTTGTAATGTGTTTTAGGGCCCTATTGAGCATCTTCCCGGCAAGTTTCAAGCAATTTCATTTCTCGGCCAAAATTTTAAAAAAAATGCAAGGGGTTGAATGACCTTACATTTTAATGAAATTTGGTCAACATGGACTTTTCTCCAAGCAACGCAGAAATTCACTCTGGATGGAAGAGGAACATCCATCAAAACTCTAATTTGCTAAATGTTGAAGATTTGTGGAGAAAAAGAAATTAACCTTTGAGCGATTTTACCTTCAATTTTTGACGAAATTTCCCTTTTAAATAGGACATCTGTCCAAAAGTCGACTTGGAATGTGTTCTAGTACCCTTTAGGCATCTTTCCAGCAATTTTCAAGTAATTTCATTTTTCGGCCAGAATTGAAAAAAAAAATTTTTTTAATGAGTTTGGGCAAAACCATCGATATCTCGAAAATAAAAATTAACATTTGAGCGAATTTACCTTATATTTTCGTCGAAATATCCCTTTAAACACTGCTCACAACGCGCCGACTTCTGTCCACTCGCGACGGAAACTCAAAAAAAAAAAAAACACACAACGTATTGACATGATATTTCTTCCAATATTTTGCCATGATGTTCGACACAAGAATTTCGAAAATTGACAGTATCTGTGAAAGACGAATTTAATAGAACTGAAGGAAATTTCAGTGTAAGGACACTCCGTATTTATCGTCAATTCTTGCAAAAGAGGGCGCGCGCTACATATTCACTGCTCCCAACTGGCCTTCAGTCTGTCCATTCGCGATGTTAACAAACTTATTGAAGGACGGGAACTCAATAAATTTAAAACACATTGCACTGTAATGATATATCGTCCAAATTTGCATCAAGAATTTCGAAATTGACCGCAATTGCGGGTAGGGTGTTTGTTAGTGTTTAAAGAATAACACTGAAAAGTGACATGTCCAACCATGAAGCTAAAGTGGAACCCCCCCCCCCCCCCCCAAGGCTCCGACTTGAAAATATCGCTCTTGTAAATCCTCCCCTTGGAAATAATAAATATAAACACACAAGAGCCTGTGCTAGGGTAGTTATACAAAATCCTTTATCACCACAAAATAATAATAACTTGGTTTCATTACAATTTTATTTTATCTTAACTTCACAAATATTCAAGCAAGCTAAAAAGTAAACTAGAAAAAAACACCGAAATTAATAATTTTTAATATCACAATAATTCAGCCGTTGTATGATCTTAACTACTATATTCAATATCTTTTTTTTTCTCTCTCTAAATTTCAGATATTAATTTGATGGGAATAAATTAACCTGGCAGAGAATGAAGTACTGTTCACTCTCCTGTTAAAGGGATATTACATTTGCGAACATCAACAAAAAAAAACTACCAAATTAATATGAAAAACCCTACTGGATTGTTAGGGAATGAGTTTAAAGCATCATATAAAAGTATGGCACCTGGTGTGCTGACATTTGCAAGAAAAGTGGTATTTTTGTACCAATTTGGAAAAAAAATTGTATTTTTCAAATGCTGCCCACCAATTTACCATATTTAGTTAGTCTGCATTTTGTTTGCAATCGATTACACACCTACGAACGGGTACAACCCAGCTAAACTGGTTCCCTGACCTTACAATTCTCTGAAGTCGATAAATTGCTCCGTTTCATCTTAAGTGTTTTTGTTTTGGGGTGTTTTTTTTCTCGGTTTTGCATGCATCTATCGAACACAAAACTTCAAAAACAAGTCAGTGTACAATTTTCTATAAAATACTAACCCCAAATCCATCCATTTTTCGAAAATTACAGCAAAGGTAAATGTTGTATATTCCCTTTAAGGGCCAAAACAGTGGAACACTTAAAACACCCTGACATGTGTTTTTCTTTTTTTTTCAGAGCACTGTTATCTCATCTTTATTCACTGGAAAAGTATATGCCTTTAGCACCATACACACTGCATGTCTTCTAAGTATTAAGTGCTTAACATCCAGAAATTAAGTATGCAAATGTTAACACATACTTCCATTGCGAACTGGCAGTTTTTAGTACTTTTGAAAATTCCAGCCCTGATATAGTATGTTAAATGAGAAGTTAACTTACAATGATAAAACATTAACGTATGTTTTTAAAAGGAGGATATTTGGACCAATCAGGTTCTGTAAATATTTCAAAAATCTAGTTTAGCCAATCAGGAACACTCTTCTATGATAAAAATACTATACAATAGGCTGGTAATATAAGTATCACAATTGTACTTATTTGTCTTAACTAATCGATAGCTCCACATATAAACAGTCAATAGAATATTCATTTAACATAAGGCCCCCCCCCCCCAAAATAGTAATGCTCCCGATTACATGGCATATGAAAATGTGATAGGTAGGGATTTTTTTTGGGGGGGAGGCCAATTTGGTTTGTATAAAGATCATGTGGAGGTGTCTGCTTGTAGTCAAGGGTAAAAGGTAGTAATTGATGGTTTTGGGTAGTTTTTTCCTTCATTTTTTCCCATGAAAAACATAGGGTAGGTAGGGAGAACGTAAGCAGAACTATTTTTTTGGCCTAATCTGAGGACAATACTACTTCTACCAAATGTGTCGGTTATAACTAAAGCTTGCTTGCTTATTTTCCAACAACCAATCACTGGATGCGTACATTACAAAGTCACACTATGAGCCAATCAGATCTCAGCACACATTTTAGTTCCATCAAACAATTTTCTGGCTTTTGTGGAAACTAACAAAACTTGAGCATCCCTTGAAATCTGTACCAGGAGGATTGGGTCTTCAAATCAAACATTTATAATACTCACATTAAATTGAGTAACTGTAGTTTATTTTTTATTTTTTTTAGGGGGGGGGGGAGTGATTATTTATGCAAAACACGTCTGTGTCTTGACCAAAGATCTTATAGCGCCGAAGGCGCAAGATGGGGAACTCCATAGAAATTGCGAAATCGCCATGGGCGCCATTTGAGCAAGCAAACCATTGTGCAAACCATTGTTTGCACAATGGTTTGCTTACTCGAAGCAAACCATTGTGCAAACAATGGTTTTCACAATGGTTTGCTTACTGGAATGGCGTCCATGACGATTTCGCAATTTCTATGGAGTTCCCCATCTTGCGCCTTCGGCGCTTAAAGATCATTGGTCTTGACCTTAAGATTCTGACCATTCAGCGAGCGCCTTCTATCGGGTCTTCTGTAACCCATTGTTGTATTACAAAAACATGAAATCATAATTGACCAATCCACAGCTTAGTCCACATTTCTGATGGAAAGACGTCAGTCTCTTAAGACCACTCTGAATGGTTGGCGCGCGGGGTCGCATAAATTTGACATGCTACGATATATCAGGTGTTCAACCATGGCTTTGCTCACGTGAATGTCTGATCTTCATACTAGAAAACTAGACACCCCCACCCCCCAAAAAATATACAGTACTAAATTTCACCCTCCAACCCTCACAAAAAGGGGATGTCTACATAACATCAGATTTTAAACATAAGTATGTTCATATAATATTTTAGAATTTAGACTGTAAACATGTATATGTAGTGACACCGCAACAATTAACTACAATCGAACCAAGGGATTCATTATTTCTCATCAAATGTTATCTGTCAAGGGGAGATTCATGGTGACTTTTATGCGTAAATACTTAACTGACTCTGTCTCTCTACATTCTAATGCATTTCCATTCGCCGAGTTGTCTCCATAGACCTTTATCATGCTGCCACCATTTCAGTCATGTTCCCTGTATCCAATAACAGTACTGAATGGTAATGTTTTTATGCAAAAAGGAACCAGACTATTTTTCTTTCCAGCCTCGCTTTGGTTATGTTGATTTGAATGGGGAAAAAAATCAAGATTGCCGCAACATGATAATGGTCTATTCTAAAATGATGGCCTCATCAGCACCTGTTTTTACAACCAGGGGACACACAAGGTGGGGTTAGGGGCAGTAGATAAACTTTGACGTGATGTCCGGGTTTTTCCCGCTTCACTCTCTAGGTTTGGCATACTTGACCCGGTACAACCTGTTGAGCTGCTCTAAGAAGATGAAGGTGAGTACCGTGTGGGGGCCGAGGCGGGTGTAGTAGGGCGTGAAGCCCTTCCACAGGCTGAAGATACCCTCTTTACCGATGGTGCGTCTTAGTACGTCCTGTGGGTCAACAAGAAATGCTGTCAAATTTGTAGGTCCAGTGGCATATACAGCAGGGGGTTGGGGGTTGGCAGTGGGGCCCTTTTGCCCCCATTTAGCCTTATTTTCCGAGCTCAGAAGACCATTACAAGCTGTGCAACACGCACTACGCAATAAATGCACAATTTACATGTGCTTTTCCAAAAGTGTTTAACAGCAGAGAGAGGAGTGACTGGCTTTTTGCCTCGGTAGAAAAACACTTGGGAGTGACATCAACAAGAAACTAACGATTCCAACTTACAATTGCGCCAGAGTATTCCGGTTTGCCGTCAATAACCCTCATGTTCTGGATTCTGGTAAAACAAAAGAAGGGAGATGCATTGTAGTTTCAGTTACACTTTTATATTAAATTGAAGTGTTTTATCCACTTTATTTATATCCTAAAATATAAATCTCTCTTAACAAAACAAATGCAACCAAGTTAACAGTCACACAAAACTTGAGGACTGGATATATCAGACACAGTGTACGGCTGCCTTATATTTTTGATGTACAGCGGCGAGACATTGCACCAAATCTCCCCTGTACTCTACGCCCGACTTTTCTTTTATAATAACAAACTTGTAAGTCAATCACAAGTAATACAAGTGTCAAATCTGGCAGGATAAAAGCTGAAAAAAAAAACAGAACAAACAAGCCTAGTACAACTGGTCACAGAGCCCACAAAATTTGACTCATTTTAAGGTTCAACAAAGAAATTTAACGAGAGCAGGGTTTGAACCTGCGACCTCAGGACTGCCATGCCAGTGCTCTACCAACTGAGCTATCCAGCCCTATGTTGGCGGCTGCCTATTTAGTCAATTTCTTTGTTTGCAGAGGCACCAGTCAGTCAGTTTTTCTTTGTGGTTTCTTTGAAGATTTGTACTAAAAAGCCGTATCCTCTCTGACTGATCCCAGTTTGTTATTTCCCGGGCTTGCAACATTGTTTAAGTTGCTGGCATCATGACTTTGGGCGTGGTCTCCGGCTACATGGCATATACGGGTTTATGGCTTCTACAATCCTGGCCAAATCTCGCTGGGATTTATTTATGGTTCTTGGGGAGTGGTGTGGGTTTTATATATGGTTTGTATTTTAAGAACAGTTGCCTTTTAATGGACAAGGGACAAGCGATAACTCATACTTTCATTTTTAAACAAGATAATGCATTTTTTTAAATTTGGGAATAATGTTCCATTTTAAATCTGTTTATCTATACATCGTCTGTTTTAATCTAGGGCTTTATTTTTGTGTGGTTTTAATTCCTTGGGTCATCTTATGGTAATGTATTCATTATGTCTTTTATTGTGTTTTTTGTATTTTTTGTCATTACTATATCATGTTTTTTTATGTAATCCAGGGCCCCCAGGGAGAACAGTTCATTGACAATTGATGGGGCTACCCTGGTAAAAAAAATAAATCAATAAAATATATAGACAGCTCAGTTGGTAGAGCACCGGAATGGTTATCCAGAGGTGGCAGGTTCAAACCCAGCTCTGGTCAATTTCTTCGTTCAACCTTAAACTAATTATAATACACCTAGTCATTTCTAATTTCCGATTATTTCTAATTCAGAATGGCTATTCACTGGAAGTCTTTTCATGGTCTGGTCTACACAATGCGCCAGATTTAGCCCATTCGTTGCTGTCACTGGGTATTCCTATACAATAGCACTGCCCAGCTTACAAGTGACGGTCAGTCAGTGAGTCAGTAAGGTACAAACATAGAGCTATATTACACTACTAGAGCGCTAACTCCTCATTTTTGGACGCGAAGATGCTTTGAAGCCATCCTGGGCACAGACATTTTGAATTCATGTGCGTGTTCGTAGAACATGATGAAATTAGATGGAATGAATTTTGAAAGTGTACTTTCAAAAGGCGCAAGTGGAACATACGCAAACAACTTAAGCGCGTCACGACGGTTTAAAAAAAAATCACGGTAACCATCTGCAGCGGAAACGCGCACGCATTGCGCTGTTTGCGTATAGCAAAAAAAAACGCTCATTTGCTGATCGTGCGTTGCGATTTTGGGCGCATCAGCTTTGATAACGCACCTGTATAGAATACAAACCCAGATATGCAAATAGCCGTACAAAAAAAAGGTAAACAATTTCGAATATTCCATAGGTTTGTGCACAAACATGGATGCGCCCAGCAGGCATCACTTTGTACACGAGTCAGTGCTCTAGTAATTTAATATAGCTCTATGGTTACAAAGAGGACTATACGCTAGCCCTCTGCAAAAAAAAAGGATTTTAGGAGTTACTACTGTCACTCTGTTCAGTTATTATAACCAAAGTAATGTGTAATCTTACCTTGTTTTTGCAATATCTACGGGCATGGATGCGATTGTTGTGACGAGGCCGCTGATCATACTAGCCCCAAAGTGACACACAATATTATCTTGGAAGTAACCTTTATTTTGACCAAAAAAACCAAAGTGAAAAAAATCAGTATTCCAACTATGAATGACCACACCAAGATTTCACAAGTTTCAAATTGGAACAAACAACAAAGACTAATGTACTCAAGTCTCAAGTTTCTTTGTAAACAAAAGAACATGGATCTGTAGTTGTTTTTTTTTTTGAGTAATTTTTTATTTGTGATATGTTTGTGGCCTATTTTCGAGTAGGGGTGTAAGTGACGCCACCAATGTCAAAATAGTCCCCCCCCCCAAAAAAAAAAAATATTCGGCAAATTTTCTAAAAAAATAGAAAAAAAAATTAAAAATGTTGAGCCCCCCAAAAGCCAAATCCTGGATGTGCCACTGGTTTGTATGACAGTCGCAGTACAAAATACACTGTGAAGGATGATGAAGTCCCAACTTTACATAATTTTGTACTTTTCTTCATCTACGTCCACAGTACCATGAGCCTTATTTTGCATGTTCTGTACTCACAACACTTGTGCTCCATCCTCAACTAAGCTCTTGGAAGTACAGTTGCAGTACTCCTGCGCCCAAGCCCTTCATTGTGTGATTTACATACATGTATGACATACAGTGTGTAACACTGTTATGAAAAATATTCAATGAGATTTCACTTTTAGGAGTTGTGGGACCAAAAAAATGGAAAAATGTTGAATTTCAAGAAAAAAGGGGGACAGTAGGAGCAAAGTGAAAAAAGGGTAGGAAAAAGAAGACAAAATAGAAATACTTTGTTTTAGAATCAGCTGTTCTTGCACTGCTGTTGATAGCTCAAGGCAGCTACAGCCGGCTTTCACACCTGATGCACTGTGTTGCATCTGACAGGGTTAATACCTAAATGTAAATGCATTTTGACTCGCCTGTTCCCATGAGAAATTGCTTGGCTTGAGAGTAGGAAGCTAGTTGGGCAGCGTTGACCACCATGGCTCTGGCTATTGTCGGACCACATCCCTAGACAGAAGACGACGGGAAACAGTTGAATATAAATAAAATACAGGGGGCTGACATCTTACAGGAAAACCCTGCAAGAATATTCTTGGGAATCAGGTAGGGACTGAAAAACCCAATCCACATATGTGACCTGTTCTGTCAAAATCAGACTTTTCTGGGCATAAGGTCAACAATGAGATATTTGCATATTGTTAAAATATGTACATTTTCCTTTGAATAGGTGGTTTATTTTTTGAAACCGGTCATTCCTGGGCAAAATTATGCTATTTTTAAGTTCATTGTGTCGAAAAGTAGAAAACGGAGAAAATGGCCACGAATGTCACAAAACAGACATTTCTTTAACTGATATGCCTTAACAAATCATCAAAAATACTATATTAAGAGTTCAAATTAGGGTTTCAAACTTTTATATTATATTTTAGACATGTTCAAGATTACAAATATGCAAAAATTAGAAAATAAAAAAAAATCACCCCCACAGCGTTTTTTTGGCCCTATCTTATTTTCAACCTCTGCCCAGAAAGCGTCTGCTTTTGACAGAACAGGTCACATATGGCCAGGGCAGGAATTGAACACGGGTCACAATGCCAACCTGACTCCCCATGAAGAAATGTCCGTGTACATCTTGAAGACAACAGTGAGAAATGGCACTAGTGTGACTAGGAGTCACAGTGTTATCCATTGTTAGAGTCGAGGGCTTGTTTTGCATAAAGTTTATAGAGTAAAAGAACGCAACACTGGTTCACAGACATTGACACTTTATACATACAGAATAGGGAGTAGGGACATCAGGTCGTTTTGAAGAAAAATGTTGCCACAACATTTGGGAAGATTCCCATATCTGGCCATCACTAATTTTTCCCTTCAGTGACCTATCAGCCATCAGAAAGTGATAATAGGTCCTAAAAAGTCAGATTTAGCAAGGAAAATATCAGAGTGTATTTACTGAGAAAACACTTAGAAATGTTCAGACCAGTCTCACACGGTTTGTGCACAGGGTGTCAAGTGATGGCCAGATATGGGAATCTTTCCCAACATTCATATATAAGTTCAATAATTGTTTCTTGGGAATTTCATCAAATATGAATCCAACCATTTGCACAAACTCTATCAGTTTTTTTTTCATGGCGTATACTGACCCTCCATAGTGTGACGAGACCCTCTTCCTTTGTTATCCTAGCCAGGGCATTGAACACGCTGGTGTAACCTCTTCTCTCATTGACAGGTAACCTAAAACAAAATAACACACAAACACACGATTGTAAAAGCAATCAAAACAGTCCTTCCAATCACAGCTGATTTTACCTTTCTGTAATTCACACCCAGGACAAGTTCCGGACAAGTTGGAGATCATTGTTTAGGATTCTGAACAACTTCCCTGCAATCTTCCCGCAATCAATTTATCAGTATTGGCGAGTCAAGCAGTTGCTAATGAAAATTTCACTGGAGCATGTCCGGGACAAAATGCAGAGCTTCTTCTGGACGGAGTGAATGATTCCACCGGCAACTTATCTACAACTCATCAATTTGTCCAGAACTCATCAACTTGTCTAGAACTCATCAACTTGTCTAGAACTCATCATCTTGTCTAGAACTCATCAACTTATCTAGAACTCATCAACTTATCTAGAACTCATCAACTTGTCTAGAACTCATTATCTTATCTAGAACTCATCAACTTATGTAGAAATCATCAACTTATCTAGAACTCATCAACTTATCTAGAACTCATCAACTTATCTAGAACTCATCAACTTATCTAGAACTCATCAACTTATCTAGAACTCATCAACTTATCTAGAACTCATCAACTTATCTAGAACTCATCAACTTATCTAGAACTCATCAACTTATCTAGAACTCACCAACTTGTCTAGAACTCATCAACTGATCTAGAACTCATCAACTTATCTAGAACTCATCAACTTATCTAGAACTCACCAACTTATCTAGAACTCATCAACTTATCTAGAACTCACCAACTTATCTAGAACTCATCAACTTGTCTAGAACTTGTCAACTAATATCTATAACTCATCAACTTATGTAGAAATCATCAACTTATCTAGAACTCATTAACTTATCTAGAACTCATCAACTTATCTAGAACTCATTAACTTATCTAGAACTCATCAACTTATCTAGAACTCATCAACTTATGTAGAAATCATCAACTTATCTAGAACTCATCAACTTATCTAGAACTCATCAACTTATCTAGAACTCATCAACTTATCTAGAACTCATCAACTAATCTAGAACTCATCAACTTATCTAGAACTCATCAACTTATCTAGAACTCGTCAACTTATCTAGAACTCATCAACTTATCTAGAACTCATCAACTTATCTAGAACTCAGCAACTTATCTAGAACTCATCAACTTATCTAGAACTCATCAACTTATGTAGAAATCATCAACTTATCTAGAACTCATCAACTTATCTAGAACTCATCAACTTATCTAGAACTCATCAACTTATCTAGAACTCATCAACTAATATCTATAACTCATCAACTTATGTAGAAATCATCAACTTATCTAGAACTCATTAACTTATCTAGAACTCATCAACTTGAACTCATTAACTTATCTAGAACTCATCAACTTATCTAGAACTCATCAACTTATCTAGAACTCATCAACTTATCTAGAACTTGTCAACTTATCTAGAACGAGGCCCCTAAAAAAGTCAAAGTTTACTCAAATCTGAAAAAGAAGGCCAAAGATCAGAAAAATGCCTACTTTATTGAAGGTAGGTTTTTTCTAAAATTTCTAAAACAATTGTTGTGAATACCTAAATCCCCTTTTTGGGGGGCAGATTTCTTACCTGCCATCAGATGTCATTCTGATGAGAGAGATTTCTGCAGGAGTCCCAACGAAAGCTCCAGTAGCTCCTGCTGACATACCTGAGAAAACAAAGGGACAATTTTTGATAATTACACCACAAGTCAGTAAAATGTATTATAACACCTCTCCCACAGATTCTGTATCTTGATTGGCTAAGAGCGAGTCACATGGTATTTGCTATTTTTACTATCTTGCTGCGCATGACCAAAAGTACTTTACCCGTAGCAACCATAGTACTATACCATTAGCAACCAAAGTACTACACACATTGTGTGCAAAAGCATACGATGTGTGTGTTGCACGTTGCGCGTCTTGTTCCCAAGTGCTAGTGCTACGCTACACAGCTGGGTTCAAACATTTTGTGAAGGGGTAGTTTGGAAAAGTGCAAGTTAATTTTCAACTAGTTTTGTGTTCAAATAGAAGTTAGTTTTAATTGTATTCAGATTACAAAATCAGTAATCTTTTAAAATCAAGCAGAATCTGTGGAAGAGGTGTTATAAAACATATATTGACTGTTTTGTCTCGTGGCGAAGGAAAACAAGCCTCCCTCGGTGATCCATGGAGCATTCTATTTTCTCTCTGCTTCGCCTTGGGAAAAATAGAATGCTTCATGGATTAACTCGGGAGGCTAGTTTTACTACACCACTCAAAGCAGTCAATATTTGTATACAAGTGTTCCTTGTCTTTGAAAAATACTATTCTATCGAAAAATTATAGCGCACTGTATCTTTGAAATATAGTAGAGCCTATGTAAATGAACAGTCCTTACCTATTACTGCCTTCATGAAAAAGTTTGGTGGTTTCCCATCCGGCCTGCAAGGGAAAAAGTACAAAATCTGAATATTTTATAACTTGTTTCAATTCCAATAGGATTTTTTTTTAACTGTTCCAATATTGTTAGTCTCCGTTTCCAAAGGAAGTTGAGATGTGACCACTTACTAGCTGGCGTCAATGGGCTTCTTGCACAAGTACGCCCTCAACGGTAACAAAGGGAGAGTTGGGGGAGACCACTGGGCCGGGAGACACTCGAGTGGAGTGTCATGGCCTAGCGGTTCAGAGCACCGGACTCATGCTCTGGTGTTTCAGAGGCAACAGTGGCGTGGGTTCGAGCCCGGGCCCGGACACTTGTGCCCTTGAGCAAGGCACTTAACCATTATTGCTTCGTCCTTTGGATGGGACCCAAAGGTCCCGTGTGTTGTATAAGGCCGTAAAAGAATCCAGTAACACTTATCGCTAAGAGAAGGGGTTTGCCCTGGTGTTCCTGCCCTCTTAGTTATACTCCCTTGTGGAAGTCCTTAGGAGAAGAACCAACCAAGTACCAACCAGGTACCAAGAATGCACTGCCAACGATGCCTGACGATCACGCAAGACACTTTGGTTCTGTGCTCATTCGAAATAATACTAGTTGTGCATACTTCGCACAATACACATGCAGAGCAGTATGCTCACAAGTTTCGTCCCATCCATGGAGCTCTCAAAAGTGGTAAAAAAAACGCCCTCTCTTGTTGGCACACAGAGCCCAAAGGGGCTGCTAAGCAGAAACTTTTGTTCACAGATTTGCTAATATATAATACAATATAATAGCTGAAAGGTTGGCACAACATTTCTCATGAGAAGAGAACCAGAATTCGGGCAATTCACAATGCAGTGCGCCACCAAGAGTTTGCCATGGAGAGTTCATTTTTCAAGTTTACGGTCGACAAAACATGGCCCATTTGAACGAGTGTCAGTAGAAAACTTGAGCTAATTTGCTATAGATTGGGGCAAAGCGTTCTGCCGCCTTACAAAAAACTCCATATTGATAAAAAGAAAAGAAAAGGGCAAACATTATATTTGAATCACTCTTACAAACTTTCTGGCCGAAAAAACTAACAATTTCAAATGTCCCGCGGTGTAAATTTGTCGACCATCTCCCACAATACACTTGGAAAAATTAACTCTCCGTGGCAAACTCTTGGTGGCGCACTGCATTGTGAATCGCCCGAATTGGCAGACAACCAATTCCATTTTTAAAAAATAGTCACTTCACATTTTACACTGGCGTGCATTTACGGGTGGTACAGCAACTGGCTACCCTATTGAAGTAAAACACAGGTAGCCAACCCCAAAAGTCAAATCCCGGAAGTTTTCTAAAAGGCTTTATAGCTTGGAGGTACAAACTGCAACTTTCCTGAGTGCCATCTAACAGGCACATACTTAGTGACTGTGAAATCTGTATTGGTATTCCATGTAGCCTGGTTTTCAGTTTGAAATGGCATTGAAAACATTCCTTATTCTTTATCTGAAAAATTTCTAAGCAATTTGTTCCTGACATATGCAGGCGGGTTATTCACATTTCACATAACATGCAAACTTCTCCAAAGTTGTACTCCTTACGATGCTAAGCTTCAAATCAGATTACACAGATATCTTACCCGGTAACCATGTCAAACAGGGTGGTGTAGATCCCCAGCCTGGTAGTTGTGTAGGTCGCTTGACGGAGCAAACCCGCCGACAATCTGAGGAACAAAAATCAAAATATTTCAACTCTCCCTGACAGGTTTATTCACTACTGCACGACCTGACACCACAGTATGCAGCAGCTGTGGTACACTGGCCTACTGAAAGGCTCATTGCAATGGTATGAATATTGGTAATGGCTGAAATAAGTCACAAATAACTGACTGGCCAACACTGACCTGCATGTACAAAATTTGACAGAGCATAAACTCCTTTTGTTCAGATTAAGTTTTTTTGTTCGGATAATTTACCCACTTTTTGGAAAAGATAGTTCATGTGAGTGCAGCCAAGTACAACAGAAGATATTTACAATGTATCTGTTACCAGCTAAACCTTTCAAGTTTTTAAAAACAGAATCAACCCTTGGCTTGCTGTATTCAACATCTTGGCTTGCTGAATCCACGCACAATTTCTGTAGGATTTTGTTGATCTAAGCAATGAATAGAGATTTTTCGTTCCGGCTATTCGACCCTGTTGAATTCAGCAGGCTTCTCACTTTAACAACATTTGGATATTGTTAGATTTAGCAGGGTCCATACAAAATACTTTACTTTGGCTAGAAACCCTGCCAAACGCAGCAACATGTAACACTTGTCGCTCAGTGTAGCAAGATCCATCAGGTCAAAAGTCTCAAGGCTAAACTGCCTCAAAGTCTGTGGTCACTGAATGTGTAGCAGGATACAACTGTGGCATTGTTCAATGGGACTAGCTCTTATTGTTTCAGAATCGACTGTTTATGTACTGGTGTTGATGGCTCAATACAGCAAACCCTTTTCACACTAGAACCTCTCAACCCAGGTTCAATTCAACCCTGGGCGAATCCAGTGCTGCCCCGGGTTGAGTTTTTTTTTATTTTATTTTTTTAACCCCGTGTTCAAGCCCTCATCGTTTTACACTGGTTTCGTGCAAACCCAGCCTAACATGCTCAGTTACTACTGTTTTGAACCCTTGCGAGATTTTCAACCTGAGTTGAAAATCTCAACCCTGGTCTGGAGCAGGGTTGAAACTTTTCAAGTGTGAAATGCCGCAAGTATTCAACCCCGCATCAACCCCGATATGTGTTAAGAGTGAAAAGGCCTAGTCCCACAGATTTTTTACACCTGTAACACTGTGCGCATATTGGCAGGGTTTGGGTTTAGGAGAGTTGGGGTGGATAAAATGTTTTTTTGAGCAACTTTACCCGTTGTACATTCCAAAGAACCCCTCGTTGGATATGATAGCTTTGATGGCATGGCCGCTGGTTTTGTACATTCTTGATCCCCCGCCCTCACCTGTTGAGTTTTGAGAAAATTTGTCACTCAGAAAGCAGAACATTTCTGAGAAATTCACATATTTAAACCATAACCCTCCTCAATCCTCTAAAATCCTCATGGCGGTTTTAGAGTATTTTGGAGGCTTGAGGATGAATGGTGTTTGAGATACATGAGGATTATGGAGGATTGAGGATGAATGGTGTTTTAGCACATGAGGATTTTGGAGGATTGAGGATGAATGGTGTTTGATAAGGAGGAGACTTTTGGAGGATTGAGGACGAATGAATTTTTTTGAGGCAGGACTGTCTGTCTATTTTGAAGGATTGAGAAGCTGGGTATCCTTCATTGGAACATTAGTGCAAAATTTTGGAGGATTGAGGATGGTTCCTAGCAAAATGGGCCTCGGTTAATTAATGATGAACTTAGACAAATTTGAAATATATACATGAAAAAAAAGAAGATTGTATCTTTTCCAAATATTGAATTTGGCTTTAGATCATTTCCATTCAATAACTGTTTTTGAGATTCAGAGTTGTTTCCTGTTCTACAAATATAATTAATTTTAAGCACAGGATTTATGCAACCATTGTGTGAACAAGATTGTGATTTTTTTTATAATTCTTGATAAAAGTGGGAGCTCTGAATCAAATTTAACAACATGCAACTGGAAAGTAACAAAAAGATTTTACAAGGCTTTATGATGAAAGGTTTGCGGAAACACCATGTGCGAATAATTTCTCAACTAAGAGAATGGTTCTGAAAAGAACCAGAGGTATAAACCCGACGTTGAGAAATTATTCGCACATGGTGTTTCCGCAAACCTTTTATCATTTAGTATCTCCACCATGCAAAGCCTCACATCTTACTTACAAGGCTTTGCAATGTGTTTTTCAATTTTTAATTGAGGAAAAAAATGAGGGAACCAGCTGATCCGAGAAAAATGTTCATGCCTGGTTTAACCAGACTTGCTGGTAGGTAAGCAAAGATATACCTACCAGCTACTCAGTGGAGCAAAACTTACCACTCATTTGCATGCGATTCTTCACCAGATCCAAGGGCTGTACAAAGACAGTTGCTGCCATCCTGCACAAACACAATGACAAACAAAAATACACACAAATTTGTCAGACGAGCTGAGATTCAGGTATAGGCCTAATGACGTTTTTTTTTTAAATTGATGAAATAGCACTTATTTAGTATACAGAAGGAACACTATTCAGAAATCATAAGTTTTTAATAGCGAAGGCATTGTGTTTACTGTTTTTCTTATAAGAACAGGTTCCTAAACTACATTATTACCATACTTTCCCTCTAATTGCAATTCTAATTCATTGCCAGCTATTTTGGTGAATCCAACTGCATAAAATAATAAAGTGGAATTTGAATGCAACTTTAACCCTAACTGAACTTAACCCGTCAAAGCCGAACAACAGGTTTTGTTGAAATCTGATGGGATAGCTACAGTACCCTAAAGTTATAGTCTTCTACATTGGGTTTGGCACACCTCCAGAAACTAAGTCCAACAGTGTGTGTTTACAATTTCCCATGTGGGTGTTGGAATTTGCCAGGATGGGTATGGTTCCTTCCTACTCCTAGTAAATTATGATAGGGAGTTTATTTTTATTTATTTACTTATTTATTACTTATATATTTAAAGGGATCTCCAGACAACAGGAGTTAGGGTAAAGTCGACGGCGATCGTGAAGTGTAGGGCCCCTGTTTTATTTTGTTCAAATGAGAGTCCAAAATGTTTTTTATTGCTCAAAAATCACCTTTACAATCAAAAGCAGACTTTTTTCAATTCTAGTGACACCCGTTTTGCAATTTTCAACATATTCTTGGGGTAGAAATCACGATTTTCCTGCGCGGTTGGTACCTTGCGATTCAGCGCGCCGTGCGTTCTCACGGTACATCGCGCGGTGATCGCCCTCTTCATTTTCGGGTCGGTGTTGTCGCTGCGCTGTTATCGTCATTTTACCCCCAATTGTCCCTCAAAAGATCAAAACCCTGCCCTCTAATCTATGACATACCTGTTTATTGAGAATGTCGCCAACTGGTTTGGTAGGTCCAATAATTTTAAAGTGGATTTTGTTCCCTTATAGGAACCGGGCCCTACACTTCACAATCGCCAAGTCGACGCACTCCCGGACCCCCCCCCCCCCCCCCCTAAACAAAAATTGTTCTTTCCAAGTTTAGAAGTAGCTTTTCCTTCCATTACAGGAACAGGGTCTGCAACTACACAGACGCCCGAACTTGACCAAAACAAAAGAGAGGCAAACAAATGTAAAAAAAAAAAACACGCAATTTTTTTTAACGAAATGAATGCAATTAACATTTGTATTGCTAACAAATCTTACAAAAGTAGACGTGGTAGACGGCCTTTTCGATATTGTAAAACTTATGTCATGAGAGAAATATTATCTGCAAATAGCCGCCTAACTATCTGACAACTTCAACTTACCCAGCCAAACCTCCGAAGAGGAATTTTACAGGTTTGGGAAGCTGCACGGGTGCCGCTGGTTTTGCGTTCGTGGACGTCGCCATCTTGAAATTGCATCCCCGGTATTATGTGATTTGGAACGTACAGTTCATGCTGCGCCCTTAATAATAGGCCTCTCTAACAATACAAAAATTGTGCCCCTCTTATCTCGCTCTGACCATACCATACTTGTGGGTGATGTTCCTTTCAGAACACATCACCCCACTATTTTAACAATAGAAAAACATCACCCCAGAAGAGGATCTTTAGAAAAAGGGATAAAAGGAACACAATGCTATCACCCCACAAATTGGGCACAATTCCATCTGACCATGATCTGACTGGGATGAACGAGATTGCAATCAGTAAATCGTTACTTGCCACCCGACTTGTTATGTATCATGACGTTCATTCGAAATGTATTTTCCAGGTTTAACCCATTATGTTTTTTGTGCTAAGTATTTGTACTGGTTTTTTTTCTGTAATTCTCAGCAATTTCAAATAAAATTTCTGAATGTGATGTGACACATCATGAAATATTAATGGTCGAAGTTTGAGAAGAATACATTTGGTATTTCGCAACTTATTGGTCTAAACAAAGAATGCATTGAGCGTTGACCCATTTTGATTGTTATTCACGGTTGAAACACTAAGTTGATTCGGTAATATCATTTTGTTGTTTGACGAGTTCTCATGAACTTGTAATGGCGATATCATAGGCGCAGATCCGGGAAGGGGGGGGGGTTACCCCCAAGTCTGTCAAACACTTGGTTTTTCCATAGGAACTCAAGAAAAAGTAATGCTACATCCCACCCCTTCTCTGACACCCAAAAAAAACAAGTGTACTGTTCATTTGCCTGTGCCCAAAGTACGGACAAGCCATGGGTTGGGGAGGAGGGGGGGGGGGGGTATTTGTACACTATCATGTAATCACGGATCCCAGACACCAAGATAAACAGTGTTAAGCGCTAGTACAAATGCACTGGACTTGTCTAGACGCACGAGTCCGGGCATTAATGCCCGTTGGCGCGTAATCGCGAACTTTCAAAGTGTGCCATTGTGTTGTTTTTTTTTGCATGACATCTAAAATATTCATAAAACTGTAAGTAAAACTACTCCTTATTTAAGATATAATTGTTCCAAGATTGTTAAAAATAAATACTTCAGGATATAACAGATGGTATTGTGCAGTTTTTCTCGTCATAGATGAAGTATTTACCCGGGAAATAAACGTCAAATGTCGAGAACACCGTTTACCCAAATTTTGTTTTTTATTAGGCTTTTATTAAAAGATGATATGATCCCGAACCTATGAAACAAAAGCGGCATTTCATTGTTCATCTTAAAACTAAAGATATTGTGCTCGGCATTACCATGGTTATGTAGTTAGACCTGAGACGTTATGACGTAATGGCTTTGTTTACATATGCGCTTTCCTATGGGAGCGAAGTCGGGACGCCAAATAAAGTGGGGTCCGTCTACTACATAGGAAAGCGCACATGTAAACAAAGTGTGACGTCATTACGTCTTAGGCCTATAATAAAGACCAAAAACGTAGACTCATGAATATTCAAAATATAATTCGCTGGCTTGACAGACTTTGACGCCAGATCGGGCGCAGAGCCTTGCTAATCTGAAAGCCACAGCGCCCAGTGGTCTTTGTTGAAAAGCATTCATGGTATTTGCCACCAGTACGGGCTGTTTTCACGACTCTAGCCAGGAGTTGGGCGAGTCGTTTATCCTTACGTATAGGATCGTGCTAAAATATAGAGTTAATAATGTTGGATTTGAGCAGGACTTCATTACAAGTACAGTACAAGCCCCCCCCCCCTTAATTTTGCGGAGCCCAGTGTCCGGAAGTAAAGCTGATGCATCTGCCCCTGAATACTTGAACTCATACACATGGTCATAACACTTCTGATCACATTCACTGACACATCAAAGAAACAAATTCCACACCAACTTTCTTTCTTTTTTCATCGTGTTTACTTATTACTCAGATACCGAGCTCTTTAACTACATAATAATTATTCTTTACAAAAAAAAATGAACAAAAACAAAAAAGCAAACAACAAAAAACAGGCAAGGCCGTATTAAAGCCTGTTTTCTTTTGTTTATTTACGTCTTTGGTAAAACACAACTGGGCGTCGACATCATCTGGCTGATGTGTATTCCTTTATAGTCGTTGATGATGCTTTGTTCCAACTGAGCTTTAGATGTTTTTTTCAATTCTCTAAATATTGTCGGATTGTTAAGAACTTTAATACGAACGGTGATTGAGATTTTCTGTATTGCATCCAGCAACCTTTATTGCATTTCCGAGCTATGTTTAGAACGCAGGACTGCGAACCAAATTTGGCAAACAGTACGTATTAACTACTTGCACCAAATTTACACAAGTACTCGTACATGAAACTGTATATTATTACAAATTGCCCCATGTAAATGAAGGCCAAAAAGCTATGCAAAATTACAATGTTTTCCAGCAAATGCTAATTCTTTGATATGTGAATGGCTTTGCTTTTTTGAGCAGCAAGAAGAGCACACTACAGGTGATCACATTTCAAAATGTTTCTGCGTTGAAATTTACAACAAAGCCAAAACAGCTGGACGTAAATAACGGAATATTATTGGTACTGCGGTGACATAAAAGGAATAGACATCGACCTTGAACACAGAAACTCACACACTCAGCTCCTGATGTGAGATCTACAGTACAAGTCTTCTTTTTTTAGTACAACTATCTTTGCAAAATCTACGTCTAGAACATTATTACTCTTCTTTTTCATGACGGACAAAAAAAATATCGGCAGGAAAAAAAATACTGAACTATATCAAACAAATATCCTTAACTTGATTGGCAGTCGACATTGTTTTTAAACTATGTTACATTAATAAAGTAATTTGCTTGTTTACATGATTCCTTTTGTAAGAATTATTAGGAATATTTTTCTGTGGTCTAATCAGTGCTGAATGTATTCCTGCACGACAACTTCGTTCCCTAAATTGCATAAATTTGAAGGACACCAAACTGAAACACACCATTTCTTTTCTCAGATGAACAGGCAATTTTCGAGTTTTCCCTTGAATACTGAAGGATATGCAATCGCTACTAATAATTACAGCAAAAGTCCGCTGCATTTAAAAAAAAAAACCTTTTTCGAGAGAGAAATGTTACGTGATTTGTCCTACCCCCTGGTAATGATTCCTAAATATATTAAACTGACACTGATCATGTCTGTACATTACCCAATAAATAGGACTCCAAAAGTAACAACGTTTTTTTATATGATTTTCCTTAAAAGAAAACTAGCCAATACTTATTTACATCATACATATAAAAACATGCATTTCTACACAGATAAGAACGGCACTGTGCATTAACTTAAAACATTTGGGGCGCTGTTTGAAACTATGGATGCTCAAAGTCATGAAAACCATCTTACAATAAAAAGTACACAAAGTTTGTTCCTTGAACACAGTTAGTCCCCCCCCCCCCCCCCCGAACCAAATATAACAGCTCTATGTACAGAGGCGGCAAAACATCTACAGTTAAAAGAGCGGAACACAATTCTAATCACAAACATAATTTTGGCAATTTTTTGTCTGTTTGCGAGTTGGCCCCTGGAGTACCCCATTTCTTAAACTCCTGACAGTACTGAATATTAAGTTTTGTGAGACTGGTAGGGGAAAATTGAAATGTCTCAAGATGTTTTTTTTTATTTTATGAACCAGTTAGTACTGGAGATTGCATGTTCTATCAAAGGACTAAATCTTGATCTTTGCTATACCCTTTATTCATGAATTACAATAACAAGTGCATTATAATAATTACAAATACTGATTTTTTTTTTTTTAATAAAAAAAAATTCAAACAAAACAGACAATTTTCTTATTCATTTTAAAATCTGCTATCATTAATAATCATTGAATACAGTTAGACATGTACAATTTCTATGTTCAATCACACGAAGTACAAACTTGATTTAACAATTTTTGTGTCCTCGTGAGGACATTTCGTCATTCTAAAAATTGTAGCATTTAACGTTTCTTTAAAATGTGAGAGAAACTGTTGGCTCGTCAAAATGTGATTTCATGTAAAAGAGATTACGTATTATGTAAAACCAAAAACGGCATGTACATTATTAAAACATCGTTTTAGACATTTAAAAACTTGTGGCAGATTTGTTTCTTAAAAAATCTAATTAGCAAAAAAGATTGGCAGTAGACAAAAATGCATCAAAACATATATGCACTACTGAACTAGATGACACAATGCGGCAGCCATCTTGGTCTTGTGCCAAATGCTTAAGTAAAGCAAAGACAATGACAAACTGGAGCACTTCTAGTGGGTACCAGACTATTTCTGACACAGTTGGCTGTGCTTTGGTTTATACAGGTCATGGTGGAAAATTGAAAAGACGGTCGCCATGCAGGTTTGAAAAATGTTGGGAAAAAAAGCATGCCAACAAATGAAGATGAGACAGCTACAGTACAAATTGTGGCCTTAAATGTCATTGATGGAAACTTGGCTGCACCATTTTGCATAAATAACATTAATCTGCATGATCTCAGCCACAAAAATCTCACAACTTACTTCCTCCTAAACACCTACCCAAAAACCCAAATTTTTCCTTACTCTTGTAAATTAGAAGCGTAAAAATGTCTCAGCTTGTACACTTGTTTCCATTTTAAATAATACACTTTTGTACACAACTAACACAAAAATCTGCAGTGACGTTCCATCAAATGAGTCTTAAATACAGATGTTTCTTTACTTTCTTTTGCTCTCTCTCTTTTTTAACCAAAGTGAATACTCTGTGAATAGTTTTGGTGTGCTTTATTCTCTCAGACTACAAAATTTTACAGTGGTTACTTGCAGAAGGCAAAACAAGTCACATGAACTGTGAAGCAAACTGGTTTTCATGGTATACAAGAAACCAACATGCCAACACTGGTGCACAGCTTTTTTACATGTTTTCCTATGGGAAAACCTGAGGGTTACCAACAACTGCTTTGAGCTGTTTGTCCAAGTGGGCAAAAATACACTGTCAACTGACAAATGTGCGTATCAACTTGACATGATTATTAAATCAGAACAGCAGTACAGGGCTCAGACTCTACTCAAATCCACATATTTGTAGTGTAGCAAAATCACAATCTCATTTCCCGTTTGTGCTTTACGGGCCAAGTGGGAATCTACTGTGGTGCATGATGGGATATGGATCAATCCCATGATGCATAGCAACAAAGTTACGATTTCAGGCGATAGTCCCGCCCACTGCGCAACAATACGTGTGCATCCCCAATGCCACACAGCATTTACAGCCGTGCCTGTTATGCGCACGTGCGCGCATGTCGGACTTTTGTGCCCCCATGCCAGCCATCAATCGCAGCCGTGATTGGTCAAAACCCAAACGGGGGAGGGGCTTAATGAATGAGTCTTTTGCCAACAAGCGTTCTACTTGTAGCAAATTCCTAAAAAAACACGGATGACAATCAAACATGTGGCCATTACAAGTGATTCTACACGTGGAACCAAAAAAATGTATGTGGATTTGAAACAGCGCCCTCTACTGCTGTCCTTTAATGAATACACCTTTTTTTTTTGGTCAACACAGGAAGATGAAGAAAAGGAAAGAAAATAGATCGCACAATGGAGATATTTACTAACAAGTAGACCGACACATTCAAGTGTGACAAAGACATAGGGAAGAAGAAAAAACACACACAGAAAGAAAGAAAGACAGACAGAAAAAGTGACAGGGCTGCAAAAGCTGCATTTGTGGGCAAAATTGTGAAAGGTTTTTTTTTTGGGTTGTTATATTTGAAAGTTTCATTGCCACAATGTGGAATGTTAGACTCTTTTAAACAGTGACAATGGTCTACGAAATGCTGGGGGGGGGAGGGGGAATGAGACTGCCACACAGCATGTAACCTCCACGTTTACATCTACGCAACTAATGCAGCTCGAACAATTTTCACATGAATTTCCTTTTTTTTTTTCTTTTTTTTTTTTTACAGCATCCGGAGAGCTAGAAGGGCTGGTCGCTGATTTGTTTATTTTTTCCTTTTTTTGTGTTTTTTTACCTTGTGAACTCCCCGGCAACCAACGTTACATTCTTGCAATCTCGCTGGCCTGTGCGAGCCCTGGAAATTGAGATGGAAAAACAGGAAGAAAAAGACAAAAAAAAGGGATGAGACCAAGAGCCCGAGCGTCCCATTTTCAGAGAGCTGCCAAAAAAAAACCCCAGAATAATTTAGCTCAGCAGATTTATTTTGGCTTAGCACATTTCACCGGTTCACTTCCTACACCAGCACACACAAAAATACACTTAAGTGTTGGTAGCCAGCTTTTTTAGCTTCAATTGTATTTGCTTAGCAAGTTTTTCTGCTCTGATATATTGTACCTTTACTTGAACATGGAGCAATTTGGATGCTTTTGGCTTTTTGTTTGAAATACTTTTCTGCCTGGCTAAATTTGAGTTGCTTCTCAGCTCCGTGAAGTGGTTATTTTTGTTTTTTAATTTCATTGATACTGAACTGTTATTTGTTGAGACAAAACTTTGCAATATATAGGAAACAAATTGCAATCCAGAAACATTTTCATAAGTTTGAAAAAAGAAAATAAAAGATTTAAATAATAACTTGACTGAGTAGACGATTTTCGACCAGCTGTTATGCATTTAGATAAAAAGAAAAGGGACAACTTCAGAAAATAAATGTAGGAACAAAAATAAAAAAGGTACGAGCAGAACAACTCACTAAGCAAAATATTGGGGAGTTTTTTTTTTACACTTATCAGTCAAAATAAAAAATGCACAACGTACAAGTCTGCCTCCTGGCAAAATTTCATGCAAAATTACAAGGAAAAAATAAGAAAGAAAAATACTGCTGAGCGTATTTGAAAATAATTTTTTTTTAACAGGCAGCTCTACGAAAATGGACGGAGGAGGAAAGGAGAAAATGACATGCAAGAGTGGATACAAGACAACATGACAATGAATGAACGACGGGGTGACAAGGCATTGACAGGTGTGTGCACAACACTTGACGAGACAACTCACAGACCACGCCCCTGCCCCACCCTTCACATAACATCCATGACGAATTTGAAGGGATCAGATGTGGTTATTTGGAAGGACTACCCACTGCCGGACTGACCACGCCCTAATGCACTCCGCTTGGCCCCGCCCCTCAAATACATCTACAAAGCATTTGAAGGAATGACCCAACGGACGTTCAGCAGGATTGCTTTTTTCCAAATGACCACGCCCTCATCCAACCGGCCCCGCCCAACCCCGCCCCCTCACATAACATCCACAAAGAATTCACAGGGATTACCCATGGCCATCCGGAAGGACTGCCTACTGCCCGATAAGTCCTCCGGCATAGACCCAAGCTGCCTGGGCATGGGCACGGTGTGCTGACCGGGCCCGGGCCCAATCATCGGGGGCACCGCCTGGCCCATGACGGGGGGCGCAGGGGGTAGGTTGGGTCCTGCCGGCCCGATACCTGTCATTTGACCCATCGGGGGGATGGCCACGCCCATGGGCATGGAGTTGACGGACATAGGGGGCGTGTCTCCTCGCAGGGAGCCGTCGGCACGCATGGGTAGGTCCCCTCTCGCCGTTGACCGGCTGATGATGGAGGTGGCGTCTGATTCGCTGCCAGAGCTGCCTTTGCTGCGGCCTTTCCGGTCCTTGTGGTCTTGGCTGTGGCCTGAACCACTGCTTCCTGTAACGGGCAAATGAATAATGAATAATAATTAATGATTGCATTTGAATAATGAATAATAATTAATGATTGCACTTGAATAATGAATAATAATTAATGATTGCACTTGAATTTTTTTTAAAATAGTAAACATCAATACCTTGCTGAGGAAAATGAAACTATCCACAAATGCTGGGAAAACCTTTTTAAGATGTCCACGACAAAACAATTTTGGGGTTGCGGATTTGAAACTAACTCCTCTAAATGTTGCTAACTTTACAACCAAGTTAACATAAGGCTGGTTCATACTCGGCGGGAAAGCAAATGTAAATTTGTGACGTCAGGGCAGGTTTTCGTGCTGCAAACTCGCAAAAGTTGAACACATTTCAACTCCGGCGAATTTCGCATCGAAGGCTTCGTGACGTCAAATTCGCAACGCATTCGCATGAAGTAATAGTCCGGGCCATTCAGGGTTGCCACTTATTATTTTGCAACGGGCATTGATGTCCCACTTATTTGCAAGTCTAACCAGTGCTCCATTGGGTGACTGCACAGTGATGGATCATGGCAGGTTCAGGAAGCTTCCAAATCAGGGAGTCCAGTTTTTACAACTAAACAGCAAACTCTGAAACAAGGTGCGGCCTTTTAGTTGAAGTTGAAAACTTATTATGACAAAGTGCCTTGCTTGTAACATTATCATCTTGTTGGGTTTGAACCTCGGTAACCTAATATGCAATTCAAGCACCCTGTCAAATGTTCAACTGATAAACACACAAAGGTTCAAACTCAACCAGAGGATTCAGGGCTGGTGTCCACAGGTAAGGCACTTCACTATAACAGGGTTCCACCTTAACTTTTTTGTTCACTAGCCAGCCGGGCTACTGAAACGGACTCTTAACTAGCCTGCGGGCATTTTCACTAGCCCGCATTTTTTTCTTATCTCAAATACAAATGGCGTATTTTCAGACTCGATTCTGAGGCAATTTTGTCAGTGTTTTTAATAAACAGATCTAATAATTTAACCTTTTAAAACAGTTGATAAAATCAGACACAAATTGATGGGGTTTTCTTTCTAAATTTAATGATTTATTTCTTCCTGTACGTTCAGGAATATCGTATCCCAATAATTTTTCACTCGCCAGCCGGGCTACTTAAGGAATAGTTTGACTATCCCGCCACTGTTTTGACTAGCATTTGGCTAGCGGGCTACCGCTAATTTCAAACCCTGCTATACTTGGTTTTCAACCTCACAAAAAAAAATTCAAGGTTCCAAGCACCGTACGAACAAAATTCGCTGAGTTTTCCCTAAAATGTCCAAATTTCGTGAGGAAATATGTTCACTTTAATTAGGTTGCTGAGAAGTCGACAGGTGGTTACAGCCAAGCAACTAAGAATCAGATAATACACAGGCAACTTGTTGACGAGTGATGGCCTCCCTTCTCCCCTTATAGCCATCCTTTCAGTCAGTCAATGGACACAACTTAGACACGTGACAAAAGACACACATACACCAAAACTGGCGAAAGCCTTTCCCTTCTGGATCACTGTCAAATTCCCTGAGTTTTTCTTGAAATCTCATTTTCAAGTTTACCCAGATCTCCAGAGGGGCTGGGAACCTTGAACTTCGCATATTTAAAGGCAGAAATTAAATGCGGACTTTACCTCCACTTCCGGCACTGCCTACGCTCCCGTTTCCAAAACTGGTGTAGCTGGCCGTGTCAAACTGGGAATAGCCTATGGGCTGGTAGGGTAGGGGAGGGGCCGTGGGTATATTCGGGGGTAGCTGGCCGGGGGGCATCCAGTGCTGGGGGAGAGGCGCCAGGGTGTCCTGGTCCACTTCTGGGGTGTCGTCACCCAGCGACAGCGCTGCCATGTCTAAAAAAAAACACACACAGTTAGATTATCAAACTTGGAAAAAAATTGCTACATAAATTTGTTTGCAATGTAGCATATACCTTCACAGCACACTTGAGACTTATCTGTAAAGATGTCTAAGTATAAGTTACGAGCTTAAAGGGAATGTACATCATTGGCTTTTGCTGTAATTTTCAGAAATGAACTATTTGAGGGGTTAGTATAATAGATCAAATATTGTTTAACTGACATGTTTGAAGTTTTGTGTTCGAAAATGCTTGAAAAACCAAGAGAAACAAAAATGTTTAAGTAGTCTGGTTCCCTGACTCCACTAACGATAAAATGGATCAATTTATAGATGTCGGAAAATTGTAGGTAAGGGAACCAGTCTAGCTGGCCTGCGCCTGTTCATGAACATGTAACCAATAGCAAACAAACTTTGGACTGAAAAAAATAAATTGTAAATTTGGAGCAGTAGTTGAAAAATAGTTAGGTTTTTCCAACGGTGGTCGCCGACCACCATTGGAAATGGGCCGTTGGTCGCCGACCACCGTTGGAAATGTTTACAAAAATACCATTTTCGTGAAAATGACTTGACACCAGGTGCCATAATTTTACAGGATGCTTTAGACTGTCTTTTACCAACATCCTAGTAAGGTATTTCAAAAAAACTTGGTTGTTTATTTTTCTCGATGTTTGCAAATGTTGTATATTCCCTTTAACATCTAATGAGCAACATTACCACCTTCCTAACAACGAAGCAGGCATTGAACGACTACCCCTCCCCCCCCCCCCCCCCCAGTTGACTTACTTCCGCATAGGTCTCCAAAGATGTAGTAGCACTGTTCAGAGAAGGTGATCTTGTTGACGGTGTGTCGAATGTAGCCCGCCTTGAGGAGGTTGCAGGCGTACTTCCTGGCATCTCGCCGGTCTGTGAAACCCTCCACACGATTGTACAGCCATTCCACAACATCAGAACCTGCAAGCAATGAGAGAGGGTTTTACAACAATTCTAATTTTGTGTTGTAATCACAATAGTGCTGTGCATTTTCGAAATAATTCAGTATTCGATCAATGGAACTTGGATTTGATTGAATATTTGAATATTCAAATATTCAAATATTGACAGTGAGGTAAAAACTTGGTGTGAATATCGTGAATGTATCGACGTATTTTGTTCGAGAAAGTTCATTAGGTGATGTCTGACAGATAGATTTAAAAAAAAAAAAAAATGCAAATTTTGGTTATAAAAGCACTCAAGTTACAAAAACATCATGGACTTCCCTCCCCCATCTTTTAGAGACGGCTCAATTTTTTTAATTTTCTATTTCGTAAAATGCTATTAGAATGTTCAGCGGATGATTAAACTTTCAGCTTTTCTGTATTTTTGGCACAGCCCTATGCACTACTCAAATGAAATGTCACAAAATGCATTCCTTTCTTTAGTAACGTTCATCAACTGTTCATCCATTTGGACATAACTCATAATTTGACCAGTGTTTGACTTTCTTCGCTTACCTAGGAAAGCGTTTGGAATGGTAATCTTGAGCCACATGCGGTCTCTGATGTCCAGGCCAGAGTCCGGGGCCGCCATGGCGCGCACGATGGTGTTCAAGTCCGAGTTGATTGACAGTGGGCCGAAATCCTCCAATCCTACAAAATAAAGGGAAGGGTCAGTTATGAATTGTTAAAACAAGACTAGGCAGAGCTAGAAAAGCTGGTCCCAGAGCTCACAAAATCCTGTTCAATTCGGGCGATTCACACTGCAGTGCGCCACCAAGAGTTTGCCATGGAGAGTTCATTTTTCCCAGTGCATTGTGGGAGATGGTCGACAAATTTGCAGCGCGGGACATTTGAAATTGTTCCTTTTTCTGGTTAGTAGTTTCGTAAGCGTATGATTCGAATATCTGTTTGCCCTTTTCTTTTCTTTTTATCAATATGGTGTTTTTTGTAAGGCGGCAGAACGCTATGCCCCAATCTATAACGAATAAGCTCAAGTTGTCTACTGACACTCATTCAAATGGGCCATGTTTTGTCGACCATAAACTTGAAAAATGGACTCTCCATGGCAAAATCTTGGTGCCGCACTGCATTGTGAATCGCCCAAATTGATTCAGTATGGCCAACCAGTTTGAAGCTGTAGTGGTAACAGAGATAGTAACCAGTCCAATTCACAAGTGACAGTCAGTAGGTGACAGACTTACGCAAGTCTAATTCACACGTGATAGTCAAACACTGAGAAAAACTGTTAAAAGAAAAAATGTGACTTACTTTCGGACTCGGGGATAGAGCTGGTTAGTGAAGAGCTGCCGGACGTCATTGAGGTCATGGAGGGACTGACCGGTCCTGCTTGACCGTGGTACGCGGCCACTTTCATGGCGTTGGTGTGGGCCACCCACGCACCGGGATCAATCGGCCGGACTGGCTCACCTAACATAAACGAAAACAAAATGATAAATAAATCTCATTCAACATTTGCCCTTCACCGACGTATTTCATAATCATTGTATATTGTCCCAGGGCTTGTGAACAAAATTTACAAGCTTACTCTGGTGGGAATCGAACCCCCAACCTTCTGTGAATTTTGTCACACGACCTCGGACAACACGGAGTATTCAGTGTTAAGCAGTAAAGATTGCTTAGCACATTTATGTGCTAAGCCAATTGTTTTTGATTGGTCCTCAGCTATGCAATGCATTACAATGGTAATTTGGCTGGTAAACAGTTTTTCATAAGCAAATTTTGTGTGTGCGTTAAGCAACAAATAGTTAAGCACAAAAAAAACTTCATGAAATTGGCTACAGGCTTGAATTGCGTCAATTCTTAATTCTGGTGAAATATAAATCAGTCCAGCTGAAGACAGATGAAAGAAAAGCGATGTACTTACTCCTAGGGATTGTGAAGTAACCCTTAGGTGAAGGATCCCAGCACTTAGCAACAACAAGTTTGATGGGTCTGCAAAAAAAAATTAATTCCAATATTAAATTTTCACTTAAGTCTATTTAAACATTTATAGCACACTATCTTCAGTTAATCTGCTAATAATTAACAAGAAAGATGTAGCAACTTTCTCTTGTTCCCTGTCTTTGTACAATGCAAGTCTACTTACCCTGGCTGGTGCACAGCTTCTCGTAGTACCCTGACGGCATCGTCGTTGCTCATGTTCTCAAAGCTGACTTCGTTGACTTGCAGGATCATGTCGCCGGGCTCGATCCTGCCGTCCGCTGCTACCGCACCCCTGCCAAGATAACGATTTGCCAAAATTCAACTTGGGCATCCCACAAAGTATTGACCTGTCGCCGTTTGCGAGTTGGCCATGCCCTTTAGGCAACCCTATGGAATTTTTGGATGCTAAGTTTTGTTTGTCTCAGATGTTGCGCATTTCGTGTCCATTTGTATATTATGTAATTTGGACAATATTTCGCAAGCTGCGTTGACGCGATTCTACCCCACGATCTATTGCATGATCCTCTGTGGCTGATTTTATGAAGCGGCTCAGTGCGGCTAACCGAAGATATTTGCTTACAAAGTTTGCTAGAATAAAAGTAAGGCACACACAGATTTAAGTCATTCATGAAGACTCACTGAACCAGACGCTAGTTACTTTTTCATTTAGTTCACCATTTTCAATACTGACATCAGTCCAACAGGTTATCTTTCACAGCCCTAAATCAGAACAAGAAAACAGCCGATAAGTTGACACAAATTTTTTTGTCTGTCTTTATTTTCTGGAAGCAGCAAGGCTTACCCCTTCATGATTGAGCCCACGTAGATCCCGCCGTCCCCGCCCTTGTTGCTTTGACCAACAATGCTGATACCCAAGAAGTTAATTTTGTCTGCAAAAAAAAGGAAGAAAATATTGAAGCCAATGTCAGAGAGAACTTGGTTGAAAACAATGGCATAATCATCAATAAAACATGGAAGCCAGTTCCCTGATTGAAGGATTATTAACGTTCTTTGCCATAATTGAAATAGAAAACAAGACATTTTTTGTCGCACAAAATCAAAATTGTGACACTTACCCAAATTTAAGGTTACTGTGATAATGTTGAGTGACATAGTAGAGTCTGTTATACTGCTAAAAGAAGAGGCCTGTAAAATGAAACATGAAAAAAATTAATTCCTGAAATTGTTATTTTTCAAAGATCAAAGTTTGGCAAAAGGGTGATTCAATCTTCCACTGCACAATAGCTAATTAAACTTTGATAAATAATAATTCATGGTAATGGGCTCCGTCCGTGAACAAGAGAGGGCGCTTCTTTACCACCTTCGTGTGCCCCGTGGATGGGACACACTGCGTGTGCGTACTGGTTCGCGCGCGTATGGCGTAGTGCATTGTAGTATGCACGACTAATTTTAATTCTGAATGTGCGCGAAGTCATAGCGCCCTCGCATGAGCATCAGGCGTCGTCGGCAATGTGTTCAATTGCCTCTCCCAGTGGTCCCCCCAACTCTCCCTTCCTTACCGTTGAGGGGGTACTTTTGCAGAGAGCCCATAAGAGTACAGGAGAAATATGACTTTGTATCAATTTTGAAATCTCACATCAAAACAATTTCAATAAATATTGGTTTGATGTGACATAGTCGATATGACAAATTGACATTCGGAATATGTCAACAACAGCAAACAGTGGCACTTACACGCTGGACTTGAGGCATGCGCGGTCTCCGCCGCCGTTTCCTGTGTTTGCTGCGCATTAATCGCGACGAGCTGCTTCGCTCTGTTGCACTACTAAATCTGCAGGAAAGACACAAAAAAGCATAAACGTAAGGTTTGGATTTTAAATTATTACAACAATCTGTTAAGTTTTCTGTACTTAAGCACTCAACTAAGAATTTGTCAAGAAAAAACAACACACAACTTTACCAAGTATTTTGTACAAAGTAAGCACTGTCGATTTATCGATATTACTCGATTATACGATATTATGAACTAAAACTCAGCGGCGAAATGCCAAGCGGCGTCGCTTTGTGCTCTGCGTTTGCTGGAATTTGCGGTCTCCCCAATGTAAAACCTCAAAAGAAAACGCCTGTTCTTTAACTTTTACAAGGGATAATCGATATATCAAATATTCTCGATATTGGATTTCCGATATATTGATTATTGGAAATTCTGACATCGCCGCCTCGACGGTGCTTAGTACAAAGTTGCTTTTTAAAAAGTGTCACAAACTGAGCAAAGCACACCACAAGCGCAATCTCAAAGCACCTTGCTCCGACACAAAAATATTGTTTACTCAGTTTTCCTACTGCCACAATTTTGACAACACAATAAAAACAAATTTTATGAAACTAATTGAGGTTAACCACTTCCAGAAATTCCTCTTGGAAACATTTGTGTCCCCCTCACAAAGAGGCTCTGCAATTGGGTCACGTTATTCTGTGAGTAACCCTATTCTATTCAAACTGAGCCCTAGAAAATATTCTCAGTGTACATTTCCCTGTGTCATTTTTAACAACAACAAACCCCTGATCGAACGCCATCTCGGCAAGGTTGTCCGGTTTCTGACTTTCGCCTGGCCGTATTTTTGTTGGGATTCCTTTAAAAAAAACACCGGCCTATCCTAAGCTTTTTATATTTATTCTGGCATTTCCCAAACGGCTTTCTAATGTCACGGCTAACCAAACAACACCGGGATAGAACTTGCCAAACAGCCCCCAGCAGATCAGGGCAAATTATACCACCCAGGCTACTATCAATGAAATCTTTGTTTTGAGTGCCCCTTTGACCCAGTTAAGTGATGCCGAAGATTGTTTCTCTCTTTTTTTGGGGGGGGGGGGGGGGGGGTTGCGGAAGAAGCTATTTTTGTCTGGAGCCATGCTGAACATAAAAAGATTTCCTGGTTACCGGTATGTGAAAATAGAATTTGAATACATAGCAGTACATACAGTTGTATTATTTGCACTAAAGATTTCTATATTAAGTATATTTCCAATAGACCCGAGACATAATGACATCACACTTTGTTTACATGTGTGCTTTCCTATGGGAGCCAGTTAGGGACGAGAGCCCCCAAGTTCCCATAAGAACGTGAACACATTGCAACCTAAGGATGTTTCAAGCCTATTCATTTGCATTACCTAAATTCCCCAGACTTTTTTTTCTACAAGCTAGGTTATGTCAGCAGAAAAACAAATCTTTTTTTAAAGGGAAGATACAACATTTGCAAACATCAAAAAGCGAAATGATCAAATTATCACGAAATACCTTACTGAATTGCTAGGGATTGACAGTCTAAAGCATCCTGTAAAATCGTAGCTCCTTGTGTGCTGACATTTTCAAGAAAAACTGTATTTTTCCAACGCTGGTCGGCCGACCAGCGTTGGAAAAAACTGGCTTTTTTTCAAAAACTGCTCCTAATTTTTCATATTTAGTTATTCCGCATTTTCTTTGCAATAGATTACACACTTGTGAAGGGGTACAAGCCTGCTAATGCTAGACTGCATGATTCTTTGACCTTACAATTCCCTAAAGTCTTTACATTTCTCCGTTTCATCTTAAGTAGGGTCAGGGAACCAGACTACAAGAACATGATTTGTTGTCTTGGTTTTTCCAGCATATACAAGCCCAAAACGTGAAACAAGTCAGTTTAACAATATTTGCTATAACATACTAATCTTCCAAATCGATTTATTTCTGAAAAGTGCAGCAAAAGCAAATGTTGTACATTCCCTTTAAGCATGCAACTTTTCAGTGGCTGCCCTGCATTACCGTTCAACACTCCAGACTCACAGATAAAAACGGAACTGGAAACTAGATAAAGTGGTTGTTAGATCTATAAATCATTTTTAACCCCCCCCCCTCCCCTTGTAACTTTTGCTCTTCAAAACCCACAGATTTTCAGGCCATCTCCAGTCAATGTTGACATCCCCGGGCAAGGTTTTGGTTTTCATTCCCAATTTTCTGAATGTGCGACCTGACCTCACTCAGGGTATTTTCACAGCCAGTCAATATGATAGTTTACAGTTTCCGGAAAAAAAGCCGAAAATTTTGAGGGGTGTCTCCATGCTTCATTCAAGTTTCAACCACACATTGCATTGGGCACATTTTGCAGCAGGAAAGTTCTTCCACCGATCTTCTTAAGCCGTAGATTACAACTTTACATATTTTGCTCAATATGCTAGATATTTAAGCAAAGTTTTGTTCGACCCTAACCTTCCCCATATACTCCAAAATCGTCTTCCCACAAGTGGAGGATTTCGAAGGATTGAAGCTGTTTGGCAAAAATGCGCCAGTTGATTTCGGAGGATGCACTGTGTCAAGGTCTAGACTGCACCTTGTGTTGTTTATGCTTAGCCATGCATACAATTCGGGCAATTCACAATGCAGAGCGCCACCAATAGTTTGCCACAGAGAGTTCATTTTTCCCAGTACATTGTGGGAGATGGTCGACAAATTCGCAGCGCGGGACATTTGAAATTGTTCGTTTTCTCCGGTCGGTAGTTTCGTAAGCATATGATTCGAGTATATGTTTGCCCTTTCCTTTTCTTTGTATCAATATGTTGATTTTTGGTGAGGCAGCAGAACGCTATGCCCCAAGCTATAACAAATTAGCTCAAGTTTCTACTGACACTCATTCAAATGGGCCATATTTTGTCGACTGTAAACTTGAAAAGTTGACTCTCCATGGCAAACTCTTGATGGCGCACTGCATTGTGAATCACCCGAATTAGGCAGAGATAATAACTGAAATCATCTGCACTGCTTCCGGATATCATCAGCACTGCCTCAACGGAGTGATAACAATAAAGTGATAATACAAAGAGTGATTGTTGGGCTGAGGGGGTTGGGGTTAAGTTGTGATTAATGCAGGTGATAATTGACAGTACGTATCACAAATAATCACTGTTTCATTGATAATGCTTCCCACCTGCTGTCGTCGTCTGTGGAATCGAAGTAACTCGTAGACTCGATGTCGCTGCTCATTAACGTGGAGGAGCTTTCGTACCCATGACCGCTCCGATGGTGGTCCCTCTTCGGACGAGAAACTGAAGAAAGAAAAAAAAAAAGTAAAGAAAAACTGTGATTACCAAAAAAGTACAACTCGATTACCAACTGTAGCACACTGGGCACTGCAAAAATGGCCAGTTCATGCTCAGCGCGAAAGTTAATGCGGACGTAAATTTTTGACATCATGGCAAGTTTTCGCGCTGCAATTTCTCAAAAGGTTAACATATTTCAACTCTAGCAACTTTTGCAGCGAACTTTTCTTCATGTTATGAAAAACAATTTCAATGAAGATAAAGAGTGGAACCATGAAGGTCAAGAGGCTTAAAATTTTAAAATACAAATGGTGTCTTTTTTGGTGGAACTTGACCCAGGTCATGGTGGTGAAAAGATAGACTGTGGTGTGAAGTTCACCACTTTTACCTGTCATACAGTAATGCTGAATATAATTAAACATGGACACTTTGACTAGAACGGGGTTTGAACCTGGGACCTCCGCACCTTAAGACCACTTCAACTTTACGTTAAATGAGGTGATAACAGAAATGGTTATGCCCAAGGATAAAAATTTGACACTTCGTTTTTTTGTCAATGAAATATTTCAATATGAGCATGTGGTCTGTAAAATCGAGTATGCATGTATTTTTTGGGTACTTTTGAAAGAAAGACAAACTCACATCCCTCACCACACAAAATTAATCTCTTCAACCAAAAAAAAGGCTTCTATTTGTTCAGGGTCAGTAGGAACATCAAACAATTTTGCTCAAATGAGGTACTAATATACTGGCATGTCAGACCGCAACATCGACTGTCACTTGTGACATGGCATTGGGTGATTGGACTCTTCGAAGACTGACCAGCTTGAGAGGGGTGGTGAGTGACGCGAGGGGGGACATGATGGGGTGTGATTATTTGCAGAAGTAAACCCTGCATGACTGGACCAGGGGGGACTAGCTCACTGGAATGTAGGGGATGGGGTCGTGGGTAAAAGCAGGGCGATTTTCAGGGGATTACTGAGATGGGGATGGAGGGATATGAACAGTTTGATGTTGGGTGGAAAAATGAATGGAAGGGTGATCTTTTGAAGCAAATATTTTGGAGAGAAAATCCAGGGAGCTTATTGTGGGTATTTTAGAATATTCATTAATAATTGTGTGGTAATTCGTGAGGATGTTCCTCTGAATTTTAAAAGCATTAGAAAAGGACAATGGCAAGGAGAGATAAGGCTCAGTAACAAAATAAGTAAAATAATGAAGTTGAAAATTACAACAACAAAAAATTAATTTTTATCAAATCCACTTTTTTCTGTTATCAAAATTTCGGAACATTTCATTCAAAAATCTGTCTTAATAGACCCAAGACAAAAATGACGCCACGCTTTGTTTACATGTGCGCTTTCCTATGGGAGCCAGGTGGGACACCAGCCAATCGCCCCCACCTGGCTCCCATGGGGAAGCGCACGTGTAAACAAAGCGTGACGCCATTATGTCTTAGGTCCATTGCAACTTGACGAATTTAAAAAGATCTGAAAATGGGATTAAAGGTCTAAACAAAATATGCTTCTATGCAAAGTCGTCCATTTTCCTCAGATTCAAAAGGTATGATTTTGGTCCAATTTCATGCCTGACGGATACGTACTTCGGCAACAGTTTGCGTGTATGTACAGTTCCACGGCCGATTTCTGGTAGCTGAGATCGGCAAACTGAGGATGGCACCTGGTGGAGCGGGCAAACAGAATGGGCGGCAGGCAAAAACAACCCGGCGACTTCAACTGCGCGTTCCCCATCGGTACGGCAACCGTCCGCACGGCAACCACAACCATCTGATGCAGTCTTTATTGGCGATTTGCAAATGCAGATTTGAAGGGGTTTTTTATGACAAATTAATGCTTTGGCTGGCAAGACTAAAGAAGTTTCCGTAACTTGGCTTGCGTTCTTTATGCAGTTCAGAGACACAAGTCTGCAGTTTTAATAGTCAATGATGCATTCCTCATTGCCTTTGCTGACATTAAATAGAATGAGATGTATCTTTCGTAACTCAGTCTTTATAGTTTCTTTAGATCACAGGGCAAACTGAGCAAGGAATGTTGATCCGCTGAGCTCGACCGACACGTATGTCAACCGATTGAATACATGTTTCTGTAATTGGAAGAACAAAGTTGACGGGACGACAAACCGACACTCATCACTTTCGGCGGACGTGCAGAACGGCGCACACGGGAGAACTGTACACACTAAGAGTAAGAGTTATACAAAGCATTCCAAGTAGGAATATTCTCTTACCAATTCATTTACTCTTAGGAACCGAGGCTTATTTCTAGAAGCGTGCACAGATTCTCCACTGATAGTCAAGCAAAGTAAGAATACAAAATGACATCTTGTGTCCATCTGTCTCAAGAGCACTGGATCCAATGTCTTCGCATCCCTCAGCAGTATTCAACAAGGTGACGACCTATCTCCAACACAGCTCCACAGTGCGTTCCTTGCCCCATCTTCTCCCCTTCTGCAAATGATCGTATTGAAAAGTGTTTTCCTCGTGCACTTTCTCGGAGCACTACATATTCCATAACACATTCACCTGCTGTATTCCATTGTACAAGAAGCCACTTATTCCCTCAAGTGACACTCTGCTACGAAAGAAACAAATATTTTCCAACAAGCAGGTGTCTTTTCTTCAGCCGGGGTTAAGTGTGCTCGCCTTGTGCAAACCCCCCTATTAGCATTCAACTCCCAAGCTGATCGGGACTTAAATCCCTCCAAGACGATGTCGATACACGTAGCAACAAGGCAGGGAGCCGCTCGCATCAACTACGTGTCTTAAATTTGACGAGTGAGTGTGTGCTTTAGCTTATTATTAAAAAAAAAAAGAAGCCCCTCAGGGTTCAGAGGAGGGTCGAGAGGGTTGATACAAGAAACTTGTTTCCAGAAGTCCTGTTGTTGGTCGAGCACCACTTCAACACTTCACCCAAGCTGCCGAGAACCTAATCAAAAAAGAAGTTACTGTACAAGTGGGCATCCTTTCCATACACAGCTTATGATAATGTTGACAGTAACCCACCGGTCAAGTTATGATTTGTCAGCCGGCCGGAAAAGAAACACTGTCTTCGTGCAAGTGATACTTGATGAACCCTGGCATTCCAATGCAGCTGATGAAAAAACACTGCGCATCAAAACTCCGAACTCCCGAGTTCATATGCACACTTGGAGACAAGTTCACTGCCTAGAAATTAAAATTATGAAACGCGACCCGCATGTGGTACCAAAACTAGCAAACTTATCCTACCACGGGTCCCCGTTACAAAAACAGACCCTCTAAAAGAAATCTCCACATACTGATGAAAACAGATGGCAGAGTTGTGCCTTTCACTGATAGGCAAAAGAAAATATGCAACACGCCACTTTACAACAATTTCAACATCAGGAACATACACAGGTCACAAGGGAATTGAGTGACATGATTTTCTTTCTGTTTTCTCTTCAATCTACCACCTGGGCTGCCTATATCAATGCTGACCAAACCAGATGGCCAAGTTATGGTTTCTCAGTGGAACGGAACTAAACAGGTGACAAGTGACCCATGTAGTCCGCTTTTGATCATGAAACAAAACCAAAAAACTGAACTGTTCAAATACAAAACATCACGTATACATGTAGCTGCAATCGCTGAATGAGAAAGTGTTCCGGATGCTGATTTCGGACGCAATTCAAAACATGACTTGGCAACCTTTAAATTGAAATTGAGATCCTAGCATATAATTTTCTCAGAATATACAGCATTCACTGAGCTAAAACTTCATCAGGTTAGTTGATAATCACACACGTCTTTAGATTTTGAGCGCTTTCGTTGCTTCAAATGAAAAAAAATGCACAAATGACAAATGATCTACCCTACCTTGTATCCAGAATTACAAAATCATAGATGTCAGATGTACACGTAAATAACAGGGACAGGAAAAAAAAGTAGAGTCTGATTGTAGGACAGATGTCTTAACAATTTTCTCCCCTGCCAGGGGAACCCCCACTGGCCCAGCTACCAGCAAGCCAACACTGGCTCACGATGTCCAACCATACCCATTAGATTTCTCGGTGGGGCACCCCCTGATCCCCTACCTCCACATGACAAATGAGAGTTAGGACTGATTGGGTCAGGTGTTGGGCAATAATGCCCAGATGATTTTTTAAAGGGAGAGTTTGAACCAAGCCTTCAGGGAAAAAGACAAATGATTTTCCCCCGACTTGGAACTGAAGACTGGGAATGTAATAGAAATCCATCATTCTAATTTGGTGTAGAAATCCATCATTCTAATTTGGCGTAGAACTTGTCCAACTGGAATTTCAATTACCATACTTTGATCAGCCACAGAAACAAGACAAGACTACTACAGCTGGTCGCAAACCCCTCGATTGATTCTGAAACTGTTTCTGCATCTGGTCCACACAATGGGCCGGCTTTAGCGCATTCATTAGCAGTATTACAGGGTAAAGTATAAGCACTGCTTGGCTCAGACGTGACAGACAATCTGTCAGTCAGTTGGAGAGTCAGTCAGTCCAGTCAGTGAGATAGGTAAAATGAACTGCAGCAAAACAACGAATGGGCACGCAAATGCAGGGATGAAACTGTCAATTTAAAAACGTCTGAAAATTGAATGAAAGGTCTGAAAAATGCATTTCTTTCTACACTGATGTCTTTCTCTCAGATTAAAGTCTGATTTCAAACAAAAGTCTGAAAAATCTCAATGTCTAAGACCATTCCTATCTCAAAAATTTTCCAAAATCCATTTGCAACACTTTGCCAAACGTCATTCTCCAAACTTTTTTCAAACTCCATTCTTCAAGCTCTTCCAATTTCCATTTGCAAAACTTTTCTCAAGAGTTTCCCTAACTTTTTAACGGTTGCTTATACCTCCTACTTCCCTACACCCCTCCCAGGTTTTTTTCCAATATCCAAGATTTCCGTTCTCCTTTGGCATTTCCATGACTGCTTCCAGGTTTTCCCTACCGAAGCTGAGATTTCCTGAAACTTGTCAAGGATTTCCATATTT